CCGTTAAACAACCTTGGGGGGACCTCCCTTCCGCGGTTAGCTTCTGGCACCGAGGGGGAGGTCCTGACCCTTGGTCGGGCTCCATCCTTCGGTTTGGCGTGGTGGTGTCACCCGACCTTCGGTGTGGGTGGATTAGACGTGTGACACCACCACTGTATCTTGGGTTTCAGATGAAATCAGTTTTGTGATGGATGCGTTTGGCATCTGACAGAAACCCAGCCGCACAAGCCAACTGCATAGCAAAAGTGCTGACTGCTCGTTGCGTTGCTTGTGTTTTGTTTCTGACATTTTCAATTCTATTCGGGAACACTTGTTTCTTTGCTTGGAACTTGTGGAGAGCAAGTAATGTGTTGACGATATAGTTGCCATTTTGGCTCAAGTCTTCCCCTTGTGATCTAAGCACTCGAAAAACCCACCCACCACTGCCCTATTTTCGAGAATAGCGGCGGTGCCTGAGGTGCTGGATGCACTACCTGATACGATCCCAGCACAGTATAAGGAGATACCTTACTTCATCATGGCCCGGATGGCGGCAGATGGGCATCGCTCCGTGGAAGACTTGACCGACCGATGGTCCACTATCACCGAGGCCAGGAACAATGCACCAGCAGACCTCCAATTCCGCCATACGGACCGTGGAAGGGCCTTTATCACACAAGAGAAGACCAACCACTTGGCAATGAGAATCTCACAGTGAGGCAAGCCCAGCAACTGCTGGGAACAGGTGGACTGAATCATGGCGGTGGGGCCCAGTGGGACTCATGCAGACCGCAACGCAACTGGCAATTCGCTAGGTGCACCTCTGTGACAGAAGGCAGATCCTCCAGACCTGGACGACGGTGGTCCAGCTTCCAATTCCACGGCTGGAAGACCAAGGCTCGGATGCCCTGTTGAAGAAACAGTTCAAGCTTTGTGCACAGGGTGAGGTTGGCTGGATTGCCAGCAAATACATCATCTCAGCACTACCGGACCAGGATGAGAGACCCATCAAGACATCCAAGAAGGTGACAGTCGATGGATGGGAAAAGGAGGAAGAAGAAGAGACACGGAAGCTACCAACTACGAGAAGACAGTTGGAGCACATGCACCTGGTCTTCAGAACAAACCTCCTCATGGCCATCCTCTCCTTTCCCAGCATGCCCAAGTTGAACATCACTCACCGGGACTTAGAAGACTGGTACCGGTGGTTCTGGGGGAAGGACATTGCGGACCGGAGACCGCCACCCAGTGAACAAGTCCTTCTTTATGCAGAGAGAAACGCGTGGTGAGAGATCCACAACTTGGTCTACGGGGGGATGGGCCTCAAAGAAGCCATGTTACAACTACGACAAGACACCCTATTCTGGACAAGGGAGGTCTATGAGTCAGTGGCACGGCAGAAAGGACACAAAGGCTCAGTTGGGCCAGACTCCCCGACACGACCGGCCAAGTCGAAGGGACGTCAGCCTTCGTGGTCGCCAGCTCAGCCACAGTGGAACAAACAAAAAGGATCGCCCAAAGGGGGCAAGACCAAAGGGGCCATGGGATCTGGCAAAGGAAAGGACTCTGAATGGCCCTCCAACTGGGCTAAGATCTCACCTAAGGGAGTGCAGTACTGTCGTGACCACTTCCCCAAGAAGAAATGCCCAGGGAATTGTGGACGATCCCACAACTGTCCGGTCCTCAAGAATGGTTGGGTATGCAACGCCGCGCCCTCAGAACACAACCCAGAGCAATGCCCCAACCGTTGACTCCTGGTGGACCCGGTAGCGTCTTGCACCGTTCATCCACCAAGGTTGACGGATAACTCCACACCAATCAACACCCATGCAACCACGGAACCTGGAGGGCCTCCTCCACGTTGCCACAACGGCACAATCACACCACATCCACAACCAGAGGCCGTGGGCCGACCACAAGACAAAACCGAGACAATGGTTGGACAGGCCCTGCTTGGGCGCTGTCCGTGGCTTTCATCGGTCCCACACAGGCTGTTGGAACGCCTTACATGGACCACACAACCCACGGCGGGTCTCCAGGGTAGAGACATACTGCTCCTCTACACCGGTCCGAGAGACGGGGGGGCCCTGGATGACATCTTCACACAACAACAACAGGACCTGGGCCCCAGGCTCCTCGCCGTGGACATCCTGAGGCCACCAGAAACAGGGCCAAACGACATCATGGATGATGTATTCTACTCAACTCTCTGCTGCGCCGCCGCGGAAGGCCAGTTGACGTTTGTGGGGGGCGGCCCCAACTGCAGAACATGGAGCATCCTACGATGGTTCCCCAAACCTGGAGCACCCAGGCCAGTACGAGGGCGTGACCCCTCTCAGGCATGGGGCCTTGATTCAAACTCTTTAGAAGAACCGTTGGACACAGACAAGGACAGTATCCTTTTGCTCCGCCAAATGGTGATCACCGCCCTGGCCTCCAAAGCCAGGCAGTACAGAGGTTTCCACTCATTCTTGGAACGCCCTCGTGATCCAGCCGAGTGTAGCCGGGCACCGGCCGCCACAAAATGTTCATCGCTATGGGCCACCAGAGTTTACGAGGAGTGGGCAAAAGAGGTCCAGCACCACAAGATCCACCTGGACCAATGCAGACTTGGACAAGTGGCTCGGAAGAGTACAACCTTTTCAACGGACCTTCCACTCCATCATTGACAAGGCCTTCAGTGCAACCACACGGAACACGCTAGGTCACCAGAGCTGACCTCTAGTGACCTCAGCAGATATCCGCCCACCCTTATGGCAGGGCTGGCAGCGGCAATCATCCAGAGCATTCCAAACAAGGGACACCCGTCAATGGGATGTCAACAGGATGGGGTTCCCAGACTATGACTCTGGATGATGACCCTATTATTGTCCAATCTGGGTTCAAGACCAGACCATTGCGTGATGGAGGGGGCAAACCCTCGGCGGGGAGAAGACCTCCCCCACTGAGACCTCAGTCTAAGCTCAAACACATTGGTGACCCCATTGGCCACCTGGTGCAGGAGTGTGCTCAGGACGTCCAAAAGTCCATCAACAGGGTGACAGGAAACACCCGTTCTCCAGGAGCTTCTTCTGGAGACACGGCAAAACATTGCCCAGAGGATTGGGCTCGACTTCCAGACTGCAGAGGAGATGGCGCCAGGCCAGCCATTTTACCTGAACCTCATCTCAACCTTAGCGGAAGCTGGTGGAGATGCAGATGCAACCTATCCCACAAGTATTGCCACAGGGGTCCCTTTGGGGGTCACCACCCCCACATGGACGTCACCTGGCATATGGCCAACAAAAGAGGAGCTCAAAGGAGAATCCCCCCTGTGGGAAGATCTTCTCATACCAATGGGCCGGGACAACTATCCTTCGGCCAAGGACTTCTCATCCTTTGTGGAAGAGGTGGACATGGGTATGGTTGAGGGCCCACTCACACAGGAGGAGGCAGCCCTTCGATGCGGATGCACCCCAGAGGAACTCTGCCCAGGGCGCCTGGCAGCAATTGATGAAGGAGACAAAATCCGCACCATTTACGATGGGAGTTGGGGCCATGCCAACTCACACATTCAACAAAATACAGTGGAAAAGACCACGGCACCCACAGTGATGGACTGTGTCCAAGCCATCCACTGGCTGACCACCAAGAAGGAGAAGACATCTGGGACGGTAGCGTCTTGCACCGACCTAGCATGGCACCCTCCACAAAAACAAACCACCTGGGCGCTTTTGAAGGCAGATGTCTCAAAAGCACACCGCCGCATCAAGGTCCAATCGGATGAATGGCGCTACCAGGTAGCACAACTTGATGGAGAATGGTGGATAAACAAGGTGGGCACTTATGGAATGGCCAGCGCTCAACTCTATTGGGGCCGAATGGCGGCACTGGTGTTTCCACACATTGACTGGGGTTTTGTGTTTGTGGACGATTTCTGCTGGCTCCTTAGAACAGACACGGCCACTGAGGATACATCCAAACTACTCTTCTTAGCGGCTCTGGGGCGTCCCCTGAGTTGGCACAAGACAGTGCTATCTGAGGTGAATACATGGTTGGGATTTCAAGTCAACCCCTGTGGACGGGTGGTGGATTTTCCCAAGGAACAACTGGTGGTTCTAGGGTTTAGGATTTAGGGTTTCGGGTTGAAAACCCTTCCAAGGAACAAACCTGGTGGTTTCACTACAAGATCCCCCTTGAAGACCACCCTTGGGCTCACAAAGACGGAGACCCAACAAGGCGCATAGCAGCCCTGGATATGTTCGGCACGTTGATTCTGACCCACTTCCTTTTGACTCTGGTGGGAGGTCATTGCTCCGCACTCGACTCAGTCTCATTTCTGGTAATCAAGGCAACACTTTCGCCCTCTTGAACCAGAAGACGAAGCACATGCCAACATCGGCTTCCCTTATGCAGCTCATCGTCAGGATCCATGCTGCAGGGGTTCAATTGGCACCTTCGCACATGAAGAGGGACTACAACCGATGGGCCGATGAACTTACTCATCCCAATTTCACTGGCTTTCGCCCTGACCGTCAACTACCAGTGAGTGAGGCTTTTTCCCATTTTTAAATTTCTGTGGGCTCTTCTGGATGACCAGACAATTGCCCCTAAACCTTCGGGTAACACTTCCAAACGTCGTAAGACCGACTACAACGCCACCTAAGGTCCACTGGAGCCAGGTGGCCGCGGCTGACTTTCTTTTGACAGTGGTGATTTCCCACCTTACAACCCTTTTTTTGGATTCTCCTTTGCGCGAGCTCAACGCTCCTGCGGGTTGGGTGGATTAGACGTGTGACACCACCACTGTATCTTGGGTTTCAGATGAAATCAGTTTTGTGATGGATGCGTTTGGCATCTGACAGAAACCCAGCCGCACAAGCCAACTGCATAGCAAAAGTGCTGACTGCTCGTTGCAGTTGCTTGTGTTTTGTTTCTGACATTTTCAATTCTATTCGGGAACACAAAATTATTTAGTTATATAGATACGATCAAAAAATGCATTAACATCATTGATGTGAGCAGCCTGCTAGAATTGATAGGTGTGCATCCTACAAGGCTGCCCCTTTGGATCCTGCTGTGCCTACCAGCTGACGTACGAGAAAAGCAGAGCAGGAGTTTGATGCGAGACTTTCCAGCAAAGACATGTGGAGACTGCACTGGAAGCACGACAACAGCAACCGAGTACCAGGCGCTGCAGAAGTGGTCCCTTTTGAATCCTTTGGAGTTTTTTTTGCATATCATGACGTCAGATCATTGGAGTTTTTCGGTCTTCAGCATTGGCGCTGTGTCACTAAGGAGAGATAGGAGCAGAGTTGGAACAGTTGAAGGAGATTTGTTGCATCCCAACATTCTTGGCATTGCTGTCTCCTGGAGCCAAAAGTGCGGTGTGAGTTGGTTGTCCGAAACTAGGAAGTACTTGGGGACCAGTACTGCAAAACACATGTCGAAAACTTCCAAAACAGCATGATTGCCAAAGCTACATGCGAGGATATATTATGCATAGATGTGCGCAGACACACGCTGCTTCCAAGTTCAGTTTGGAGATACGTATCCTGCAAAACCTTTGTGACACCCTGGATATGGGAACTGGGATGAACTGTGAACACGCTCACCCTTTTTGCTCCACAAGAGCAGCAAAGCACGCCGGAATTTTCGAGGAATTTCCTCGGTGGCCTGTGCGAACAAGGTTCTTAGTCCCTGCCTTCACCAGACATCACCTGACAAAATAAACCGTTTGATTCCAAAAGTCATGAAAAAACATGTGAGACTTGCCCGAGACTTCCTCAGGTTTGGCGGTGTTGTTGGTTGCTTGGCTTGTTCAGATCATGGGTCGCTCGCATTTTGGCTTCCGACGCCTCATGTTAGTCAGTTCATATTAGCAAGTGTAGCAAACTCATGGCCCACCGAAACCTGCACATATCCGAGATGTTACGACACACACTGTGGGCTCATACTTTGACTTTAATCTGTTGAGTCTGTCGAGGTTGCATCCCCTGGAGTGCTCTCAGTTTCTTGATGATGTACCTTCAAAACTTGGGATTTTCAGCCACATCTGCCGCCAGCCTACTGGCTGTTGGTGCACCCAGTGGACATCAGACAGCAATTTTTTTTTTTCAGGTTTGTTCCTTGTGTCTTTTGAACCCCTAAGACTTTAGAGATTTTAGATGATTTTAGAGTGCAGAGAAAGCAGAGCTCAACTTGTTCCCTTATCAGATCTTATCAGATCTTATCACATTTTGTCACCTTTCTACTCCCAGTCCCGCATAGTCCCGCACTGCGAGGTGATGTCAGTGGGGCGCATTTGTGGTAGCCTTCTGGGAGGCGAGAGCGACAGGATCCAGTGGAACTCTTCGGGGTTGAACAAAATTATAGAATATTAATGAATATTATAGATACAATACAAACATCCCAATTGGTGCAGCACAGATTCAAACAACCCAATTCCAGTGCGGAATCCATCAGGCATCCTGGGAGACTGGTTTGCTTCCCGGTGGCCCTTGCATGGTCGCGCTCTGGTGGGGCAAATGTCCATAGCGCTCGGTGCAGTACCATTGCTACCTGGCCTGCAGAAACAGTAGTTATTCTGCGTATTTCCACGTTCAGTTTTCTATGTTTTTCTGCCAAATTCGAAGTAGACTTCAGTTTTGATATGCATTTTTTGCTAAAAACGCAATCTTAGGTACTGGGTGCTCAGATGCTGCCCGCACAGTGGAAGTGTCTAGCCATTGGAAGGTCAAACAATTCAATCCACAAAACACCCACAGGAGTCCTTCATTCCTTGTTTGCTCCTATTCAGTCCTATTCACTCCACTTCAACCAGCTCCTATAACTTCAATTAGCTTGCACTCAAGCACCAAAAATCACCAAAATACTTGCAGACTTGAACTCAGAGCGTCCAATAGACCCCTCATCAAATTTGTTTGAGGAATGCACGCAAACTGCGCATGCTACCCATACTACGCATATCTACGCATACTGCCCATACTATGCATACCGTCACACGAGCCGTATTGTCCCATGAAGAAAACAATTCCTGCAGCACAGCAGCCCAAATGCTCAGGTTCTTATTCATTGCTGGCCGCTGCCTTGTTCAGCTTCTCGTTGTTGGCACTGTGGTGCAACCCAGGGGTTGATAGACCACTCTGGTCAGAGCCTCTTGGCCGCAGACAGCGTTGACAAGCTCTTAGCTCATGAGTGCACGTCACATCATATTACTTATTCTTGTTGCTAATGTTGTTGAGGTTAGTTGATGTTAGTTGTATTTAGTTGTGATGTATCACCTTGTGATTGTATCTATATTATATATTATTTGATACTACTATGATACTAGTATCTATTCGTAAGATCAAGTTGCTGGCAGGCTGGTTCCACCTGACAGTCGCGGGAAGATCATTGGCTGGTGGATACTCGGCACTGATATGACTCATCAGGCACTTCAGACAGCACCTGTCCCTAGATGTTATCGTTTTTTTTAAAACATTGGTTGACTTACAAACTTGTTTATGAATGTCTTTGATACTTAATTCACCGGGATGTCCTCAATGTCCTTCTTCTGTGTGATTGGTATTGGATGGTATGGGGTATACCGAATGAGCTATGACGTTTAGATACGTTTAGAGACATTTGAAGTTTGTCTCTCAGGAGAACGGTGGCCGAAACCTGCGGGAGCATCTTTGGGGGGCCAGTGGTCGGATATCTCTCCATGGCGGTGGGATACAGGCCCAAGACCAAGGAGCCAGGCAACGCGGAGTCCTTGGGCACAGCCATGTTGGTTTGCACCATGCTGCCCTGGGCAGTGTGCTTCTGCTCCCAAGCAAAGAATGGCGCAGTTGAAGGGTGCGATGATTGCCATGTCATGGGATTGGCACATATGGTCACACAGAATCACACAGATATATACTGATATCACATAGCTCATTATTGTAATTTCCATTCATTTCTTAGGGCAAACCCTCTGGAAGCCCGGGCCAAAAACCATCATTTTTTATGCTTTCTTTGTTTGAACGCTTTGCAGAAGCGAATCCCAGGCTGCTACTCTGCCATCCACATCACCTATCCCAAGGATCGTAGGATGGTCAGCGAGACCAGCCGTTTATTGCCCGGGGCCAAAGATGGGCTTCCACTGAAATTCGAGAGCGGATGAGGTTTGGATGACCGATGGCATCAGATACAGCCAGCTCCTGTCGTTTTCACTTCCCATTGTGCTCTGTGCTATCCCGTGCTACATTGTGCTACGGAGCCACTGAAGCTCCCATTAGGCCTCCCAGCATCCATTGGGTCAGCTATATGGAAGTGAATTCACTTTGGTTAATTTTTGTGAAACTGATGTTGATCTATGTCATATGTTGATCTTCAATGATAGTTCCACCCAAGCTGACCTTCATGGGTGTGTCGTCCATATTCCAAGCCACCACGGCTTGATGCGTGTCGTCACCATTACAGAGCAAAAACGGATTGCATGAGCACATTCCCGTCACTTCTCTATATTTCCGCATCTCAACACCACCAAGGGCTGGAAGATGCTGGAAGATGCTGGAAGATGCTGGAAGATGATAATTGAAATGGGATGAAATGGGAGAGAGAGGGATGTGTTTGACAGGTGGCGCCTCAACGGAAGAAGGCACTCCGGCTCCGGCCGATCAAGTATTTGACCAGCTATTCCTCGGTGATTTCCTCAGGCACCAAGTAATTGCTAGACTGAGTGGCACCAAGTGATGCAATCTGACAAATCCATGAAAATCCTGGACGATGTTCACACATGTTCACAACGTGCTGTATTTGTATGTATTTGTTGTGGCCTTGGTCTGTCAAACTGTGTTGAACCTTACTTGCAGCCGCTCTTGTAGATCAAGCCGCAGTAGTGGCCCATCCTGTGAACCTGATCAACCCGATCAGCGCGCATTGCCTTCTCGCTTTCCATCTATGGCAACTGTGACGTCCAGCGATGAGCAGCCGGGTGGAAATTGTCAGGGCGGGTCTCTTTCGCGCAACAGAACAGAAAAGGTAGCGCATCAATTCCTCACCTGAACGGTAGATAACGGTAGTTGTTTTGACAGGAGAGTGGGGAGATGTGCTGGACGCAACTGTTGCGACTGTTGGTGGTAAAGATGGTGGACTCCTCTTAAGCACTGGGTGAGGCGCATGTAAACCAAGGCACCCAGGGAGCCATGGTACCTACGATACCGACACCTTCCTGGGATGCGGATATTGCCACGAAGCCTTCCCTGAGAAGCGAGAATTGCAGGCAAGGGACGGCAAGGGACGGCAAGGGACGGCAAGGGACAGCCACAGCAGCATTTTCTTAGTCGGATGCCACACAGCGTGAACCTCAGCCCTGTTGGCACAGGTTCATATCAAGATGACCCATGAGGGCCAGGAGCCTTGACGCCATACATGCCGAGATGGCACCTTGATGCCCAACTAGCACGACGATATATCTATAATCTATATCGAAATCTATGTCTATATCTTTATCTATATCTAAATATCTCAAAGTGCACAATCATTGTGGATGTTACTGGCAGGACTACTGCAGTGTGCCCGCTCCTATGCCGAAGCGGGAGCAGGGCCTGTTGAAGAAGGCACCGTCCATGGCGATTTCCCGGAACATCCCGTTGAGCGAAGTGAACCGCCACTGCATCCCCGAGGACAGCAGCCGACTCTTGCCAATGAGCCACACCAAAATTGTGGAAGGGCCATTTGCGACAATAATACGACTGTAGTTTTCTGTAGTGATACTGCATTTCAAAAGGCCCTTCGGTCCACATGCAAATCCATGCCTAAGTCCGGAGTTCATGCTCTTTTGTGCTAGACGCGAGTCACCAGCTGCAAAATGTTCGATCGTTCCAGACTCGGCTTCATCGCAGGATTGCTGGGTGGCGCTGAACGGCAAAGTCTATGACTTGTCCTCTGCTCGCAGAAGACGGTAGGGAGGGGAGGCAGCTCACATTAGCCCATCAGTTAGATGCGTGCAGTTTCTGCTTGCTCCCGAAACGGGTGAGACCAGCATATTCACAGAGGAAGTCGCAAGTGGGATAAGCATCCGACCGGTCAGAGAAGTGGATGGACTGCGGGATTTTCACCAAGGTTTCAATCCGTGAGCAATCAGCGGAAGGGAAAAGTCTGATATAAATTGATATAATTTAATAATATAATATAATATAACTACAGACACACACACAACACACACAAAACACACACACAAAACACACACACAAAACACACACACAAAACACACACACACACAAAACACACACACAAAACACACACACAAAACACACACACAAAACACACACACAACACACACACAAAACACACACACAAAACACACACAAAACACACACACAAAACACACACACACAAAACACACACACACAAAACACACACAAAACACACACACAAAACACACACACACACACAAAACACACACACAAAACACACACACACAACACACACACACAAAACACAAACACACAAGCCCCTTTGCCACCACGAGAGTGGCTGTCAAGTTACCTTGGAAAGGTGTAGTGAGTTGCCCCACGACTTCTTCGATTTGCCGCGCCGTGCATTTTGCCATTGTTCATTGCCTTTTCTTGTGCCATTTTTGGATCACTGGGTACTTTTTGATTTCCTTTCCTCAACTCCTCCGATTGATTCTGGAAACGTGCTGATTCGAGACTGTGGAGCATTCAACGTTTTGCTGATATTTCTGCGCTGAACATTGTTTTGCCTGGCCTCTGGCCGACTGGACACTACGACGCTGCTCAACATTTGTTTTGTGCTTGCTTCAAGTCTGGTGTGTGCATTACACCGTGGAGACTCAGTATTTCGAGATTTGCAAGCGATTGGTGACAACACACAACACCTGGCACGAGACATCACCACTGACCGTTTTGAGATCACAACAACACCACTAATTTTTGATTCAACTTCTGACTGCGTTGACCGCTATATTTTCTTGGGTTTTCTTTCACACTGCGGGGTAGGCTCCCGGAACATTCTCACTGGCCTTGAAAGAACCCAGAGTGACAATATTGGTCTACTTTTTACAATACAGTTCTGGCACATCAGTACAGACTTCCCACAACGCGGGGTTGGCTCCCGAAACTTTTCCTCTGGCCAGGGAAGTCTGTATTACAATCGACAAGATCCAGAGCAGTTTTTGCGGCTTGCTGAACAAGGAAAAGAATCAATCCAAAGGTTGATTGACACTGACAGCGGAATTGCAATATTAGACCCTGCCCGTTTTTGGCAAGACAGATTTCAAAGGCTCCCATTGCACCAAGCAGGACTACAACAGTATAGAACTGGTCCACACATTCAGGCCTTACAACTGGCACTAACACCACACTGCGGGGTTGGCTCCCGGTTTTCACTCACTGGCCAAGGTGGAAAGTGCCTAACGCTTCATTGTGCAGATACAGCGATCTACGGATTTGACAGCACGCAGATATCCAAGTTGGAGTACAATTTCTCCTCCTGGCACAACAATTTCCAAGGTTTTCCCATTGCACCACACTGCGGGGTGGGCTCCCGAAGATTTTTCACTGGCCCGGGTGACAATTGGGATCCTACGATTGACCACCGTTGGACATTACAACAGACCTTAATTTTTGCTGAGACTGCGTTGCCAACGTTGGACAAGATCAGACAGGTCTGGTACTCTTTCATTCCTGGCTTCTTCTTTTGGAGAGTGAGTAACTGGTCTGGGAACCAATTACTGAACTGGGAACGAGGCAATAAGACCGAGGAGACTCTTGACAATTTGAGGCCCCATCTGATCATCACAGCTGTTCTCTCACTTCTCTTGCTGGCTTCCCTGGCCCTTGAGCAGTGCAGCCATTTACATCATTTTTTGTACAATTTTTTGCAACGATTTTGTATTTTGCCTGAATTTCAGAACAGATCCAACTTTGACACGGCGAGCACAGAGCACATTGAACCACCAACTCACACAAACCTGAACCTGGGCTTGACAACTGCAAAAGTGAAAGGACTTTGTACAGTCAGTGGCATTCCTGGTCCCAAGTCCAGGGGCAAACACCATAGTACACGCTGCGGCAGAACTTGGATTTTTCACATCTCCTTCTGTGTGTCTGTTCTGCTTACAGTTTTCTCACTAAGGTTTGCTTGGGGTGAGGGTTACGTCTCAGTCATGGGAGACGTTGAAGCGTCAACCAATTGGCAACAAGGTTTGATCGAAAGAGCCGACGCGAAGCGACATGACATGCGACCGGCATCTAGCTTTAATGCTATCCCATGGCACCCTGCACAGACTCAGGTCACCAAGAGAAGCATCCGTAGAGCCTTTGTCAGAGCATGCACACATGGCCTTGCTTGGTATAAAGGTAAGTGTTACACCCCCCAAGATTTTCCAAAGTGCCTTAGCAGACAGCCGCTTGCTCCACCCAAATCGACTGCACCTTCCCATGCACCGGCCCTGCAAGCCTGCAACCGCCGGAACCAAGATTCCCGACGCTTGCGTCTGCTGAACTGGAATGCGGGTGGACTAGCTGCCCCAAAGCTAGACGAGATCAAAATTTGGATGGAACACAATCACATTGACATTGCGGTCATCAGTGAAACCAGAATGACCTTTGAGAGTGAATGGAGCGACGGCCGTTGGCTCCATGTCCACACTGGACAACCAAACCAAAGAGGTGCAGGACTCATGTGTATCATTTCCACTCGTTTTTGCCCGACACAAAATCTGCGTTGGAGAGTTGTCATTCCTGGACGGTTGATGCATGTTCAGGTGCAGCTCAAACACAGAGCGATTGATGTGGTCTGTTGTTATCAGCATACCCAGGCTCATACAGCAAGTCGCAGAACAGAACGTGCACAATGGTGGAATGATCTGGACACCTTGCTCACTGGCCTACCCAATAGGAACACCCTGTGTTTGACCGGAGACTTCAACACTAGCCTGTTGCAACATCCATCAAACGCCGGACCTGCCCACTACCTGTGGCGTGGAGTCCAGACATGCGGTGCTCAACACGAGGACCAAGGGAGATTCATGTCCACACTCCGGACACACGGACTTGTCGCCTTGAACACATGGCACAGTGAATTAGGACCCACATATATCCATAACAATAGTAGTTCCAGAATTGATTACATCATTACTCGGACAACTATTGCTGATGGAGTAGCCAAACAAATCAAGTATGCCTGGGATGCGCCATTTTGTGGCACTTCTGGCCATGCCCCCATGATTGGTTTACTCCGGAAAATGTGGATCCCACAGGACCACGAAACAGCTGCACGGACCGTCAGCCCAGCACAGAGAAGGCAGGGCCATCAGGCCTTTCGACTTGGCACTGCCCATTGGTTTCATTTCACAGAAGAGGTTGGCCAAGCAGTCCTTCACAGACTCCACCAGGTCACAGGCCCAGATGACACAGTGATTTCAGATTTGCACCGCATTGCATGTCAACAATTTCACCGTTTTTTTCCCAAACAAGTGACCATCAAACCTTGTGACATGGATGCACACACCCAAATACTCAATAAATGGGGTCATCGGAAAGCTTTCTTGCAGCACACCACAGTTTCAATGCGGAATCTTTTTCATGCCTGGTTTCACGTTTCTAGGTTCCAGTTTCTGAAACGACGTGCCAAGATACATGCATGGAGAGTACGCCAGCTCAGATTCCAAGAAGTCATTGAAAGTGCCACTGCTGCAGCATTGAAACATGACACCCATTCACTATTCCAAATCATCAATAAATTTTCCCCCAAACAGCCCATGCGCAGAATGCAGCTTCGAAATCAGCAGGGCCAAATTGCCAGCCCCCCGGAGGAGACAGCTATGTTGCGACATTTCATTCAAGAGACATGGAAAGGGCCCAAGATTTTTGACACACCAGATGCATACATTCCTGACCTGCCCTTCTCCCAGGCAGATCTTCTACATGCACTGAGCCAAATGCCTGCCATCAAGGCAGTTGCGCGACCTTGCGCACCGGCAATTGTGTGGAAATCCATTGCTCCTCAAATAGCCCCGACCCTGTATGAAGTCTTGAGGAAATGGTGGATAGGAGAACAGCCCTTTATACCTAAGTGGTTTAAAGATAGCTGGATGATCCTCATCCCGAAACCCCATAAGCCTCCGGTGCATCCAAGGGCATTGCGCCCTTTGGCGCTGCAAGAACCATTAGGTAAGTCAGTGGTAGGCCTCTTAGCTTCCCAAGCACAGGTAGCGCTGATGCCCATCATCACACCCTGGCCTATTTGGTCCTATCTACCCAGCAGATCCACACAAGATGCCCTGCTCAGAGTGACCATGCATTGCAGGGACATTCGAAAATTGCTGATTGGCCAGAGATCCACTCCGTTTACAAGGGAGCAGAAAACAGCCCGTTTCAAAATAGCAGGTGGCATTAGCATCTTTCTGGACATTGAAAGGGCTTTCGACATGGTCTGCCGCCCCCAATTATTTTCGAAACTTGTCACCTTAGGTATCCCAGAATCTGTTGCGCACCTCCTCACCCAGTGGCATCAAGATACTTGTTACCACCTTTTCTCCCAAGGGATTGATGAAGGGATCTCTGTTGGCCGTGGCCTCCGACAGGGGTGTAAGGCCGCACCCCTGTTATGGAACAGTTATCTTTTGCTGTTCCTGCAAGCCTTGAGTGACAGAGTTGACAGACAGTGGATCCAACGGTGCATTAACTTCTATGCAGACGATGGCCAACTTGGCGATGTTTTCCATTCAGCGTTTGATTTCCATGTGCTCCTTTCCAATTTGTACATCACCCTTGAAGTGCTACAAGAATTTGGCATGACCATCAACTCGTCCAAATGCACTGCGCTGGTCGCCATGACGGGAACCTCCCATCGCCAATTGCGACAATCCATCATAGCTTTTCGCGAGGGAAAAGAATGGTTGAAGCTTGCATTTGATGACAAACCCATCATTTGGATTCCAGTTGCCAAAAAGGTCAAATACCTGGGCACGGTGATGTCATACCATGACTTTGAGAACCACACCACCTTGCATCGCATCCAGCTGTCCAAAATTGCTTTCCAACGCCTTAGCCGTTGGCTTAAGAGCAGACGAGGCTTGTCTCAAGATCAGAGAATCAAATTATGGACCACATGTGTCTATCCCGTTTTGACATACAGCATCTGCACGGTTGGCATCACTCCACTTGGCTTGCAGAAACTCCAACAGACCATGTACAGTATGCTCAGACAGATCATTGGGAACCATGCATACATCACTGGCCAGAGCCATCAAACTGCTCTCAACAGCCAAGGGGTAGACTTGCCACTCACCCGGCTTGGACAGACTGCCGAACGTCAGTTGCTGTCTGCAACTCAAAGATTGATGCATGTTGACTTTCAGGATATTGTGCATACTCTTGATTGGGTTCACTTGCATGAATTGATCGAATTCTTGCACGCACAGCAACTCACAGGCCCTGCCGTGCCTGTGAGCTCTGATCCAGCCTGTGCACTGCAGCCTGTGCCTGTTTTAACATGTCGCATGTGTGGATTTTGCACCACCAATGTTGCAGTTTTCAGACAACATTGTACCCAAGTACATGGCCACCGCATGAACCGGGTTCACTTTGCCTCCCATGTTGAACATATGATAAACGGACTTCCACACTGTAAGCATTGCCATAAGACCTTCACCACTTGGAGAGCGTTTCACACACATATTCAACGTGGCTGCCAGGTCTTACAAGCGGGTCCACCTGAGTGCTGGCAGAACGCTGCTGCCCAACTCCAAGTTGACCCACCAAAGGCTGCTGAGATGTTTGCACCCAAGACAGAGGGCCCTGTGCGTGGCCAGACAATGCTCTCAGATGATGACCTTTGCAACCTCCGCAGTCAAGAATGGGGAGACAGAATCCTGACCATCGTGGCCAACAAAGCATGGCATCATATGAAACGTGAACAACAAGCATGTGAGTACCTTGCCCAAAGATGCTGTTTGTGCGATCAATTCCTGGGTCGTATGCAAGACCTGAACCAGCACATCAAGGTCATGCACCCACAGTTCTGGCCACACACCTCCGCCAAGGGCAAGCAACTCACAAACCAATATGGAGAAGACACACCGTGTCCCTTTTGCCATGCGTTGTTTCGCAACACACATCAATGCACGGTCTGGACTCAGCTAGCCCTCTTGTTAGTGCACGGAGCTGGACAGGTGACTGACAATGCAGAGGTGGCCAAAACCATCTTGACTTGCGACATTTGTGGGACACTGCATGAGACCCCAGAAGCTCTTCATGCTCACCTTGCCCAGGACCATCGTTTGGCCAGCACAAGTTTCAACCCAGCCAGGGACTGTCTCGATGGCCAAGCGGCATGCAACCACTGCGGGGCCTTGTTCGAGCACCAGGAATCTTTGCGGTCGCACATAAACCAGGGCAGATGTGGTCATTTTGACCCAGACCTCCCAACAGAGGTCTTGGCCGTGCAACCGACTTGGGAGTTAGCAACATGTGCAGGCAAACTTGCAGATACATTGCGTGACAGTCATGTACGTTTACAACTGACTTTGCAATGCCAAAACTGCAAGTGCCGGTATGCAAGACCGGCCGACTTGTCAGGCCATTTACTGGCTGCTCATCCACAATTGTGGTCGGCATCCCAGGGCCTGACGGCCATACTTGTCTCCCTGCTGTACAACCAAGTAGGGTGTTGCTGCAACCCCTGCACGACCCAATATCGTGCCAACCACATATGCAATCCGCTGCGCCAGCTAGCAATGCAACACCTGCGGCTGGAAAATGTTCTGTTTTATCCACATGATCCTACTGAAACTGAACTTGCCCAGCTGATGTCAACCAAATTGAGCCGAGACACTCGTTTTCGTTTGGAGCGCCTGCTGACGAACAGATTGCTGCACCAACTTTGGCTTGACGATGATGTGCTTGCCATCACGAGGTCTACATGTCTCCTGTGTGCGGCTGAACTTCACGTGGCAGAGCTGGCCCTACACATGTACGAGGCCCACCAATGTGGCATTCCTTTGGTGAAATTTCTGGTGCAACAATTGCTGCCCAAGTTTTTGACCCAATGTGATTCAGATGTACAATGCTATGCATGCCACCAAGTGATCAATTTGCACAGAGAAGACGCCCATGCACCTTCCATGCCAGATGCCCAACGCGCTGCTATGGTCCAAGCCCATTACAAAGCCCAGTGCCCTTGCCTCATCCAAGCGGCTGTTCTTTTGAGCAGAGCTGCCAATGGCCGACACGGACATGCCGGAAGGAGAGGAAGTCACGACTCAAATATGGCAAGCGTTCCAGGCGATGGGACCCATGCTGGACAGGACACTGCAGCTGTCCCCGAATGCCCCTCCCAAGCGCCAAAGAAAAGGCGACTCCAACCGAGAAGATCACCAAAAACAGGGGGCATCAGACAAAATCCAGCTGGCACAGGCGGTGACTCTCATGGCCAAATTGGCACTGCAGATGGACAGGGACCTCCAGGCAATGAAGAGAGAGGACACCTTCATTCTCTTTTTCGCCAACAAAGGGAAAGAAAGCAGTCTGCAGACGCTGCTGCAGGCGACCGAGAAATGGGCCAAGCAATTCCAGGAGACACAGAATGCACACCCGAGGGGAACAACCATGCCTCTACGCCAGCACCTAGCCCAAGTCCTGTTCAACACGCTCCTCAGCAGGATCCAGCAACTGGGCTCAGCGACGGATGGATCAGAGGTCATGTTGGCGGCTCAGCACAACCAGGTATTGTTGCAGGACCGCGCCTGCCCATACCTGGAATGGGATCATGGAAAGAAGACACTGGTGATCAGCAACAAACGCCCTCTCACCCTGACCAGAATCCAGCAGATCTGCCAAGACATGCTGGAGGCTTTGACGGAGGTGCAGACTGTGGTGAAATTTCATGCACTGCCAGCCGGGCAGAAACAAGAGGTCTCCCCATGGAAACTGCAGGTGAGCCTACGACTGGACAGCCCTTGGCAACTGCTGACGGAACTGAGCCATTCAGCCATCTGGCTACTCATGGGGACATCACTACGGCCACACAGCCTTCAACAAAGCCCCCTTGCAGTGAACCTTCAGAAGGCCTTGCAGCTTCCGACATCCCGCAAAGGGAATGGCAAGGGCAAGAAGCCCGGAACAGTGACACCCAAGAAGGAGTGAACACAGTTGTGATGCCTTGCGGTCCAGCACCAGACCTTCTGTTGCTGAAGCTTGCACACATGACCATGGAAAACCCGGGTAACATATGCTTTGCCAACGCCACGACAAGCGCTCTGCTGTGGACCACTCTGTCCACCATGAAGTGGAGTTTGAAAGCATGGGGAAAACAGTGCCAGATGTTGCATGATTTCATTTGCACCAGTCCTGATACCTGCAAAAATCTTTGTGTTGAAGTTTGGTTTCAGCAGATCTTGCACTGTTGGGGTATGATAGATCCTGCGACAAGTCCACAGCGCGTTGCACAACAGGACTCTGCCGAGTTTGTTGCAGCATGGTTGGAACAAATGGATTCTGACGCTTTTGACATGCGCTGGGAAAAGAGGATCCTTGAAGACAACCACATCAGGGTATGCGATCAAGGTTGCAAGAGCACGCCAATTTGTTTGAAATTTCCACAGTTTCTTGCAGATTTCAGTTGCAGTGATTTGACCAACCTGTTTGACGTCTGGCGCCAGGTGGATGGAATGTGCACAGCCCTTTGCCAGGCACCCACTTGCCTTTGCATCCATGTTGATCGATATGCGCAGGATGAAAAGCAGCAAATCTACAAAAGTGAATGCATGCTCCAGACAGACCAGGTATGCCTTGTTCCAGTTTTCAAAGATGACGCCTTGACCTGCGAGATGATTGAATATCAGGTGGTGGCGCTCACAGCACACTTGGGGCTAGACACAGCAGGCCATTTTCGAAGTGCACTGCGCCTTGCTCCTGCCATCACCAATCAAGTCACTCCTGCAGAATGGCTTCTCACTGACGATTGGGTCACACCCAAGCCCTTGTGGGATGTGCCAAACTGGATGAAACGCACAGCCACAGTGTATTGGCTGACACGATCCGATGAAGTGAAACTTTGGAAATACCGGAACATGGACACCAAGCCAGATGCAGAAGCAGTGAACGCAGCGATCCTTGCCATGCTGCCACTGCCCAAATGAAGCAAACGGCATCTCATGCCGGCATTTTGAATTTTCTCCATTTGCACCATCACCCAATAGATGGAAGAACGATGCTTTTCATTTTCTCCAAGAGCGGCACCTGAGTGACACTGTAGGGGGCCAGGTCGATTCCACAACGGAACCGTTGCAATAGCAACGCTGGTCGGCACAGACCTTGAGAGCTTTGGAAAAGGTGTGCAGCCAAAAGAAAACACACACACACACACACATTCATCTAGTCTATATACATATACACTTAAGATAAGGCATGAAGCGAGGCCGTGCAATTTCGCTCCCAGGTCGGAGTTCATGGACCGCCATCCAAGTGGCCCAACCACCATTGTGGCCTGGGCTGGCAAGGTGGGGGTGCGGTTGGGAACGCAGCTGAAGATGTTGAAACGCTTTTGCTTGATGGGCATCAGGACGCCTCCAAGTTCTTCAATGACATCCATAAGGGCGTGAAGATCGACTCATACCTGCGCCCTGAGGTCGTTGCGCAGCTGGTGGATGGGTTTTGATTTTAATGGAACGTATTTCCATTTGAACAATTTGAACATCGCTGATCCATTTTTCGGAACCATCTTCAACTTGCTCACCGCGCTTCAGGCATTCCAGGGGGACTTGGGCCTGGACGAGAGCCTCATGTCTGACAACTTCTACCACACTTTGAGGGAGGCTCGTATTGCCGAGGTGCGCAACGTGTAGGATCATCACGGGTCATCATGCTTTTACTGTCCTGTCACCGTGAAGCTTTGTGCGTTAATGCTTCATCAATCCATTTTGTGCCTCCAACATTTGTCCAACCCTGTGATCTCTGTGGGGTTTGATTCAGAGCGATGCAGGTGAAGGAGGAGTTGGACCGTATCCTGAGCCAAGTGTCTGGAGGAGGCAAGGCTGATAGCGTCTCGCGGCTCCTGCAGGACGATGGGGTGGAACGGGGAACTAGGCCTTGCCTTGGCGATGTGGAGAGGGTGTTTGCGCAAGGATGGTGGTGATTGGATGTGATTGGTAGATGTCGATTTTCCAGTGGGGGGTCGTCCTGTCCTAGCATTTTCGTCCAGGACAAGAGCATCAGCGCGGATTTGAAGATGAAACTGCAGCGCCTGGAAACCCAGAAGCGTGCGGCTTTGGACTCGGAGGACTATGCCAAAGCTGCTGAGATCAAGAAGTCTGTGGAGGCCTGTCATGTCTGATGTCCAAAGACTTCGCACTTTGACATACTTGCTTGATATTTGATATTTGGATATCTTTGGCACTTGAGGATGTCGCGATGTGTTGAGAGATGTGTTGAGAGATGTGTTGAGAGATGTGTTGAGAGATGTGTTGCGAGATGTGTTGAGAGATGTGTTGCGAGATGTGTTGAGATTTGATGTTGAATAACTTACAAACATGCAGCAGGCTGAGAAAATCTGTCGGGCAGAGCCAGCATCGGAGGGGCATTGCCCTAGATTCGATTTGATGGACGGATATTTACAGATAGATGGACGCTGGTTGTTTACTTACTTACTTACTTACTTTCTTACTTAACTAACTAACTAACTTACTTACTTTCTTACTTACTTACTTCCTTACTTCCTTGCTTGCTTGCTTACTTACTTACTTCCTTGCTTGCTTGCTTGCTTGCTTGCTTGGTTGCTTCCTTCCTTCCTTCCTTCCTTACTTACTTACTTACTTACTTACTTTACTTACTTACTTCCTTACTTCCTTGCTTGCTTGCTTGCTTGCTTGCTTGCTTGCTTACTTGCTTGCTTGCTTGCTTACTTACTTACTTACTTACTTACTTACTTACTTACTTACTTACTTACTTACTTACTTACTTACTTACTTACTTACTTACTTACTTACACACACATATATATATATATTTACACTGTATATACCCAGTGACCACTATCAGTATCACTATCTACTACCCCTGCTGCAATTCAGTTGAAGGCAACAGGCCTCTTCCAAAGTTGTTCGTCTTTGCTTACAAACGTACAGGGTTTGGTGGAAGTCTGCAGGCGGTCAACATTGGATTGATATAGTGAAGGTTGCTGGTAGGTCCCATTTCGGGGGTCAGCAACCTCAAAAGGTTGCGGTGGAGGTTGTTTTGAAGTCAATTTTGGTGGGTTCCTGCTCCTAAATTGGGCCCCGAACCCTCCAAAACTATCCAGTTTTTGGCTTTCCAAACAGCCTCGACCTCAACTTGTTGCGGTTGAGGTTCCACAGCAACTTTCATGGAACAGTTTCTACATTTAGTGCAATTTTCAATTCAATCCTGCAATCCTACATCCTTGCTCATGTTGAAGATGAGAATGTCAAAGGCCACTGAACTTGCCGCTGTAGATCCTCCGGATATTCAGTGAAACATGCGCCTCCCACCATCTCACATTGGAGGCGCTACTTGCTGACGACGACCACGCACACTTGCACGATGTTCCTTTGGACCAAGCCGCCAACTGCAACATTCCCTTGTCCGAGGTGCCGTGGTGACACAACCTGCTCATGTGGCCTTTTTATGCCTTTTTATTTAAGAAGATGGACAGACAAAGAATCAATGAATCAAGCAACATAAGCAACAAAAGCAAACTTCTGCAGATTCCTGCACATAGCAGGCAGCATTTGGACCTTCATGACTGCGGGTTGATCGTATCATCAACACTTTGCAGACTTTGCAGGTGGCCCGACACAACAAGCCACACGACTGCTGGGTGGCCCTGAACGGTTGTGTCTACGATTTGTCCGATTTTCTCCTCCAGCACCCCGAGCAGCGCAATGCCATCCTGGCGTGGGCTGGTCGAGATGCCACAGCAGTGTGGAACAAAATCCCTGGACGCTTCCCAAGTGCCAACTGGATGGAGCCGCTTGACCTGGACCTGAAACGAAAACCTACTGATTGGGATGGGATGAACATGGACCTGAAGGGATATTAACAGCCTGTAATAGCAGTACAGTCTAGTATTTTGTAGTATTACATTATATACATGTATTATTTTGGAACATTTTGGATAGTTTTGTTCTCTGGAGTTGCTCAAGAAGCATCAACTCAAGCCAAGTGGACCATAGACCCTCATGATCCTCATGATTCTTGTTGCAAAAACCGTCGTCGGCGATGATCAAAACTCCTTGCGGCCTGCCAAGGTTCTATATGCGTCCTGAGGCCCGCATGGGTGACATCGGCAAGGAGCCAGAGGCAGGGACATGACAGATTGGTGCCGGACGGCAGCTGGTGTTTTTGCCAGACCGATGACAACGACCACTTTTTTTTTGACTGGCTTAAGCAGCATAGCTCTGATATGATTTGGACACATGCATACATAAAATTGAGTAAAAATATACAAAGGTTTGACCTTAAAATACTTGGTTCAGTTGGTCTCGAGTCCAAGAATTCGGCGTACAGTCCCTGAATGTCCTTCAAACATATCTAAAGTAGATCTTTGGTCAACCTCGGTCTCAGAAGTTTCACTTCAGCACCGGAGTCGTGGAGTGAATCAAATCACATGTTACACTGTTGCACTATGTTGCACTTATTAAGACTCATTCATCGAATTATCAATGAGAAAATCAATCATGACTCACATGACATATCGTCGAGTCGTCGACTGACATGTTCGATATTTTTGGATGTCGACGATGTCGATGGTGTCCGCTGCAGGTGGATCCCAAATTGGCACAGATCCGGCAGCTGCAGGACGAGCTCTGGAAGTTGGAAGGCCCCAGTGCTGAGGAGATCCAGGCGGCCAAAGCGGCAGCACAAAAGGTACCAGGCTCTCGGAGATCGGAGATGATTGGGAGATGATTGGGATGGGGTTACGGGGTTGGGCAATGTGAGGCAAATTGGATGGTTCAGGATGGTTTTAGGTGTGTCATATCTCAGGATATGTCAGGATATGGAGGGATAGCTGTGCCTTTCAACATCTTAGAACCAGCTGCCTTGAGGCACAACTGATGCGCCCACGCTGGGGGAAGAGGCCCGTTTCCCAAAGTTGAAGGAGATCAGTGCTGGAAAGGACCATGACCGCGGAGGGGGTCCAAGCACGTCGAGTCGAGTATTCGCGGAATGCAAATGCCAGTAAGCTGTCATAGAGTTCCAATATATATATATACATATACACATTGATACAATTAATTTATTAATTGTAATGTCAGATGATGTAAGTTTTTCAAAAGTTTAATCAGCCCGATAAGAGCCGTAAAGGCGTGTTGAGAGCTGGCGTGTTTGAAGATCTTTCCCTTCAATGACGGTTGTGGTTGCTGTTGCTGGAAAAGGAGCTTCCCTTTTTCTCCCGAGCGGAAGTTGCCAAGCACAACAGTGCTGAAGAGCCGAAACTTCGCCGAAAGGGATGGAGAAGATCGAGCATGGTGGTGAAGTCGTATCGAAATAAACCCAATGTAAATTTTAGTCTGGCTCTGGGTCAGCAAGGATGCGGAAATTGCATGACATCGCTAAACAATATCTTAATAGCTATTTCAGGGTGTTGATTCTTGATGTGTGACCTGTAGTAGAAATGATCCTAGTTGCCATGGCTTGCCGCCTTTGATCTCAATATGCAGCACACCAGCAGACATGCTGCAACCACACCTTGAGATCCAAGAAGTACAGCATGTCCAGTCAGCCTTGTGAAGATTTGTGTTTGCTGTGGCAGAGAGCTGGGCAACAGAGGTGTCCAGCAGTATCCAAAACATCTAAAACAAGCATCCAGCAAGCAGCGGTGCCACGATCTGGTGCAAGTCATTGTGAAACTTGCAGCTGTAAAATCCATCAACATCTGAGCTTCAGGTACATGATCATCCACAACAAGGTCTACAACCTGAAATCCTTGATGGGCGGTCATCCAGGGGGAGATGACATTTTGTTGTCTCGCGCGGGCACTGATGCCACCAAAGACTTCGAGGTCTTCGAGCATTCAGAGAAGGCTGTGGGTTGGGTGAGGTCTCCAGGCAGGTTGCGACCCCGTCGGAATATGCATTCTTGAAAGCTGCATCTGAGTTTCTAGGTTTCATTTCCACTCTGCAGACACTGTCATTGGTTGAGTGGCCCAAGAGCAGGGAGTTAACCGGGGGCCGCTGTGATGCTGTGTGCAAGGCGCGAGTGCAGCGAGATCGTGATATGTTGGTGGGGCAGCTGGTGCCTGCAGAAGCTACTGACTGGTCAGCAGAAGCAACGGTTGCGCAGGTCGTGGGAGAGGACGCAGATGGGATCAGATGCGATTTGGGTTGGATGGATTTGTTGGATTTGGTGAGTCCTTCCACACCTTTTGACACCTTTTGAAGGAGGGCTAAACGTGCAGAATCGAAGGGACTCAATCTCAGATTGATCAAAGGGAGCCCCAGTTTGGCAGGAGACTTCGGAGACAGGCAGGTACTTGCGCTATAAGGCTTATGACGTCGCTTTGGTTACCATCGGCTGGTACCTCTATAAGACCCTGCAGAACAGACACTGGGTTGCATCGATTTGCATCATTTTGGATTCCTTGGAAATGCTTGCGTTGATGGATGTTGATGGGGGGTTCAAGAGGATTCAAGAGGTATTTGTGTGCGCAGCTGTTTTCTTTGAAGTGACTGAAAGCAAGCCAGCACTCAGTGTGATATATAACTTCTCACGCGAGTCAAATAGTGTGAAAGGAGCACTGCCAGAATCAGCCAGAGCATGTCTGCATTTCGCACAAGTGAGTGAAGTTCCGAATCATTGACTGTAGCAACTTCCTACAGCTAACCCAAAACTCTCTGTCAAATGATGTCAGGATCATGCAACCTTTGAAATCCTTCGGATGTTTGCACAATGCTTCTGATACTTTCTGAATTTTGATGATCTCTGATGATCGCTGATGATATCTGTGCATGTTCACCAGGAAAGCCACTGTCGCAGTTCACCTACAGCCGTGCCCTGCGCCATTTGCATCTCATCATGGCCGTCGGTATCTTCGGGGCCGTGGGCACAGCTCAGGCGGCACAGCACTGTGAGGGTCAAACCAAAAAGAAGCTGCTGTGGTGGCACAAGCAGACTGGGGTGGCAACTCAGATTGATTTGGACATGTATGTAGTATGTATATACAGTCATTGCAGTATATAAGTAGTAGTGATAATAATAATGATAATACATAATATTCATAACACTACTACTAACAATAATTATATATATATATTAATTATACATAGTATGTGTAAATAAAAATGCATACGTACATATAGTTGGATGATTTCATTTGGAATGATCTAGATTTGCAAGTGATCGGTGGAACACACCTGCTATTAGCTCAGGCCCAAAGTGGCGAGGGGAAGGGAAGGGAGTCAAAACTTTGAGCCCAGAGGACCACAGATTGCCAGTACGGAATAGCACGATGTTTACACCTTGGGCCCAGAATTTTGACCTCAAAATTTGTTGGTGTTGCAGTGCCCCCTATCTTCAGAGTGATTGTGTGTATACACGCACATATATATATATACATATAAATATATAATATATACATATTTAATGTACCCCGCCCACATAGAATATGCGTTTTTCCGATTATGCAGTTGAACTCGAACGCAACTCCACTTAGAATATGCCCCCATTTCGTGCTTATTTGTTTTCTCCCCATTTGAATTATCAACATATCACCCATACTGCAACACAAATGGACATATATGGACATTTTTCAATTTTTCACCCCACTAATTTTCGTTTGAATTATCAAAATATCACCCATATTACAGCATAAATGGACATAAATGGACATAAATGGACATTTTTCAAATTGTCATCCCACTAAAATCCTTTGAGTTATCAACATATCACCCATACTGCAGCATAAATAGACATATATGGACATGTTTCAAATTTTCACCCCACCAAAATCCTTTGAATTATCAAAATATCATCCGTACTGCAGCATACAAGAACATTTTTCAAGTTTTCACCCCACTATTTTGTTTTGAATTATCAAAATATCACCCATACTGCATTATAAATGGACATAAATGGTCATGTTTCAATTTTTTCACCCCACTAAAATCCACCAAAACACCATCAAAATCCTTTTTGACATTGTTCAAGCTCACCTAAAGGTACCCACCTTGACCGGTGTCGAGGAACTATGAAAGATTTTTTTTTTTGCAATGAAAACTAATGGACTTAGGTGGCATTCCTTCAAAAATTGATGAATATTTTCACTGGGGACCTATTTTCTATGTATGTAGTTCTGCAAGGAATTTGATCGTTTCCATGTAAAAGGTCATATAATTATCATATACATAATTCCCTTTGGGGAGCAGCAATCCTGGATGTCTGAAGTTCCTAAACTGGAACGTTTCAACAAAAAAACAGGTCCCCCGAAATGATCAATTTCTTTTCATATTGTATTTAAAAAAAATGAGTTTTTCAAGCTCACCGAAGGGTACCTCCCACGAACGGTGTCGGAGAACTATGAAAAAAAATTACTTTACTTCGTGTGATCCCCACCATGACATTTATACATTTTCTTACTGGCAAATCTTCTGGCATTCCATCTGACATATCTTCTGACATTCTATTTGGCATTCTATCTGGCATATCTTCTGGCAAATGATCTGGCATATCTTCTGGCATATCTTCTGGCATTCTATCTGGCAAATCTTCTGGCATTCTATCTGGCATTCTATCTGGCATATCTTCTGGCATTATCTGACATATCTTCTGGCATATCTTCTGGCATATATGGCATATATTCTGACATATCTTCTGGCATTCTATCTGACATATCTTCTGGCATTCTATCTGGCATATCTTCTGGCATATCTTCTGGCATATCTATCTGGCATATCTTCTGGCATATTTTCTGGCATTCTATCTGGCAAATCTTCTGGCATTCTATCTGGCATTCTATCTGGCATATCTTCTGGCATATTATCTGGCATTCTATCTGGCATATCTTCTGGCATATCTTCTGGCATATCTTCTGGCATTCTATTTCATTTCTGGCATATCTATTCTTTCTGACATTCTTTCTAACTTTCTTCTGCACATTCTTTGTCCCTATCTTCCTACATGAGGTCCGGCAGGGAACACTTGGCGTGGATACTCGTGGTTGAGGTCCGGCAGGGAACACTTGGCATGGATACTCGCGGTTGAGGTCCGGCAGGGAACACTGGGCGTGGATGGTCGTGGTTGAGGTCCGGCAGGGAACACTGGGCGTGGGTGGTCGTGGTTGAGGTCCGGCAGAGAACACTGTGGATCGCGGGTCGCAGTTGAGCAAGGACGACGAGGACGACGAGGACGACGAGGACGACGAGGACAACAAGGACGACAAAAGGATGACAAGGAGGACGAGGAGGAGGAGGAGGAGGAGGAGGCAACTGACATAAAATCTAACAACCCTCACCTGGCAGGCGGGGAAATAGTTTGCAATGAAAACTAATGGAATTAGGTGGCATTCCTTCAAAAATTGATGAATATTTTCACTGGGGACCTATATTCTATGTATGTAGTTTTGCAAGCAATAGGGTCCCCTTCATGTATAATTATTATATACGTAATTCCCTTTGGGTAGCAGCAATCCTGGATATCTCAAGTTCCCAAACTGGAACGTTTCAACAAAAAAACAGCTCCCTCGAAATGATCAATTTCTTTTTATATTGTATTAAAAAAAATGAGTTTTTCAAGCTCACCGAAGGGTACCCCCCACGACCGGTGTCGGAGAACTATGAAAAAACTATTTTGCAATGAAAACCAATGGAATTAGGTGGCATTCCTTCAAAAATTGATGAATATTTTCACTGGGGACCTATATTCTATGTATGTAGTTTTGCAAGCAATAGGGTCCCCTTCATGTATGATTATTATATACGTAATTCCCTTTGGGTAGAAGCAATCCTGGATATCTGAAGTTCCTAAACTGGAACCTCTCAACAAAAAAAGCAGCTCCCCCGAAATGATCAATTTCTTTTCATATTGTGTTAAAAAAATGAGTTTTTCAGGCTCATCGAAGGGTACCCCCCCCACGAATGGTGTCGGAGAACTATGAAAAAAAAACTAGTTTGCAATGAAAACTAATGGACTTAGGTGGCATTCCTTCAAAAATTGATGAATATTTTCACTGGGGACCTATATTCTATGTATGTAGTTTTGCAAGCAATAGGGTCCCCTTCATGTATAATTATTATATACGTAATTCCCTTTGGGTAGCAGCAATCCTGGATATCTGAAGTTCCCAAACTAGAACGTTTCAACAAAAAAACAGCTCCCCCGAAATGATCAATTTCTTTTTATATTGTATTAAAAAAAATGAGTTTTTCAAGCTCATCGAAGGGTACCCCCCCACGACCGGTGTCGGAGAACTATGAAAATAAAACTATTTTGCAATGAAAACCAATGGACTTAGGTGTCATTCCTTCAAAAATTGATAACTATTTTCACTGGGGACCTATATTCTATGGATGTAGTCCTGCATGGAATAGGGTCCCCTTCATGTATAATTATTAAATACGTAATTCCCTTTGGGGAGCAGCAATCCTGGATGTCTGAAGTTCCTAAACTGAACGTTTCAACAAAAAAACAGGTCCCCCGAAATGATCAATTTCTTTTCATATTGTATTAAAAAAATGAGTTTTTCAGGCTCATCGAAGGGTACCCCCCACGACCGGTGTCGTAGAACTATGAAAAAAAAATAGTTTGCAATGAAAACTAATGGACTTAGGTGGCATTCCTTCAAAAATTGATGAATACTTTTCACTGGGGACCTATATTCTATGTATGTAGTTTTGCAAGCAATAGGGTCCCCTTCATGTATAATTATTATATACGTAATTCCCTTTGGGTAGCAGCAATCCTGGATATCTGAAGTTCCCAAACTAGAACGTTTCAACAAAAAAACAGCTCCCCCGAAATGATCAATTTCTTTTTATATTGTATTAAAAAAAATGAGTTTTTCAAGCTCACCGAAGGGTATCCCCCACGACCGGTGTCGGGGAACTATGACAAAAAACATATGTTTGCAATGAAAACCAATAAAATGAATGAATATTTTCACCGGGGACCTATATTCTATGTATGTAGTTCTGAAAGGAATTTGGTCTCTTCCATACAACAGGGTGTATAGGATATACGTAATTCCCTTTGGGGAGTAGCAACCCTGGATGTTTGAAGTTTCTAAAATAGAACGTTTCAACAAAAAAACAGGTCCCCGAAATGATCAATTTCTTTTAATATTGTATTGAAAAAATGAATTTTTCAGGCTCCCGAGGGGTACCCCCCACGACCGGCGTCGTAGAACTATGAAAAAAAAATATTTTGCAATAAAAACCAATGGAATTAGGTGGTGTTCCTTTAAAAAATGATGAATATTTTTCACTGGGTACCTATATTCTATGTATGTAGTTCTGCAAGGAATAGGTCCCCTTCATGTATGATTATTATATACGTAATTCCCTTTGGGGAGCAGCAATCCTGGATATCTGAAGTTCCTAAACTGGAACGTTTCAACAAAAAAACAGGTTCCCCGAAATGATCAATTTCTTTTCATATTGTATTAAAAAATGAGTTTTTCAAGCTCACCGAAGGGTACCCCCCACGAACGGTGTCGGAGAACTATGAAAAAAAACTAGTTTGCAATGAAAAACTAATGGAATTAGTTGGTGTTCCTAAAAAAAGATGGTTAACTAGTTTCGCTGGAAACGTCCAGAATTGTTATAGGAAAGTGAACAATTTATATGGAAAAATAATGAATTTGTCTGGAAACATGAAAGAAGTTATATGGAACAAATATGGAAAAGTGAAGAATTTGTATAGAAATGTGAAGGATTTATTAAGACATATATAGGAAAAATGATGAATTTGACTGAACAAGTGAAAGAAATTGTATGGCAAAAATATGGAAAAGTGAAGAATTTGTATGGAAACGTGAAGGATTTAGAAAGAAAAGTGAAGAATTTCTATGGAAAAATGACGAATTCGTCTGGAAAAGTGAAAGTGAAAGAATTTATATGGCCCAACGATATTCTAAGTATAGGTTTTTTGACGTCAACTGTATTCTAAGTATCCTGTTTCAAGTTCAATTATGGGGATGCCCTGGGAAGCCGAAATTTCAATTCCATATTCTATGTGGGCGGGGTAGATTATATATATGCATGTAATATATGAATTATGTATCTACATATGTGTATATATAGATAGATATGCCTATAGCTCCTCAGACTGATCCCAAGGCGATGCTCATTGCAATCGTCATGCGCATTTTCTTCCGCATGCGAAGCGGCATCCCTCCGCGTTTCCCAGGAGATGGGACGGGGAAGGAAAGAGAATCTCGTTTATAGATTGTTGATAGCATGCAACTGATGGTAGACACACACACACATATATATATATATATATTATGTATATATATATATGTATATTCTATGTATATATATATGATGTATATAATTAACATATGCATATATTTTGACATTGAATTTGATCCATGCGAGTCAAGACTTGCCCTCTGAAGCAGGTTCTCCACACTTGAGGTGAACTTTTCATAGCAGTTTTTTGGGGCAGACAGCTCTAGTATTGCAGCAATTTACTCAGTTTCTGTTGATGGATCGGCAAGAGTCAGCCTGCATGGCATTGACGGTGCAGCTTCCCCTCTGATAGGAAATAAGGCAGTGCAGTTCATTGAGACCCTCAGTCTCAGAGCATTCTATGGTCTGGGTGTGCTCCTTCCAGTATCAGGCCATGAGTCATTTATCAGTGACAGGCTCCTTTTTTAGCGGAGAAGAGTCCCTTGAGTTCTGCAACCATCAGTGGCAAATGTTCAAAGCTTGAGGTGTCAAGGTTCAATGGAGGAGACATGGAGTGCCTTCGTGGCTAGTGGACCCGCGGACGTACAATTTACACTGAAAGAAGATAAAACTTAAACAGGTTGAAACACATCTAGATAAGAGTGCAGAGCGAGAGAGATTTCACCCGAACTTATGCGAGGCCTTCCCCCAAGTTCCTTCATTCGAAGTCAAAAGCATCCATAGCGATCGATATATAGCCGCATCCATGATTCACTCGGACTTTGGGGAACTGGGGGCTGGGTGCAGATGGAGCAGGCATTGCGAATGAGTATTTCCTGAAGTGGGCCCCTGGTTCTGAGACCACTGGAAAGGAGGAAGATGATCGAAGGAACGACCGTTTAGCAAAGACTTCAATTGATGCGCACAAAATCTTGGGCAAGTTCCTCCAGTTTGCCTTCTTGCCCTTCCATTTGGGCTACACCACCATGTACCACTACTCTCAAGGCCGTGGTGTTGTCCGAAAGGTGTCTCCCTTCATTTGAGATATCCTACCATTTTGCGTGGAAGAATCGGCTTTCGAAAGGGCAACACGCAGCTTCAACAAAACACACAGAACTGCAGTGTTGCGCTACCGCCCTTGCGGAGCAAGAGCGCTTGCTTTTTGTACATAGCTGAGTGGGATGCATGGCCCTGCTGTGGTGCCCATCTTGGTAGTGTACTCAGGCCACATGTGCCACCCCAATTTCAATTTCTTGGGATGAGGTCAAGATGCCTCAGGCTTCCCAGTTCCATTCCATTCAACATCCAAGGACGAATGCGCCAAAAATCGATTGACTCCATTGTGATGATCCATGATGATCCATTCATTTTGCAGCACTGTGCTATTCACTCTCGTGCCGTTACTCTGCGTGCACGCTTCCGGGAAACATGAGTTGCGCTGCGTACAGCTGTGATTTTGAGGTGTCATGGCGCTGGGTCGCAGCTTGCAGGTGCACCACTGACTCATCACCCACTGAAATGCAGTCTACCGGAGTCTACCCGTTGATCACCTGCTGCAACACAATGTAAGACGCTTAGAATAAGTTCTGCTACTTTCCCTTTAAAGAGTCGCGGGCTTGTGCTTCGTGGTTCAGAGCAGTGTAGACAGGGAGCCTTTGCAGCGGGTTGGAAGTCCAAGTCACGCCATAGTACCTGACTCATCCTGACACCACATTGGCTAACAAAAGCTTGAGAGATCAGAGAGGGCAATTTGTTGAGAAGCTTGGAACATGTACTGGAAGATGCACGATGTTTCGCCATGCCATGTTTGTTGTCCACGAGGGTGAAGCTTGGTAGTGAACAGTATCCATTCGGCAAAATGTTAGTCGGTGACTCATGTGGCAATCTATTTCATCCATTTTTCATCAATGTTTCATCATTTTTCCATCAACATACATATATAGGCTTATCATATCTTCTCATGGCTTCTCCGAATTTGTGAAGCTGGGGATGCGCTTCACCATGCTTCACCTCATGGTGCCTGCCTGAAGCGCTATGGCCGCTATGGGTCCAGAGAGCCCCTCGACCGTCACAGAAGTGGCCTCTGTGGAGGTGCGGCGCTTCGTGTGCTCTGCACAGAATGGGCTGCAGTGTATCTTGGACCCGGAAAGTTTGACATTATTTTCTGCACGTACATCACAGATAAGATTAGACAAGTTTAGATAAGATCAGATGAGATCAGATGCGATAAGATGAGAATAGATGAGATAAGATTAGATAATGTTAGATAAGTTTAGATAAGTTTAAATAAGATCAGTTTAGATTAGATAAGATGAGATGAGATTAGATAAGAGAAGATGAGATAAGGTGAGATAAGAAGAGATAAGATTAGATAAACATAGATAAGATAAGATTAGATAAGATTAGGGTCAGATTAGATAAGATCAGATAAGATTAGAGAAGAGAAGATGAGATAAGATGAGATAAGATAAGATTATGCTAGGTACACCAGTGACTTAGGACTGTGAAAGATACCCCGGGGTGGCCAAGTCCTATCTCATTATGCGTCGGACCCCCCATGGACAAGTCCCAAACATCAGGTGTCCGTCTGAGATTAGAAACTATGTTTGTTTTTTTTTTTGATTTGCTGCGAGGTATTTATTTTTCAAGAATCTAGTGCGGCATGGACCACTCGTAAATCATGATGACATAGGAATGAACTAGCAGAAATATATTAAGATGGGCCTAAGTCATCATGCTTGTGGGCTGCACCAAGTATGTATGTAATGTAATGTACTGTAATGTAATGTAAGTATGTATGTTCTGATGACTTAGGACTTATGCCCCTCTGGTGACATACGATGTTGTGCACCAAGTCCAATGTATTTACTGATGACTTAGGACATTAAGAGAAGTTTTTTTTCCCTAAAAAAGTGCTTGCGTCCAATAACAACCCCAGTGACTTAGGACTTGGTGCACAAAATCCTATGTCACTATGTGGGCCTAAGTCCTAAGTCATGGGTACCTAGTATAAATAATATTAGATAAGGTCAGATAGATTCGGGAAGATTAGATAAGATGAGATAAGATTATATAAGATCAGATAAGATCAGGCAAGATCAGACAAAATCAGATAAGATTAGATCAGGTTAGATAAGATTAGATAAGATCAGATAAAATTAGACAAGCTGAGATAAGCTTTGATAAGCTTAGGCAAGATTAAAAAAATATAATATTAGATACAATTAGATAAACATAGATAAAATTAGATAACATTAGATAGATAGATAGATAGATAGCTAGATAGATAGATAGATAGATAGATTAAATAGATAGATAGAGAGATAGAGAGATAAATAGATAGATAGAAAGAAAGATAGATAGCTAGGTAGGTTGGTAGGTAGGTAGGTAGGAAGGTAGGAAGGTAGGTAGATAGATAGAAACCAGAGATAGAGAGAGAGAGAGATAGATATGTGTATACAGTAGATATATTTGAAAGTCTTTGTTGCACCCTGCAGTTGACAAATTTGCGCATGGAAACGCAGCCATGTCTCGCTGAAGGCATGATCTGGTTGCCCTCCCACAGCTGCTTCGTGGATGGCCAGCTTCGTAGCTTGTCGACATCAGGTGGTTGGAACGGTTAATGTCCCGCGATTCAGCGTAATCTGGTCATATTTAGATGCGACGTGACATAAAGCTTACAATGACAGGATCAGTTGATCATCAGGTGATCTTCCAGTCAATCTAGTCAAGCTCCACTGCGCAGCCGTTGTGGTTCGAGCAGGGCAAGAGGGGCAGGCAAAGACCTGTTCACTCGTCCACCCAGTCGACGCTGTGAGGGGTGATGCCCTCGCTTCAGGAGCAAATCGACGCGAAAAGGAAAGAGGCTGAGCACCTTAACAAGGCTGGGTTGGCGATGGGGTCAGTTTTGAGCTGTGACCGAAAGATATTCAAACCGTCAAAGCCATGCTTGATGCGGTGATTTGGTGGATGGGTCAGATAGGTGTTCCACACGACACGACACATACCGCACAAGCCAGGAGCTTGAAGATACACTGGCGAAGGACCTCGTAAAACATGTCAACGATATGCAGGATGCGGTGAGCAGGATGGACATGTCACAATTTGCTGAGGTTAAAGCATTGGCAAAATACACAAATGAGTTGTGCCAAGTGATGAACACTGTGATTTTCATGCTCTTTGACCTGGAGCCAATGGATAGACATACATGGAAACTGAAGTTTTTCGAGCGCGACTGCCTGAAAAGGCTTCAAGAATTCTCACATGATTCAGTCACCGAGAAAATGATGCAGAAGTTGGATGGACACTTTTCAGATCCTGCGGTGAGCTTGGAGAACATTGAGGCTTTGCCTGGACCTGCCATAGTGAAGCATTTGTCCAAGTGGTTGTGGGCTGCCAGAAGTTGCGGCCAACTTGCCGCAGTGCTGAAGCCCAGAATGGAACAGTTTGCAAGTCTAATGGCTGAGCTGGAAAGTCTGGAGAGAGAGAAGGCATTGGTCAGCAGCTGATGCAAAGATAGATGCAGCAGTTGATGCAGCCCTTCAAAAGTCCGCCAAGGTTGCTGTGGGAAGCAGTGTGGATGACCAACAACTGCCCATCATACCTCTTGAATCGTCTTGTTCTCCAAAAGCATCCCAAGTTGTGTTAGTTCACGTTGGATTATCGGCCCCTTCTTGTACCCCCAGCCCACCATATCGCACCATCCTTGGCGCATCATATCGCATCAGCGTTCAATCATGTTCAATCGAGGTCTCACGATGGATCTTTTGGAGCTTCGCACTTTGGGCACTGGCACTGGGCCGTTGAAGGTTCAGCTGGGTTATTTGAGGCACGCTGGGCCCAAAGTCCCGAGGTGGCCCATGACATCGGATGTCGGACATGTTGTGTGACTTTTTACCGCTGGAGCCTTTCGCCGCTTTTTTCAGTGGTTGATTCGTAGCACTTTCGCGACAACATGAAACATTTTTTACCACTAACACTGGCATGAGCTGCTTCTCATTCTATTTGGGTGGCGTTTTCAAAACTTACTGTATATTACCTTCTATTTTTTGGTGGGCTTGTTCTGCTGTCTTTGTTTTTCCTTCCTTTTCTTTCTCCAATTTTCTAAGTCATCCCTGGAACTTCAGTTTCCTTGGAGGGTTTGTCAAGGACCAGGCTGAAAAAGCCAGCATGCCCCTCAGAATCTTGCATCATCTCGACTCATCACTTCATATCACTTCAAGATACTTCAAGATACTTCCAGATACTTCAAGGGTGTCCACCATCAGTGGACATGGTGTGATTGTTTCAATATTGTTTCAGAAAGTTTCTGGGTGAGTGATAGCAAGATCAAGAAGACCTCACCATATATGACCTGAGGGCTGTGAGATGTTGTAAGGGGTGCACCCAAATGAGCAGATTTCTTGTTTGTAAATGATCATACAATCTTCACCTTGGTCACGGGCAATTCACCCGGCAAGATTCTTTGACGTCATTCTTTGTCATTCATTCCAAACACTTTATTTGTGTATCATATACGTATTCAACATATAGCGAATTGGACATAGATAATGAATGATAATGATAAGAATAAGATAAGAGCTCTGAACGCTCACTTGACAAACACGAGACAGCGTCACCATCCAAGTGACTTACATGCACGTGTATCACCACAGAATTTTGCACTGAGTACCGTGCTTGAGATTCTGCATGATGATTATTTTTACATAATAAGTTCAAGAATTCATATCCTTGGTGGGTTTTTGACTCTCAATCAATAGACCTCCCAAGAATCTGAAGATGTTTTCTTAAAACAACATAAATACCATTAAATACCCATATGTTCTCCCCATGTTTGCACATGAACTGACCAGGTCAGTGTCATTGGCCTCCAAGGGGCAGCTCCCGAGACCAGAAGGGCTCAGCGAGAGCTGGTGGGACTTCGCTGTTCTGTTGGAATTCTTCGAGCCCACGGAGGCCATGGGATGGGCGATACGGCCAGACTGCCACTCAACGTCCTCCGCACCTTACCTAAACGATACCTAAAACGATACCTTACCTCAAACATCCTCAAACCTTACGTTTGTCTTTGGTTGCCTCGCTTTTGAGTTTTTGTCGATCCAACGTGGGTTCAAGATGCTTCAAGTATGCTAGCCGCTATTGCCTTTAGACATGTCTTCAAGGTCAAATAGCCGAGTAGGAGCTGAGTGTTTGGTAAGATCGGTTGATGTCGCTGCCGACCAGGCCATGCAGTTGCGCATTGAATGTGTCCTGCTCAGTGGTGATGTGGCTACTCAGACCGCGATGCAGAAAGGGAAGGGCATAGATAGGAAAAGAAAGGAAAAGAAAGGAAAGATAGCAAAGGAATAGAAACGGTAATAGGAGCAATTGGGTCTGAGATCTTCCAATTCTTGGTACCAGTAGCATCTTCCTCGAGTGGTGGCTCCCTAATCCATATGCAATCCATCCAGATGCTCCGTCTGGATGGATTTAGGAAGCTCGGCTGCTGTGCCGGTCCTTGCAGCAGTTGCAGAGATTTGGCGTTCCCTTCGAACCCAAAGAGGAGCTGCCGGAGTGGGTGGGGTGTCCCAGATGCCTGTGCGGGAGATGGGTGGAGGTTGAGAAGCGCTGTGAAGGATATCAAATTAAAGATACCCAAACCCATGGACTTCTTAGCCATTTCTTGAAAGTAGCAATCCCCGTTGCGGGGAGTTTGTCAATGCGGATTGCAAAATTGAACGGGTTCGAAGGGGACCTGTGCAGATCTGTGCGGCAAAGGTGGCTGCACGCGCAAAGGCCGCTTATGCATCTCTCACCTCTGAAGACGTGGCTTTCGCTCTGAAGAAGTGGCATCTTGGATCAATTTGGATCAATTTGGATCATATTGGATGACCGCCCTGGACAGTCCGCAAGGATGGGCAAGGATGGGCAAGGATGGGCAAGCTGAGGCGAGAAGGTTCCATGGTGAGACCCAACAAGACACCGGTGGAGCTGGGTACCTGTTCAGGACTCCGGGAGAAATGGGAGAAGGGGTTTGGTCGTTGGATGTCGTTGGGCTGTTCAAGCCCCAAAAGCATGAAAAACATAAAAAAGTCAGAGCAACCTCTGTAGACGCGCTAAGCTCTGTTTCACGATTCTCACGGAGATGCCAGGTGCAGGTGCCATTTTTTCTTACCTTGCCACCGTGTGGATCCGTGTGGCCATATGCCGCAGGACTGTCCCTGGCATCACTGTGGAACGATGCCACGCAGGCGTTATGGGAAGCTATGCATTCCCCTGCTGTGTTGGGAGCTGAGGGCGCCACGGCAGAACGACTGCTCAAAGCATGCCACAACGGCTTTGATCCATTCCTGGCAGTGAATGCCTCACTGCCGACTGTAGGATTCCAGGTCTGCAAACATTCTGAATGGTTTTGCCATTTTTTGCCAACACCTCCAAATGTTCTGCTGGACATTGATGGAAATTGATGGAAATTGAACATTTCACAGCCGAGGTTGGGCTTCAAACCAGATCCAACGCTTGCTGCCGGTGAGGCGCTAAGCATTCTTCAGGCTTCCAAACAGGCCCAACCATTTCATCATTAAAATGATAAAATGCAGTTCAAACCTATACGCATAAAAAACAAACACACACACATAGTTCACACTATATTATAGTTGCCCACTTACTTATTTATTCATTTATTTCTTTCTTTATGTATGTCATGCAATGTAACTGTAAATTGTAAATTGTAAATGTAAATGTAAATGAACACAAACATGAAAATGACAATTCCCATGTTGTGTAATGCTACGTAGTATTATGTAATGTTGCGTAATGTTGCACAATGTTATGTAATGTTGTGTAATGTTACGTAAGGTTATGTAATGTTATGTAATGGTATGTGATGGTAAGTAATGGTATGTATGTAGGTATTTATTTACTTATGTAACCTTTCATTTTTTAATGTTTCATTCTGCGTTTGCCAATTCAAACCTAGTATTCAAACCATTCGACAATATATTCCATCCATATTCCATACATATCTCATACACATTCCATACATTTCCATAGATATTCTATACATATTCCACAGTTATTCCATACATTATCCCCTACACATTTTATATATTCAACAGATATTCCATAGATATTCCATTTATTTTCCATAAATACTATATACAGATTCCATACAGATTGCATACATATTCCATACATGTTCCTTACATATGCCGCAGATATCCCACAGATATTCCATATATAGATATTCCAAAGATATTCCATAGATATTCCATATATTCCACAGATATTCCATAGGTATTCCATACATATTTCATACAGATTCCATACAGATTCCATATATATTCCATACATATTCCATAGATATTCCATAGATATTACATACATATTCCATAGGGATTCCATACATGTTGCTTACAGATTCCATATATATTCCTTACAAATTCCATAGAGATTTCATTTTTCTTTACCGATTCCAACGAGATTTTATGCATATTCCTTACAGGTTCCATACAGATTCCAAAGAGATTCCATTCATATTCCATAGATATTCCATACATATTTCCTTACAGATTCCATAGAGATTCCATACATATTCCATGGATATTCCATACAAATTCCATACATATTCCATACAGATTCCATAGAGATTCCATACATATTCCATAGATATTCCATACAGATTACATACATATTCCGTACCTATTCCAAACATATCCCCTACAGATTCCATACATATTCGATTCATGTTCCATACGTATTGCATACATATTCCTTACAGATTCAGAGGTTCCATACATATTCCATGCATATTCCATACATATTCCTTAAAGATTCCATGCATATTCGATACAGATTCCATACATATTCCTTACAGATTTCATTTATATTCCATAGAGATTCCATACATACTTCATACATACTTCATACAGATTCCATACAGATTGCATACATATTCCATACATTTTCCTTACATATTCCACAGCTATTCCACAGATATTCCATAGATATTCCATAGATATTCCATAGATATTCCATAGATATTCCATAAGTATTCCATACATATTCCTTACAGATTGCATATATATTACATACATATTCCTTAGAGATTCCATACATATTCCATACAGATTCCATACATATTCCATATATATATATATACATATCCCTTACATATTCTATAGAGCTTCCATACATGTTCCTTACAGATTTCATAGAGATTCCATACATATTCCATAGATATTCCATACAGATTCCATAGAGATTCCATTCATATTCCATAGAGATTCCATAGAGATTCCATACATATCCCATAGAGATTCTAAACAGATTCCATACAGATTCCATATAGATTCCATACAGATTCCAGAGAGATTCTATACATATTCCATACATATTCCATAGATATTCCATACATATTCCATAGAGATTCCATAGACATTCCATAGATATTCCATACAGATTCCATGGAGGTTCCATTCATATTCCATAGATATTCCATACATTTTCCATACAGATTCCATACAGGTTCCATACAGGTTCCAGAGAGATTCCATACATACTCCATTTCCATACATATTCCATAATACATATTCCATAGATATTCCATACAGATTCCATAGAGATTCCATTCATATTCCATAGAGATTCCATAGACATATTCCATAGATATTCCATACAGATTCCATAGATATTCCATACAGATTCCATAGAGATTCCATTCATATTCCATAGAGATTCCATAGACATATTCCATAGATATTCCATACAGATTCCATAGATATTCCATACAGATTCCATAGAGATTCCATAGACATATTCCATTATATTCCATACAGATTCCATAGATATTCCATACAGATTCCATAGAGATTCCATTCATATTCCATAGATATTCCATACAGATTCCATAGATATTCCATACAGATTCCATAGAGATTCCATACAGATTCCATTCATATTCCATAGAGATTCCATAGACATATTCCATAGATATTCCATACAGATTCCATAGATATTCCATACAGATTCCATAGAGATTCCATTCATATTCCATTGAGATTCCATAGACATATTCCATAGATATTCCATACAGATTCCATAGATATTCCATACAGATTCCATAGAGATTCCATTCATATTCCATAGAGATTCCATAGACATATTCCATAGATATTCCATACAGATTCCATAGATATTCCATACAGATTCCATAGAGATTCCATAGACATATTCCATAGATATTCCATAGACATATTTCATAGATATTCCATACAGATTCCATAGATATTCCATAGATATTCCATACAGATTCCGTAGAAATTTCATTCATATTCCATAGAGATTCCATAGATATTCCATAGAGATTCCATAGACATATTCCATAGATATTCCATTCATATTCCATAGATATTCCATACAGATTCCATAGAGATTCCATACATATTCAAACATATTCATAGTTTTGCTGGTAACTCCATGACCGTCTGAGGCTGGGATGCTCCGCTGCAGGGCGGGGGCGAGGAGCGTCTGGAGGCCGAAGCCCAGCTGACGGAGAAGTGGTGCCTCGACAAAGCGGTGCCGGCTCTGTAGCTGTCGGGGAGATTGCGACCCTGTCTTTGCGTTTCCACGTGCTTCCAGCGTGCTTTCAACGTGCTTTTAACGTGCTTTTAACGTGTTTTAACGTGCTTTCATGAATAGACCAGTGTTCATTGTGAGATGTCGAGATGTCGTGAGCTGTTGAGGCGCAAAATCCTCGGGGGCCGCCAGCCTGACGAATTGAATCGTCAGCAGATGCGGGTACTGTTCGTCCTGGCGGACCGCATCCCTTGGCAATACAGGTGGGTTTGCCGAAAATCACCACGCTGGATTCTGTAAATGTATTAAATCTGATTTCAATGCTTCAGGATGCTTCAGGACATTCTTGTAATGCGTTTGCGGTGGTGCTGTATAAGATTGTATAAGTATACACTATAAATTTCAGGGTTTGAGATGTTTTAGGCTTCCTCCAGCAGACGAGTCATTATCATGTACCATGGTTTGCCATGGTTTGCCCGCTTTTGAGCTGGAACGTAATGCTCTGACTACCTGATGCCAGTTGCTTCCGGTATCTTCCAGTCACTTTCAGCCGATTTGCGCTCCATGCTGACGCATGTGTCTATCGAGTTGCTCCAAGTTGAAACCAAAGATGCCAGGATCCGTCAAGATCCGTCAAGATCCGTCAAGTTTTTTTTCGTTTTTTTTGCCCTTTGAACATTTTGAACCTGGGTACCGAAAGCACATGCGATCGATGAACACGAAATTGCCGTTCACCACGATCCTTGTTTCAGCACCTGGCTACCAGCTAGTACTGATGCAAATGCTGGAGGCTCGTTTGTTGGGCTCACTGGTTGAAAGTGGCAGAAGAGGACGGCCAGCCCCTGGAAGGCTCGATGCATACAGATGGGTGCAGATGTGGGCAGTCCCTTCACTTTGGAGTTGCTGCATGCTTCGATTTGAATCTGCAAACATCCCAAAATATAAAAAAACAATTCTGAATCGAGTTATGCGTCATAAATATTCATAAATGGTATCAACGTCCCAGTGTAGGCTGCGAAGCTGCGGCCCCTGAGACTTGTCGGAGGCAGATCGAAAAAGATGTGCCGAGGCCTGCGCATGGCACATGGGCGCAGCATCAACGGGAATCAAGTTGAAAGTTCAAAGGGCCACATTTGATTGCAATATATCACAATTGGTGATCAGCATTGATCAGTGGAATTGTCCCATTGAGTCGTATTAAATCATATTGAATCGTATCAAACCATGGCACTTTGCCAATCTTTGACATTCGGATTGCCTTTCTAGGACAAGGCCTGGCGATCTGAACGAGAAGCAGCGCGCTGCCCTGGGAAGAGTTCTCCTGAGATTCTCAGTCTTGCGGCCCAAGGCGACCCCAGAGATGCGCAGCTTTGGGTCCTACATTTGAGATTCAACAAAAAGTGTTTCTTACATTTTCTTACGGTCTTACTGAACCTTTTGCACTTCAACAAAACCCACCAAAGACATCAAAAAGCGATGTGCCGCGTGCACCTTTTTCTGTGCCCTTGTGCTGTGTTCACAACATCTCACGATGCCAAGGAAACTTTTCAAGGTTAAGCAGCCCATAGTTGCCATCCAATCTGCGGATTCCGCTCAAGTGGGACAGTACATTTTCCGTGAGACATGTTTTCATTGTTGTGTCACAACACCTACAACAAATCCTACAAGAGTTAAGGACGTTTCACTGGGCACCAAACAAAACCTCCATCAAGACATAGCAAAAGGAACACTGACAGTTGCAGCTGCCGGTCGCACTCCCTGCAGGTCGGCTATTGCCAAGGCAAGTCAGTGCTGATCTTGCCATACGGAACCGCCGGGTAGGAAGAAGCCACATCCCCATTGAGTATTTTATTTGACATTATTTGAGCTTATATATATTCAGTTATCTAATCTATCTCAGTTCAAACTTTGGCATACTTTAGCCAATTTCATTTTTGTGCCCCCAAGAGATTCTCCTGGCAGTGCCCATGCTTCAGGCTTGAACTTCATCGTGGCGGTGCAGCTGCTGGCAGGTCTCACGGAAAAACAAACGCTCGGGGGCCTCAAGTCTTTGACGGAGACCTGGCAGCACATCGCTGATAACGGCTATGACGGCTATGATATGCTATGATATGCTGTGAGCAAAGAATTGCTGCTCTTCTCTTACAATTCTTACACAGCAAAATTCTTTGCACTGCGCTCCAAAAAATGGTCCAATACTTTCGAGGGGTTCACATGTCGAGGGCTGGGGCCTAGGACAACTACTGCGAAGGCACCTTTGGGCTTCAAAGCACTACTAGACTACTGGTAGTGACCTGTGCCGAGGAAAACATTACATTCCCAAGCAATGCATGCACACAGTCAGGCAATCCACAGGTGTAAGTCCACTCATTGGAGAGGATAAAGGATGGAAGTAGTTAGCCTATGCAGCCCATGCAACATTGCTGGAATTCGAGTGACTTAGTGTAAAACAATGTAAAGCACTGTCAGATGCGTTGACATATCCAGATTCGGTTGTGCGCATAAACGGCCAAGAAGGTGCTGAAATCGATTGTTTTGAAATCTTTGGAGTATGACAAAATTTGCGAACCGTACCACGTGACAGGCTACTACGAAGAGTCCATGCGAGGGCTCTTGCGCGACATCGCGGTTTTAGATGCTCTCCTGTTTCTTGGAGGAAAAAATGCTTGCCGTTTTTGCAAGTGCTATTTTAAACGACCAGTGCACCCCCATTTCTGCACAAGGTCTCCAAGACCAGTTGTTCTTCAATATCGCAAATAGGTGGAAGGGTATGGCATGTTAGTTGCTTCAACTGGGTAGGCTGCTGACAGGCATCATGATGCTGCCTTTGAAGGAAGCAGCTGTTCAGCTTTAAGGCTATTACTTTTGCCCAAGATCCATGCACGCTTTGCAGAGGCGTGCTCGGAGTATGCTCGGAGTATAAGTGGCTTGCTCCGTGGACAATCCTATCACACTCTATCAATTACATTCAATGACTTAAGTTCTCTACTGTAGGAGCTGATATGCACTTTGCCTGGATGCAATCCGAGCTGAAGGAACATGCGCTGTCCAATGTTGTGCCCAAAACATTGAAATCTGCCATGAGAATCCATGATACTGATTTGATAGTCCTCAGACATCCTCAGACATCTGTCCTGATCAAAGCTTCTTGGCGTTAAAGGAGATAGGAAACGTTTAGAATTTTAGAATGACTAGTGCGCGCAGTGCGACCCCTTGGCACAAATGAATTCCTCTGGAGGTGGATTTGCCCCTCTTGTGGATCGCTGCTGAACCTTTGCTCACACTCTTCTCCAGGGAACTCAAGAACATTGACACTGGGCAAGGTTGGACCGCCCGCCACAAGAGACTTGGACCAGAAGATTTTGATTACCAACCTGCCCAACCAAGGAAAGCATTTGTAGACTTTGGGACTTCTTCTTGATTGAAGGGCCTTGCCTCTTGGCATTGGAAATTATTGGGATCTGTTACTTGACTGACCCACAATTTGCGTCAATTTTCATCATTGGATGCAGTTGTCCTTTGGAGTATCTTGTTGTCATTGCCACCCGCATCAACCAAGGCGCGCCTTTTGCAGCGGTCTGGCCAAATTTAGTGTGGGTTTCCGGGGAGGCTTTGAAGGGGCCTTGATATACGTAATAAATGATGATATTGATGATGTATGTGCGTACACACAGAGACACAGAGAGAGAGAGAGATATAATATATATATATATTTATGTAATGAGAGAGAGAAAGATATATATATATATATACACGATATACATTTTCAACATACATGTCAATATGTCTCGCTAAGTCTCAATTGCTTAGTATTTAGATTCTTGCGTTTTGATTTGGGCCTCAACAGGCCCCGTAGAAACCATCAAGAATCATTTGAATTCATTTTTGATTAGATCTCATTGCACTCGCACCTCCTCAGAATTCCAATCCAATAGCTGATGACTGTTCAGGACTGTTGAGTGAAATTGCAAGGTTTTCTTGGCCTATGCTGAACTGGCACAAGAGCGGAATCTCCTGACCGGCGCGGCAGCAGAAGACACATTGGGAGCATTCAGGCCCTGTGGATCCCAAAAAGGGTCTGCGTCAGCCGGCAAATCCGTGGTGCCTTCGTCAGTTGACGTAGGTGGAACACGCCGAAACGAACTCTTGGTTGATGGGGAATTAAAATCGCGTGGCAGTTCGGAAAGACTGCGTAACTGTGTACGGACGATTAACTCGTAGCAATGATTCTTTGCATTCCATGCGCAGGCAGGCAACAAAATTTGAACATTGTGAAGGTCATCAAAAAGACTGGTTCCAGATTCCAAGTGTCAACCACCTGGCTTAAGAGCTACACCGAGCAATTTTCTAGCTGCATACTCATGATTACTCATGTCTTCTCATGTCATCTGATGTCATTGATCACTCCAGGCTTCTTTTGGGCGATACCGGTGCCATAGCTGCTCAGTTGCAGATGCCGGTGTGCATAGGGTTTCAGCTGCAAAAAATCAGATTCTGCCTTTGTGGGTTCATGACACCAATTTATATTTAGTCTATTCAACTTATTTTATGTTTAAACATTGTATCACCAACCTGGCCTGTAGATTTGTGCCAACATTTATAAACATTGATCAACATTGTACACAGTCCTGGCGGCAGTTCTGCATTCTTCCTGTAACCTTTCTGTTCACCCAGGCTGGCAGCGTTTTGCGCCGCGCCGCCCTTTTTTTGGCACCGCGGCCCTTCGGGGGTGGCCTCAATGATACATTGCTGGCAAGGCTTCGCCAGGTCCGCAGCCGCTGCCGTAACCGCCTTCGTTTGCGTGTCATTTGTTTCATTCCATGGTCTGTAGATCTTTTTAGCTTGATTTTATCATCTTTATTTGTTTCTCCATTTTTGCAGGGCAGATGTGAATGTTTCTTGGTCTCACATTGCAGCTTTGGGATTTGTAACAAAGTTCCAACGATAACCACTGTAGTTTTTCAATCCTTGGGTTCTACACTCAGCATTGTTGTGGTGGTTGTGGTTGTTGTGATTGTTGTGGTTGTTGTGGTTGTTGTGGTTGCGGTGGTGGTGGTGGTGGTGGCGGTGGAGTGCGAAACCTTCCCTTTTCTACTTGCTGACCAGTATTCACCTCAGGAGGCAGATCAGAGCTTCAGAGCCTCGCCAACATGAGATTTCTAGATGCGCACCATTACGTACCCAGCTTCCTGCACTTGGCCTAATGTAGAATGTAGTGTGAAGAGATGTGAAGAGCAAACGTTGTGCAAAGAAGACACGATGGCGGCCAATCTGTGTTCCCGTGCAGCAAGCTACAGCCACACAAAGCTGAAACAGTGTTGCAACGCTTCTATAATCTGTCGCTGTCACCTGGGCTGTTTCAGATACTTTCCTCATCGGCCCTTCAGTTTTCTTTGCCAGCACGTTTGCTTAGGGCCGAATAGGGTCGAGCATGTTTGGTGATGAGATTGCTAAAGGCACACCTCTCTCCGAATGCTTGGCTACCATTTGCGCCTTCGGGTGCAGTAGGCATGTGGGCCATGTAGGCCAGTTGTCCCACCATTGGACTAACAATGTTTAAGAGGAAAGGTCAGATGCCCAATCCACGGCGATTGCATATGACATAATATGAAGATGGGACTTGCTTCCTATTTGGGAACTTGTGGAAAGTTGGTGTTATGGATCGTTGTCGTACGTTACAAACGTTACTTACAATCTTACAATCATAGGTCCAAGATGGTCCAAGCACATTGGTGCAAAATGGTGCAAAGACAACTGCCACAAACTGCCACGCAATACCAAATGTTCTCCTCTTTATGAGTGGCCGCTGGCTGCTGTGAAGTCTGGATGCCCTGCCCAGCTCACAAGTTGCAAGGCTCACGGTCTGGGTGACATTCAACAAGGAGCACTACACTTTCAACATTCAATACGTTCACAGAAAAATGAGGTATTTACCCGAGAATTCTTGAGTGGCTCTTGTGGCAACTATATAATATATAATTATCTGCTTATAGCTTGTGATAAAAGTTACCATGCAAGGTATCCAGCAACGCAGCTGTACAGGAGACGCAGCCTTGCTTCAGGAGATGGTTCGCAGAGTTTGTGCGGTCTGGCAGTCCAGTTGCGAGGAGAAAGGTATGGACCCATGGAGTGGACAGTGGAATCAGTGGAATCGGTTTCTGTTTCTGAAGCTAAAGGGGGGAGGCCAAGCTCAAAATCGTTTCCGGCTCGCAAGGCTGCACTGAAGAGACAAACCAAAGAGACGCACACACTGCTGACACACACTTGAAAGACAGACCACGGGACGTAATCCAGTGCCCCGGTCGAGCAGTCCTCAGAATCAAAAAAAATATCGTAGATCATCATAGATCTTGTATGATCTTATAGCCTTGTTTTCACACGCCTTGGCGGTGCCATGGGTTGGAGAAAGCTCCATGGCGCAAAGCGTTGGGATCAGGTTCCATTTGCGGATGAGTGTTGCAGGATGCTAAAGGAGTAGCTGAAGGAGCTGAAAGAGTATGCAATTAGATTGTGCGGTGATGTGTGCCTAACAGCTCGGGTTCAACATGTTCAACATGTTCAACATGTTCAGCATGTTCAGCATGTTCAACATGTTCAAGATCAAATATGAGGCAATTCTATGCAGCTCTATGCAATTCAGATGTTTCGTTGACTCCTCATACAATCTTGGGCCGTCCGTATGGCCCTTGGGTGAAATTCCATCCAGGTTGCTCGATCACTCCATATGCCACCGAAGCTGATCGGAGCTGACACTGGTGAACTGCAGCCCCAACGGCCGAGTACCGGTGCTGCGTACGATGCTTTGCTGCGACCTGGCAGCACCCCCACATGGACGGCCAAATCGAAACGAGACTTCCAATATCGAGATGCCAAAAAAAAGATGCAAAACAACCGGGTAGAACCACTTAAAGACAAATTGGATTGGTCCGTGACTAAATTTATCCAGTTTTTTAAATAACATTGTTCATCAATGTTCGTCCTTCGCCTCATGTCGTCTCTGTCTCTTTGTCAGGAAGGGCACCGTTGTATCCCGGGCCCTTGGCCATGTTGCCAGAGGTAGCGCCCAAAGACATGAAATTCTTCAAAGAACCAAGAGATGCCGCGCAGGGCAGGGCTGCGCATGTTGAGAACTCCACGGAGAACACGGGCAACTTGGCATTGGTCACAGTAAACCAAGAAGCAAAGCAAGTCAAGGCAACCTTTCCACTACAGACATTGCTCAAATTTGCTCAATCAACAAACGCCGTGATCGTTGTTGTTTATTTCTATTGGTGGTTCGGACTATTCGGGATTGGAAGATTTGGACGAAAGATTCTCATTAGCACGTGAGTGGCGCCTCTGTGCACTAATGTTATGTTGCAGATCTTGCAGCACCCCTAAATAAGACAATGCATCGCAATGCATCGGCGTTTCAATGCTTCATCCAGTTTGCCTTTACACCTTTCAACTGGCACAGGCACATAGCTTGCTGGTGCGCAGCCGCATGCAGGGATGCAGCAACTGCTTAGCCAACTCCTTCTCTCCAACAGGAGCTGTGGCACGAGAATGGGCACTTATTGTCACGATAATTGTCACATACTACTCTCTCACTTAAGTCAGAGAGTTCGGGCTATCTAGGGCTGCATTTGTGGCGCAGGTTTCAGCGGTCGAAGTGCTGCTAATGCGTGCTAATGCCCGTGCATGTTTGTGAGTTTAGACATGTTGAGATCACGATGACATGTCGCTTGCACAGTGAAAGAGGCTCAAGAGGCTCAAGGGGTCTCAAGGGTTGGGCCATCCAACCAGGCAGCTCTTAGCGATGATTCGGTTCATTCTGCTCCAAAATCGGCAGGGCAAAACGCGTTTGTCGAAGTGGTATGTGCCATTCAATGCAGTGGAAAAGTTCAAGATTGAGTCAGAGATTCATCGGGCCGTGGTGACGCGAGATCCCAGGAATACAAACTTCTTGGAATACAGAAGCTACAAGATCATTTACAGACGATATGCTGGAATGTTCTTCATTTTTTGTGCATCTTGGCGATTATATAATCCGATGGTGTTTGATGGTGTTTGCATGTCCATTTCAAGTGAGTAGCATTTTAGTTCCTGGACGCATAAATAAGAGAACTCCACAAACGCGCTTTTGCCCAAGAGTAGGCCATCATGCAGATGGTTGATGATGGTTGCATAGTGGTGTAGAGCGTAGGCATTTTGCCTATGCTCCCTTTTGCAATGACATACATATATACACACGTTGACAATATTGTGTTTTGCTAAAAGACATTTCAAGACAGGAACATATGAAAAGAGATTCATCTCTCTGGCGTAGAAAAATCTCCAAACTGCAGGGCTGCGTAGGCATACACATCTGCAGTGGATTGCAATCGCATAGGTTGTATGCCACTGGTCCCCCCTACAACACAATCGACACAATGACGTCTCCCAGTCTGTTGGTCCAGGTGACACAAATCCGTTATAATTCATTCAACATCATTCAACTGTAATTGTGTTGTGTTTGCTGAAGAGGGTCTCATTTCTCATATTTCTTGGCCCTTCAAAGACAGCCCAGCATCTAGCAGAATCTAGCCCGCTTTTTTGGGGGCAACATGAGTATGTTGCAATGCAAGGTCATTTATTTTCTGAATTGCTCCAAGGTGGACATGAATGACAATGAGCTAGGCATTCTGGAATTGATCCACCTCTTCGTCGAAGTTCTGGACGGATACTTCGGCAACGTCTGCGAATTGGACTTGGTCTTCCACTTTGACAAGGCACGTCCTGTTTCCAGGAGATGTTAAACTGCTACTGTAAGCATCTGTAAGCCTTTCCTTTGATTTTCCCGAGATTAGGTCCTTGAGTGGTTTGTACTCATTGCAATTAGCCATATTTGCTCCCTCAGCTGCCTACAAATTTGACACATGGCAGGTCTACAGGATATTAGACGAGCTCCTTCTCGCCGGAGAGGTCTCAGAAACTTCTACCAGTAAAATCATAGCCATCATGAAGAGCGTGGACAAGATGGACTGAGTAGCCATTCCGCCATTCCTCGAGAGCTCATGATGAATGATGCATCCAGAGCATGTGCAGCGATGTCAAGGTGTAGGGGCTGCTTGTTTCAGAGAGAAAAGTTAGCTGTCCCTTTAGCCCCAAGCAGTGGCAATTGTATCTAGCAGACCAAGCAATATTGATATTCTTTTCAGTGAGCATAAACAATCATAATGAGCCATCATTGTATCAGGTCACACTATGTCTGAGACTTCTGTGTTTTTTGATGCGTTGGTCCTGATGGGCTCATGGACATGCCACTGCATCTTTCCGGTCCTGCTTTAGGCAGCAAATCCAGCCACAGAATAACCATGGTCTGTACAATAAAGATCAGCAGTCTTAGCTTTGACACATGCGAGGCGAAAAAAGATGCTTCAAGGAAAAATTGTGAACCAATCACACTGGAACGGAAGGGGGATAGGAAGGGCTGAAATAGCTTCACAAAAGGCGATCTTGTGATGATACCAAGATGTTTTTCATCAAAGCTTTGGGATGAGGCCGATTAATCCACCCCCCCACCCCCACCCCTTGTGGCCCTTGTGGCTTGACATTTATGACTGACCTTGATGCCCACCTTGCCCTGCACCGAATTCGTTGAATTCGTTCACCAACCCTTGGGACTCTAATGGGACTCTAGTACTGCAAACATGTCAAACTGAGCCAAACTGCCCACCGGAATAGCGATGTGCAATGTAACAGTTTAACATGTTTAACAATCAATGTTTAACAGTCGATTGTTGTTGTCACAGAGCACTTTGGAGTTGCAACCAGGGTCTTGCCGACAAGCCGTTCGATCATGTTCAGTTCGATCTCATTGCAAATCTGCATGCATGGCTGGAGTCAGCTGGAGAGCCTAAAGACATTGAATCCCATGGGCTGCTTGAAATGGAATGCAATTACAGCATTGTGGGGTATTGTGGATTTAAGATGGTTTAAGGTGATTCAATTGATTCAAGAGATGATTCAAGTCTGAGGCCATTCTTTTCGTATGTTTCCCGTGGCACTGTCTGTTGGGTGCTTCCCATCGCCAGATTGGCGTCAACATCAGCAGGTTCCAAGATGTTAGCAGGGCAGGATTTGCTTCCCATTTTTGGAAGATTATCCCAACATAATCCAACATTCCCGAGCAATTCATGGCAATTCCCCATATATTTCCCTTCAAATCAGATTTGCAGATATAGTACAAATATGATTGAACATGTATTGAACCGCCAGATGAAGCTCACCCAGAGTTCCAAGGAGCTGCAGAGTGTTTGGTCCGGAACGTCGGAAGGCGGCATACGGCTATTTGGCAAGGGCACAGGACGAGGTGCTGCACCTTGCTGTCAGGGTCAGGTAAGGAAGGCAACATAAGGCAACCAGAAAGCTATATCGCACCGAATCTATCCAAATTTATCCAAATCTAATGGCTTCGCAAAGTTTCTCCGCCGTTCTACGGTGTCTATTTGCACTTTGACTTTGTTCCTTGATGATGCTCCTTGATGCTCCTTGCCTCGGCCAGGTGGTCTCAACGTTGTCCGCGCGAGGCCGGGAGATGGTGTCATGGAGGTGTTGGCGACGGATTGACATGGATCGGCTGGATTTGTTGAGAAATGCTCAGGGGAAGCCCCAGAGTGAGTTGATTCAACATGATGAGACATGATTACACCACATTTGGATAAATTTTGAAGAAACAGAGGTATACAAAAACAGAATTGGCAGAATGGATATTTCATGGTATTTCCTATTTCCTGGAATTGCTCTGGAGTGTCTGTCCCAACGTGCCATTGCGGTTGTTCTGGAAGTAGCAAGAATGTTTGAAGTTTGGCCCTTATCATATAGGCATAGAACCGTTGCCGATGGAGGACGCAGTCAAAAGATAGGCGTAGAATCGAGCGACCGCCCACATATAGTAAACATTTTAAGCATGCCCCGTGATTATGCATGCTACATGCCACATGCTATAACAATTGAGTTACTTTGATAAGGATTCTTCCCAGCCACTACAATGACAACCCGTGGCGTGGCTCCGTACCATGCACCACTCAGGGAATGGCTTTGTCCTTCTCGAAATTCTTGAAGAATTACCTGGAACTGGCCAAACGAATAGCTCTTCCACCATGCGTGCTGTGAAGGCAGGCTGCTTCCATGTTTCATGAATTTCAACTTGCAAGTGCGTACTGGAATGGCCCCATGGTTTCCACGAACAATTGTACAATATATATATATAATTATATATATATACTATACTGCAAGCAACTCGAACAAGTCCTTGTGCCACAAATGATATGATGAGATAAGAGCCACAACGGAAAGCATTGCTGTAGCTATTATATTATAGAACGCTGGGCCATGGTCAGACGGTCAGGCTACATGTTCTGCAGTCCAGTCAATATGTCAATATTTTTACAGCCCAATGAGATGCATGTTGGGCACCATGAGCTGTGGAAGGCTTCTGAGGCTGAAGCTTGCCACCAGTGCCGTGAGGGACTGCGAAGACCGTTGATGGCAACTACACATATGCTCACACAATGTTGCGAGATTTTCCTTGTTTTGTTTCCCTGTCACGGGCAGCGGCAAATGCAATTGGCAGTCCATCCAGATGCACACGTTTGGGAAGCGTGCCAGCCCGTGAATGAACATAGGCACAATCAGGGCAAACGTTAGAGAGGCTCTGGCCAAAAAATCTCCTCATCCCACTCAACGTGCTTCAGAATCTTCAGAACCATGAGGATGCTGCGAATGGCACATGTTTCTTATGTCTATGCAATGGTGACCTGTGTTTAATTCATGTGACTGCAACAAACCAAATGTACTCATGTTTGTCCCTTGTTATTTATTCTATTTTATTCTTATATACTTTAGATATCTTTAGAGAATTTTAGAGATCTTTAGAGCATATTTGCCTAGAATTCTCGGACAACATGATGCGATTCAGTAGGCTGAAAGGGGAAATCCTTTGAAGTGACGGTCTTCAAATCTGTCGGATGCAGAAATCCAGATCAACTTAGTCAGAAAGTTGAAACGAGACTGCAGAGCAGCCATCCCAAGACATATGAAGACAGGTGACTTTCGGGCATTCGGAGATATTCAGAGTTATTTTGTTCTGCTGGGCGCGCAGCACCAGTGGACAATCGTCCAAGCCGGCGGCTTGTTGAAAAATCGTGCAATTCCAATGGGAAAAGAGTTGCAGCCGTACAGTGTGAAGTGTAGGGTGTGTAGAGTGTGCAGTGTGGAGGGCGGTGTGTGGAGCTTGGAGCGTGAAGAGCGTTCTGATTCTTATGGGCAGCTGAGCAGCTGATAGAGTCTGGCACTCGATATCCAATCTTTTTCAGGTGGCATGTCTTACCATGTCTCACAGCATTTCATGGATTTCTGATGATTTACGATTGCAAGGGGTGGATGTTCAACAATCTTGATGTCGCTTGAAGCCATGTTGTCATTCAGATGACTTGTGCTAACCCTCGAAAAAGATAGAACAGTCAATTATCACTATATTATCACTATATATGTTAGTAGGATTCTACTTTTCTATCCTTTGGGGATTGCTATAGTCGAAGGAAGTTTAGAAGTCAAACTTCCGACAATATGGACAGCTGAAAAGCAGAGGTGGAGCAGAAGAATAGAGAAGAGAAGAGCAGAAGAGAGAAGATCAAAAAAGAGAAAGTCTCAGAAGAAAGAAGATCCAGGTGCGCGAAAAGGTAGGAAAGTCACGAAACACTGTGTTTTTCCAATGATTTGTGGCTCCGGAGGGTCGAAAAGAGGCTCGCTAAAGTTTAAAGCGGCGGGCGCGGAGCCAGCTGGCCAGATGAGAGATGAAAAATGGCACGCCGTTGTGACGCGAAACACATTTCCAGGGCAAAAAGTTGAGATGTTCAAAAAGTGCACGCCGTTGTGGCGCGAAGCACATTTCGAAGTCAAAATGTACAAAACACACCATTCTCGGACCACTTGGAAATTGAGATGTCTAAAAAGTGCACGCCGTTGTGGCGCGAAGCACATCTCGAAGTCAAAATGCACAAGGCACACCAGCTCCGGACCACTTTTGGAAGTTGCGATGTCTAAAGGGTGCACGCCGTTGTGGCGCGAAGCACATTTCGAAGTCAAAATGTTAAAAGATTTAAAAGCACCAGGGGTTTGGATCACTTTTGGACGTTCAGATGTCGTTTCGCGTGGCAGGCGCCAGGGATTGTGGAACTTGTCAATCAAAGCATATCAAAGCGCAGTACAAGAGACATGTTTATCAGAGATGTCAGGAGGTCCGGGCACTGATTCCCTGAGAGGGGTTGCATTTTGGAGCATCAGATCTTCAGGTTTGCTGAGATGATTTTGCGTGACAGGTGCAGCACTTCGTATGACCCGGTATCACTTTTTCGTGGCAGGCGCAATAGTTTAGACAAATTGACTGGAAAAATCGCAAGACGCATTGGTACGAGGCCGTCAGCGCTGCACGCAACTTTCCATTTTTGAAGGAATTCTCGCAGAAGTGCTTCGTTTTTGATGTTGTCGACTTAAAAAAATGACGAAGTCGCGCAGAATTGCTTCGTTTTTGATGTTGTCAAGTGAAAGAATTGGCGAAGTCTCGCTGAATTGCAGCGTTTTTGATGTTGCCAAGTTTCAAAACTTAGGCAGTCTCGCAGAATAGCTTCGTTTTCAAGTTTGCAGAAAGATAGACAGATAGATAGATAGATAGATAGATAGATAGATAGATAGATAAACAGATAGATAGACAGATAGATAGATAGATAGATACATAGATAGATAGATACATAGATAGATAGGTGGGTAGGTAGGTAGATAGTCAGAGAAAGAGAAAGAGAGAGAAAGAGAGGAGACCTCAACCACCTTTCGGTCCATCAGTGGCTTCGCTCTGCCATCCGTGATTCACAACAACCAACCTCTCCTATAGGTTTCCTGTTTTTGAAACTTCCGCCACCGCGTTGTGCGGTACTACAAGTGTACAATGATATACTATAATATACTATAATCAGCTTCATTCACAGTTTCATTCACATCAGCTAAGCCAGCTAAGCCCTACCTGGCCCTCAAGCTTGTGTGCTTGTGCTCCTTGGAGGCTAACGCAGAAGGGCGAATCTATGGGGATGATTCCCGGGGCATACCACGAGGACAGCAAGATCACAGATGATCACAGTGATTCCAAAGATTCGCAAAGTTTGAATTGTCAAAAATTGTCAAACAGTCATACATTTTTTCCTCCTCCCAAACGGCAAAGACAAGAGACAGAGGAACTCCTGCTTACCTTCACAGACGAACAAACGAACTCAAATGGCTCGCCTAGCCCATCGGCTCGACCAAAGTGTCTCAGCAAAGAGAGATCCATTGAAGTTTTTCGGTCGAAGCATCAAAACCATATCCTCTGTAATCCTCGATGTGGATCATAATGCCCATTCACACTTACCTCGAACGAATTGACGCATGAAAGCGAGAAGGATGTCATAGAAATATAGGCCTTTTGCCACTGAACTGCTCAATGATGACACACACACAGCTATAAAAACCATTACAAGACCAGCTAAGCAATATAGGAATCTCATCGCTGAAGGGCTGACGTAGGTGGCTGAGCTCTCAGCTTGGCCAGTGGCGGCTTTGGTGTGGGTTCTCATGTCGGTGACGGATGCATGGATCATCATTGATGAAGGAGGTGTGCTCAGAATGCTGGATGATGAGGATGTGAATGAGATGATAGGTGTCCGATTAGCTGGAGGCCTACCTGAGGAAGCCATTGACCTCTACACCGTTTGCTACACCTTCCAGAAAGGCTCAGCATCAGCACAGTCAAAACTTGAGGACGTTCACCAGGAACCACAGGGCAAATGCACCATTTGCATGGAAGAATTTACCACAGGCGATTGCTTGCGCTGCCTCCCTTGTTTGCATGCATACCATGTGCCATGCATTGACAAATGGCTGTCTTTGAGCCAGTCATGCCCAGTTTGCAAGCACAATGTCATGGCAACGACTACGCCATGCTTTGATTCCCCAACAGGGCAGATGAGATGTCCTATTCGACCTATCCTGCCGTGGCATTTCAATCGGCCGCGGCCGAGTTTCCAGGTCGTGCCTCGCCTTCCGTTGCTCCGAGGGGGGCCTCTTCCCCCGAGCCAAGCAGCCCGCCTTGCAGCACGCCCAGGCCCTGGCGCCCCTGGCGGCCCTGCCTTGCCCGCCCCGGGCGTCCCAGGTGTCCCAGGTGTCCCAGGCGTCCCGGCGTCCTCCACGGCCGTGCCGGTGTACAGAGGTGCAGCTGCGGCGTCACGCCTAGCACCCGTGCTGCCAGTGGCGAGGCTTGGACAGCCACAGATGCCACAAATAACACAGATGGCACAGATGCCACAGGCGCCCATGGCTAGCATGACTGGCATATCTCCTGGCATAGCCACAACCACAGGTCAGTCAGCGCCAAGGATTCAACCACAAAGTGAAGAGAGTGAGAGTGAAAGCAGCTCAAGTGGCACTAGCAGCAGCGGCAGTAGTACCCCGTAGTCGCGCTAGCAATAGCTGTGGAGGGTGCAACTCGCATCCCGCGCAGGAAAAGAAAACACATGCTATTGCAGCAGCTTGTTGCCTGGAAGCTGGGGGCATTCGCTAAGCTTCAGCCACGTTGGAGTTTCTGGCTTGTGTCAATGCAAACTGCAAAGAGTCCTTGACATCCTTGCCAACCACATCACAAGCAAGTAAGCTAAGTCATTCAGACAACTTCATATCACGAGTTGTTTTGCACGAACCCCTGCTTGCGTTGCAATTTGCAAGTCATTTCTCGAAGTTCTGCAGGAGATCAATGGACGCTACTCGTACCACTTGTTGTGGTGCTTATGTAGAGGGAAAAAAACAGGTGATGCCTGCTACAGGGGGCCATCCAGCACAGCCCAGAGTCAGAGATGATGCCGAGAAATTTGCCTTGAAGACCGTCGCTTCGTATACATGTTTCGGCTCAAAGAGTAGCATTCAAATGCGGCACACGTTGCTTGTTGCGGTCAACATAGTTGCAGAGATTATATTATTTATGTGTGCATTGCACATTGAAATTTCAAATTGTGCATTGAATGCAACTGAATGATGTGGCTGCGGCATAGCAGATGCCAGGGGTGCTACCTATGCTGACCTTTTGTGTCTAAGTCGGTGCAGAATATTTGGCCTGGACAGGGCTATGAGCTACTAGATCTACTAGTCAGCGCCGTCAGATGTAGACTCAGGCCTTGTCCTCATAATTCAGACAGGGCTGCCCAGCCCTCTTTCCTGCCGCCATGCTGCGAGATGCAAGTGACTTCAAGCGCACAAAAGCGTTACTTGGTGGTTGATTCATGCATCACCCATCAGGATCTTGCCGAAAGCAGCATGGATTTGATCCTGGGACTGAGGTGAGTGGCAATTCTGATATTGCGTAGGCTCTATTCATGCAGAACACATCCCAACATATCCAAACCATTCAAACTTTAATCCATTTGGCAAGTAGTGGACAGTCATTTTCACCGCGGTATAATTATGCGCGTGATCTTCCATGGGTCACCAGGGCAAGGTGGCGGAAACACATGGAAACACTATCACAAAGCAACTGCAGACAAGCCCCAAGGCGCCACGAAACGCATCGCCAATGCATCCTCATGGCAAGCTGCGATGCAGTTGGCAAGGTCTTTGGCTTGGGACGAAGGACTGCCTTGACAAGCTGAGGGACAAGAGACTCAGCATGGAGTGGGAAGTCGGAGGTAAAGGGCAGTGCAGGACTATATTATGTTTGCTCCGTTTTTGCATTGTTTGCAGGAACTGATGCTACACTGCATACCTTTACATTATTCATCGGTTCTTCCCTTCTTTGCATGCTGATGCTGGTCTCTTTTGGGATGTGCATCAGGGAATCATTGTCACTAGCATCGCTCTTACTTCCGAATTCATGAATAATCAGATTCTGGTGGAAACTTGCAGCCCGATTTGGTACATTGCACACTCTTGCGATGTATGGCAGCCCACCAGATCGAGGTCCAAGAAGATTTTAAAACCTATTCCAACCTATTCCAACTATATAACGCTCTCACATGCTCTCACACATTTTTGGAGGACTCAAGCTGGACCTGTTTATCTTCAGCAGCCTCTCTGCAGCTTGTGGAAAACAAACGGCTTGGACTCGAGCCGTGGGTTTGCTGCAGACATCGTTGCAAGAAGCCTTGGGTGCTGTTGGCATGTCAGGGAGGTCCTGTGGATGCTATGATTGGGACATGTTAGCATCTATCCCTCCGACCCTCCGACTCACTTTATTCTTGGAATTGCACTCAACAGAATTCAATATACAATAATACACACATATACACACACACACACATATATATATATAATATACGCACATATCATCATATATCATGATGTTACATTATATTCTCGTCATTTCTTTTCTAATCTCACCATGAGAGAACTAACCTCCAGGTCACTGGGCTCAGAGGGCTCAGAGGGCTCAGTAGTTTCCAACGTTGCCGCAGCCAGGGGCCGATGTCGCGTTGCGCAACTCAGCCCTGAGTGCCTGCGGACGGCAAGGCCATTGGCGTACAGTGATGCTGCAAGTTGCAGGCAGAGTCTGGGATGGACCTCGAGTTGTTGTCTTTTTCTATCTTTTTCTACATGTTTGATCATTTTTGATCATTTTTGCATATCAGCCTGCATTTGTTTTCTAATTCGGTTTGGATGATTTTTTTCAAGATGAAATTGGCGTCTTTAAGGAAGTCAACCCCAGTCAAGTCCACCGGCGAAGCAGAAAGGTTGGTGTTTCCAGTATTTTGACCAATGTGAGCCATATTCCAACCTAACAATATTTGAAGATGTTATGCTGCCCAGAGCCATTGAATGCCAAGTTTATAGGGGTGACATGATGTGACATGGAGACCTTGCCCTTAGCCTCGCCTGACCTTGTGGCATCGGTGCCAAGGCCAAAGCGATGCCAACACTGTCAGCATGAACTGCGCCGTGGACGCCGCTGGGCGTGGAAGAGCCTGGGGACAAGCACTTGGCTGGCTCTTGCGCATGGGGTGCTTGGCAGTGCTTGGCAGTGCTTGGCAGTGCTTGGATGTTTGGATACATATTTGCATACATGTTTAGGCACTGATCGGAACTAGTGCCGAATATTCCTGGATTGCGGACAGGAACAACTCTTGAATGTCAGAAGGTTTAAACGTTTAAACCCTAGACATGCCACTGGTTGCATTGGTGTTGCATTGGTGTTGCATTGGTGTTGCATTGGTGTTGCATTGATAACCATTGGTGGGTATTTCTATGTATTTCTTCTTATTCGTTTGACATTTGTTTGGATTTTCGACATCCCAGCCGACAGGTGCCTTCGCATCGACCTCAGCAATGTCACCCACGGTGCTGCTGTGGCATCGCAACGCGGTGGATGGCAACAGGACAGCCCTGGATCTGGATCTGGATGGATCTGGATGGATCCAAAAAAGTGTCATTTTCTACCCATCAGGCCCTGCAGGCCCTGCAGATCTTGTCCGGCCACAATATGGTTGCAGTGAACGCAGCAACTTGGCGCCCAAGGATTCCCAAGGCCACTTGTAGACATTGTAAAACATTGAAAACCGCACCTGGGGTCTTTTCCGAGGCCATCTCAGCAATGGAGATCCACAGCCGGTGGGAGGAGGCAGCTGTGTGATGACACAGTGAGAGACTATGATTTAGATGGATTTATATATATATATGTATGGATTTATTTGATTGATTTTGATTGATTTAGATTGATTTTTGGTATGATTTAGTAACACTTAGTGACACTTAGTGTGTGGAGACTCTGGAGATGGAGGTTGTTGGTCAGTTGGTGCACACCAGGCCATCCATCTCCTACACAGCTTGGCTACGCCGAACCTCTGCAGCTTCAACAGCGCCAGCAGCGCCTGCAGTGCTGCGGGCAAATGGCAACATAGCCTCTCCCTGTTGGCTTCGGCGAAGCTGGGCGAAGGAATGGCTACCAGTGCTACCAGTCTCCAAAATCTGGTGCTATGCTGGTTGCATGTTAAAACATGTTAAAACTGTTTCATACCTGGTTGAGTCTGAACTTTGATATGACTGGTTTAAGCTGGTGTGATACAAATAATTCCAATTGTATCAGTTGTGGGTTCATGCAATTCTTTAGCCGTAGCTAGTCAGGACATGACTGGTGCTGGGATTTGGGCACAGCCAGACAATTAGGGGGATGAGTTGGGGATGAGGGAGTGGATGGGAGTGACACTGAGTGTATGTGCCAAGGAGCAACTACAATATCCAGCTTGACGTCATTAGCAGCGTGACTTCAAAGATCTTGCAAGACTGCCAGAGTTGAAAATTCTCGGATGGCCTTCCATTATTTTGTTTGTACTCGTTTCCGAGAAGGGTTTTTTGTGTTGGTGCAATCCATTGCAATCCCGACTGTTCAGTCATTCTTACGTAACACATGTAATTGGACATAGTGGGACACAATTGGGTATTGAAAGCGCTTGCGCAATCAGGAGGTTGCTAGGCCGCTAGGCAGGTTTCTTAGCCCGAGGCTACAACAGCTTAATCAACGGCAGTGCAGTGGTTGGAGCCTGGGAGCTGGCTCTGGTCTTTTTCTGGCAGATGGATTCCTGTGGTCTGAAACCAGCACCTTGGAATACCTTGGAATCCGGTGGAATCTCCGGGACCTTCGCTGCCTTGGTGTTTCGTGGTTGATCGTGGTTGATTGTGGTTGTTTCTCCTTGGCATTCCTCGGCAGATGACGAGTTGAGACTCAACCTGTATCAATTTGTGCCATCTTCCCGGTGTCATTGTTGCTGGTGCAGAGGAATAGCTGTCATAGCCGTGTCATGTTGCGACAGACGACTCATGACTCCAAGGATGCGGTGTCTTTTGCCAGCGTTCTGGATTCCATGCCAGGCGGGGGAGCTGGTGCCGACCTTTCTCTCACCTTGGTCTGCAAAATAGGAAATAGGGGGAGAGCTCAAAAAATAACGATGTTAAACAGGAAACAATGATGATTAAGTGATGAACATGATCCAACATGGATCAAAACGGCAATTTTAGGGGAACTTGGTGACACTTGGATGATTAACCATTGACCATCCAAATTTTGGGTGCCCTATTAATTATTTAAATTTTAATCATTTTAAATCCATATTTTCCATTTTTTCAAGATCACTGACATGGTGGTTTCTGGTGGATGTTAGCACGTACATTCTGGCGCCATGGATTTCCGGTGCTTGAGGGCTACAGCCACAGCTCGTGTCATCCTTGCTGGAACTCATGCGGCATGTGGCCGACACAGTGGCCCTCAGTGCTGCTTTACGATGTTATGGAAAGACAGGGAGGCCTGAGTCAAGCCTGCGCATGCTTGTGCAACATTTCTCTTTTAGTAGAAAGAAATCTACAAGCGAAGTTAGTGTGAATTGTTTCAGGCTTCAAGTGGGGACGAAAACCCAGTTGATACCTTGCCGTGCAGATGAGTTGTTTTTGGACAGTCCTGAGCCAATTGGGTCAGGGACCAGATGTCGACGCAGGTGGGAAATGGCATGCAGGATTTGGTCAGAAGTTGGCATTAGTGGCCTCCAATTGGACAAGGTTTGGCCACTGCGCGCTGGGGGGTCGAGGATTGCTTTGGATACCAGAGGTTTGCCCAGTATTGAGCGCATTGTCGCCAGCTAATTCAGCTTTATGTGTTCGTATGTGGTCCTCTTGATTGGAAGAGTGCCCCTGCAGAGATTTGACAGGGAGCCCAACATTGGCCATTTCGAATGGACAGATCATTTCTTTAGCACCCTCATGCACCCTCATGCACCCTCTAAAATTCCATCCGCATGGAATTTTGTGGTCCTAGTCTGGGTGCTGTGCTAAACGCTCCTTGCAATCAGCTTACAACATCCACCCAGTGACTCTGTTCAGATCATTTCTGGTGCTGCCGCAGATGCTTTCGCCAGGGTGGGGTGTCTGAGTTGCAACCACAGGGTAGGAGGATGTAGGAGGGAAGCTCCCTGAGTCCGGTGATGTCCGGTGATGTCCGGTGATGTCCGGTTTCAATGTGGGATGGCTTGATATGACTTGATCATATTGTGACATATTCCATTCATTCCGTTGGCGCAAAGTCCATAACTTTTGACATCTTCTGACGCAGCTGTGCGTGTGTGCCTTCCAGTGCAATTGATAGCGGCTAGTGCACATCCAGAGAAACTTAGGCATTGGAAGATCAGCCTGACACTGTTGAGACCGAAGGCAACTATCATCACCGTGAACTCCGTACTCAACGCCCTTTGTCCGAAGATTCCATTCATGTCTCAGAGAATATGTTGAGTCCAATTGGCGGACGATCAGTGGACGATGTTTGAGTTTTATCTCCCAGTGGCAGTATGATGTAAAGCTGAAGGGTTATATTGCGAATTTCTCCACCATTTAAGGGACCATCCTTGGAATGGGCTCAGTGTCCTGCTGGCTGCAGGCATGCGCCGCAGCCTCTGCATGGCTTGCAGCCAGCGAAACCATGACATCGGTCATTCTGCAGGCAGCGATGTTTGCGTTGCAACATTTTGCAGTGATCATGTGCAAGAAGGCCTGCAAGCCTGGAGAATTTCTGATGAACATCATGTGAGGCGCTGCAGCCCGATCTCCTCAGCACCAGTTCGGTTTCCACGGCGGCTGGGAAGAGTAGACAGTGGCAGCAATTGTTGTGGCTGCAGGAGCCAGTTTTCTGGGATGTCTTTGGGGAACTCTGAGATGGAGCATAAAATTTAGAAAGCTCGATCGAGTTATTACATTAGACTTACATGGTCAACATCGGCAATGACTGGCAACAACATATGGTTTCACTATGTTTCAGTGAATATCCAAAAAGAATCAAAAAGACCATGACGCAGATTTAACATGATTTAACATGATATAAGATGATTTAACCATAGAAATCCATAGTGGATAGATGTGGATAGCTACTGACTGGTCGACTCAATAGGCCCCCTGGGATCCCTGGGCGTATCCACGCTGGACCTCCCGGCTCCAGGGATCCGTTGACTATCGCGATGAGATCTTTTACGAGGTACACCAACTGTCTGGTGTGTTCATTCAGTGTCCACATTGTCATGTATTTATATCATTATATATATATTTATACTAATTGATCATTATTTATCTAGTTAGGCATTCTGATGAGATTTCCAGGCCTTTTATTCAAGGGATAGGCAATGAATAATGTATATATAATTATATAACATAATATATATATATATAACATTTGTTGTTGCAGGCGTTCACAATTATATATATATATATTATAAGAAAATAAATAGATAAATATATATATATATATGTGTGTGTGTATATGTAATTACGCACACATATACATGTACATATATATATATATATTATACGTTTGGATTATATATCACATGAACACAGACACGCACACACACACACACACACCCATCACACATACACACACACACATATTATAGACATATTAAAATAGATAGAAATAAGGGCATCTAACATCATTTAAAGTCAAAATATCTGGACGGGGAGACTTGAACTTGAACGATGGAAAAAGAGAAAATATCCTTTGGAAAATATCCTTTGGTTTGCTACATGAAGGGTTGCTCAGGGGGTATCATGTAGCTGTCTTGCTCATCTTCTGTTTCGGGTACGTGAGCTACGTAACAACCCATTGCCTTCTAGGAAAGAGTAACGTGCTTGCCTCAGATGTCGCAAATGGATATTAATCGATGTCGCAAATGGATATTAAATGATATTAATCGATCTTAAACATACTATGGTTTGTGTGGTGCCCAAAGAAGACTCCGTATGAGTAGCTTGGATGTGCTTGGTCCCACGGTCATGACGTTTGCACAGCTGGGCCAACCACCAACAGGGGCTCAAATTGCCTGAGGCTGGAAACCATACACTGCATTGATCCAATAATTTGAAAGAATCATACCCCGCAACATCAATGCCCCTACACACAGCTGAGGCGGTGAATTGAAGCTACAGTGACCTGTGTAGTCCTTTAAAAATTCACCTAAAACCTGCTCACTGCAGAGGCTACCGTATCAGCCATCAGCTCAGCTAGGTCATGGTTGACGTCTCAAAACAATTTCCCGTCGTTCCCGTGGTTCCAATTCGGAATCCTGGCCATGTGAGCCATGTGTCAACATGTCAACCGGCGTGGAGAGCGATGCAGTTCTACGCTGCGAGCGCTACGATGGCAGTTTGCTGCATCATGGGTTGAGGCAAAGAATTGCCACCCTGCAGCAACTGCCACTTTTTCGAAAATGCAGCGATTCTTTGATGTACAGGATTGCCAAGAAGCTGCGCAGAAGATATTTGGCAGTTGGGGAAGTTCTGACACGAGCAGGATATTCATGTAGCAGTATTTACCTGCTGGAAGAAGGGCATGTTCAGCTATGGGGTGAGGAGGAGGAGGAGTCTGCTGGACTTGATGGGCCTGGTGGCATTGTCGGTGATCCTCGTGTTTTGCTGGATCCACAGGACAAGCTATGGCAACATAATTGCATCGCAAGGCAGGGCTGGCAAACGGGAAATTATATGAAATTATGATAATGTACGCACATGGCTGTACACAATGTCTGATTTTAATAGCTTCGTGAGTCGGACATGTGCTGGGGAATGGGAGCATGCTGTAATATAATACTAACTAGCAATGTGCACCCAAGGCGGCGGAGAGAGCATATGCACCGATCTATTTATCGACATCGCGCAAATACACACACACATGCATAGATGCGTTGTACATGATTGTATATGCATACATGCACTCATAGAGTCATTATCGTGTTGCTGACAGTACCTATCATTAAACTCATCATGGTGAATTCCTGCCAGCATTGAATTGCCAGGTCCTTTTGTCATATCCTTGAACTGCTGTGTTCGGACGTCGCTGAGACGGCCCTGAAAATCCAGCACCTCGTGCTGCAAGAAATTGCAAGGGTATGCGAGGGTAAAGGTCAAGGGGCAATGCGGCTACTCGGAACCAAACAAGCTTAGGACAGGTGTAGGTTAAGAGTTAACTCTTAGGCACCGTCACCGCCGCTGCCATTATCCAGTTGTCAGTTGTCATCTTCCTCATCCTGGTCATTCTGACAATCATCCAGACTCTCCTCCTCCTCCTCCTGATGATGATGATTAATTATTACTATTATTATGTCTTTTGCGGTCATGCGTGATCATCACAAACTCGTCGAGCAAGCAGAGCTAGCCTTCAAAATTCGGCTTGCGGCTTCCAGATAGATCAGATAGACCCTTCACACCTATCCGGCCGAGAGGCAACAGATTATCAAAGGATCCACAGGATAGGAATTTGAAGCTGATCCAGGAGATTCCAGGAGCTTTCACCATTTTTTCATCTCTTTCGCCAGGAGCAATGCCAGCAAGCGAAGAGTTTCCGAGATCCTAGCTGTGGAAATGCAACGGGACTTCAGCAAAGAGGTGGCGATCTTCAAGGCCGCAAACTCCCTTGCCACCGAGGCACCCGGCAATGGGTGGCAATGGGTGGCAATGGGTGGCAATGGGTGGCAATGGGTGGGCGGTTCATGATCCATTTGCAAAGGAACAGCCAAAAACAGATGAAACATGTGAATACAATTGAAATCGCAATTGAATACATGTGATATATTTTTGGAAAATATAGCTGATTCGGCTATATTCGGCTCATTCCCTCAGGCACCCGATTCCTACACTACATCGGGGTTGAAGCGGGTTGCCAAGAGGGCGCTTCGACTGGTGCAGTTCGTCAAGGCAAGATGGTAGGGACAGCTACAAGATTTCTGTAGTGAGGACAATGCCACCATGAGTGCGATGATTGACTGCCGCTTAGCTTAGTCAATATTACATATTATCATATTATTACGAAAGCCAGCCGGCAGGCTAGGCTGAAGTTATTACTACGAACGAAGTGAGTCTTAGGGGTGCTGGGGGCAGGTCTTGCAAAAGTGGTTAGAAAACACGAAATAGCTGGTGTTTTAGGTGGGCAAATGGGTAGGTTTTGAGGGTAATGTACCGTGTCGCAATTCAGTGACGGTGGGGTATCAATTCCCCCTTGGTCCAGCTCTTGGGATTCGTAAACAAGGCTTGTCGGAGATGAGATGTAGAGGCCAGTTAGAAGCAGGAAAACGAGAGGCCATTAAGATACCCTCTGGTAAATTAACATAGACCCTGAAAATCACCATTTTTTAATGGAAACTAGTCTTCCAACCCCTATCTGCCAGGGTCTATGTTAATTTACCAGAGGGTATATAAAAATGGAGATCGGAGTTTGGCCCTTGGAGTCGTAAACAAGACTTGTGGATGATCAGACGTAGTGGCCATTTAGAAACAGAAAAAAAAAGATCTGAGTTTGGGTCTTGGAGTTGCAAACAAGATTTGTGGGCGATGAGACCTAGAGAGGAGATGCGGTTCGAGCTGGCTTTCGTTGCATCCTTCTCAGGTACATACTAGTAGCGACATATGTGATTTATCATATGATTTATCATTGTTTATCCTAGCCCTGGGGACGGTGTGAACAAAATCTATCAGGCACTCTGACTCTCTGCTGGTGGTGCTAGCTATCTTTCTCTGAAACCAAGCATTTCCCCTGGGTTTGGCTTGGCAACTAGAAGGGTATTGGAAAAAATGGGAAAGATGTGGGGTATTTTTCTTTTGGAACCCAGGACGCTGTTTTTTTTTCTACATCCGGGTTGCAGAACGTTTCCAGTGGAGACTGACTCATGTGGAGGCTACTCCAGCAGCTAGCAGCCCTCAAGCTGCCAATGCTCATGGCGGGGCTGGGCAGCTGCCTACAATGAACGCATTGAGGCCTTGAAAGACTTGAAAGAGCCTATATTGGAACATGTTGGAATCCCAGGCCCCAGGTCCTAAGCTTTGAAGACTTGAGGGGGGTTCAATTTTGGATGATTCAAGCTGGTCAGCGGCTGGGAATTTGGGAGCTTTTTCACTAGGCCATATTAAAATATATTAAATATTGATATGTAGAGAAAGAAAGAAAGAGAGAGAGAGAGAGTGAGTACAGTAACCTGGCAGAAGTAATTATATTATAGTATGAATTAGCGGCATTAGACATGTGAGAGGAAGACAGATCCGGAAGAAAGGCGACAGAGCATTTGGGTGAGAGGTTTTGGAGCCATGCCTCAAAGAATACAGAAGTCACCAGTATTCGCAAAGTCAGTCATGTTGGCTTTGGTGGCTCTCCATCAGGCAGATGAGGGAGTCGGCGAAGAAAAAACAGAAGGCCAAAGATGGCTCTGGCACAGAGGAAGGAAAACCGGAAGACGACAATAAGTCCAGAGAAGCTGTGGTTCACTCCCATTTGCTTTAGGTACCAGAAGCGTTTTCTTTCTTATTTAATAGTCTCTTTGCATTTGCCGCCATCCTAGAATTTGAGTACTCGCACTCAAGCATCGGAAGGGGATGTGCATTCCAAGTTACAGATGGGGCTGAATCAGCATCGAACCTCCATTTGCCTTCTCGGGTGGGGCATTTCATTGCGAAGTGCTGTCCCAGTTGTTCCAACAATTTGGACACTGTCACGGCAGATGTCACGACTTTCAGCATCATATAGCCATGTAGCATAGTAGTCATGGCGATGATTTCTTACGCCAAAATGTGCCACCAGAGAGGAGTTCCAGCACCCTCGAATCAGGTTTTCAACAGCGAAGCGCAGAAGCAGGAGATTGCTGCAAGTCCCTTGGTGGCCGAAGTGGCTCCGGAGTCAAGTCTTCTGATTACGGCTTCAAAAAGGCTCCCGTCCATAGGTCCATGACTGCAAGCTGTCCAGTCCATGTCATTTGACATCCCCAGATGTCCCCAGTACTTCCATTGTACTTCCCAGGTTTGCAGTCCTTGGACTTCTTCTCCACCCTGGACACCTTCAGTTTTGAGCCCTAGCCTTGATGGTGCACAATTTTTGGAGCCCCCTAGAGGACGGGATGGGACGAGTGTTCGCCATGTGTTCGCCTCTTGGCCGAGGAACGTTTGGCCTCGTTGTTCAGAAAGAAATTTTGGCGGCGAAATGAGCAGCTCTTGGTGGAAGGAACGCCGGCCAAGGAGCTACATGTCGTAGCACAGGGTGATGTCAGCATCATCTTGGGTGGCAAGGTGCAGGGCTTAAGCGGCCTGGAATATCTCGGAATTAGATGGAATTAGGTTGTTTTCGAATTGTAATGCTTGGAGTACCATTACCATTGGGCCATGCGCACTCTATTTCCAGACAAACCCACTTTGAATCTCTTGGGACAAGCTCACAGTTCCACTATGTATATCTATGTATCACTTATGTGTCAGTGCGCTGGCTTGTCATTCTTTGTTTTCTTTGGTGTTGTGTTGGGAAATGTTGGGAAATGTTGGGAAATGTTGGGAAATGTTGGGAAATGTTGGGAAAGCATGGGAATGCGAAGTTGAATGCAAAAGGTGTAGTCATGCATTGTGACACCATGCAGTAGCTCTGGCTCTGACCAGATACGCTTGGAAAGAGTGATCGTCAGATGTCTAGCATTGTCTAGCAGTGTAGAGATGTGTAGAGTGATCTTCCAACCATGCTGCAGACTATGCTTCCTCCATCTTCCTCCTGACATCTCCTGACTACCGCTTCTGCCAACCAATTGCTCGATCTCCTTCACAGCCATCTTTTTCATCTCTTTGCTGTCTTGAAAGTCTTGAAACATGTCGTCCGCAACCTGGACGTTCACACGCACTAAGCATTGATTGGAAAAGCGCAAACGCTGACTGTACGCAGGGAATTGTACTTTCAGGGTTGAGGGTTTGAGTTTAGGGTCTAGGGAGTCTAGGGTTTGGTTTTAGGGTCTAGCCTTAGGTTTTTCTTTTTTTGGGGAGGTTGGTGGTTTATTGTGTAGTTTAGTTCTTAAGGCCTTAAGGATTCATTGCAGAGCAGACAGGCGGCATAGCAAACTGTCAAACTGTTAAAAAACCACTGCGCATACGCAGGAATTTGCACCTTTGAAAAGCCAGCTTTTGTGCGATCATGTGTGCATACATGTGGAGCTCCAGCCTCCGGAAGTGCTCCGCGGTCAGACGTCAGGGTTGCAGCGATTTGTTTTTGCATGTTATACGATATATACATTATATATTTAATACTATATACTTTTAATTTATTGATTAATTATAATTAATTAATTGATCTAATGAATCGATTAATTATTAGTTATATACACATATGCAACGTCTTTCTACAAGTTTGCTGATGCGACGAGCATTTCTACACAGGAGTCTTTGGACTGCTGGAACGCAGCAAATAATTGAAGCATATTGAACATATTGAACCATGGATCACCGTATCAGCTTCTAAGTCATTGCCGTGGTTTGCTCTTCGCCAAGACTTGGTCAATTTGCACTGATTAGTTTGGATGTTTCTCGATTCGAACTTGCATGGGCATCGACTCATACAGATTCACTTACAGTAGTTTTTTTCTTGGGTTTGATTTCAATTTGATTCATATCTTCATGTATATATATATATATGTATTAGTATCATATTTGTATCTCATGATATCCAAGCATTGGACATGGCAGGTCTTGAACAAGGTGGGTCCCAAGTCGATCCTGGGCGAGCGCTCGGTGTTGAACAGCGGCAGCGGCGAAGCGGCACCCTGCGGCGCGACCGTCACGGCGGCCTCCGCGGTGGTGGTGACGATCTCGGCGAGTCGGATCCAACTGCTGGACCTCTTCACCAAGGATCCAGTGCCTGGGAGAGATTGAGACTGAGTATGATAATTATGATATAATAATTTTATATATAGAATTTTGTATAATTATATATATAATATAGTATATAGTTAAATATGATATTTAAATAATTATATTATATCAGACACACACACACATATATATATATGTTAATTGGTAGCTGATTCCAAACCTTTGGACAACCCAGTGTCCAACATACGGGCTTCCTTTTCTCTCGCCTGAGCAGATATAGGTGTCCCTGCGACGCACAAGAGTTGTCCCCTGACAACTGGTGAGATGGTGATTGGCGCTCATGCTGGTGGCTTTAAGACTGGTTATAATCTTCTATATCTTATATCTTTGTAAACTTCCAGATCTTTCATTGGGCAAGGAGCACATCACGGTTCAGTTGACCTTGATCACGGCATCAGCACTCGGGCCTGATTGGTGCCCGGAATCATCATGCCAGTTTGGCTTCCAGACTCATCAGCAAAGTAGTGCATGAGAAAATCACAAAGATCCTTGAGCTGGCCCTTGGCATTCTTGCGAGATCGGCACCATTTCACATAAGCAATCTTGCGATCATCAGATGATGTCACCAGAGCCATGTAGGAGGTCTTGGTCTTGTCAAACATCCCGAACGCAATCATGGTGCGACCCCAGGTCTCCACATCGGAGATGCCGTCAGGAAACGCCGGCAAGTGATGCACTGGCAACTGGTCCTCCGTGGTGCCGGAGGGATATGGCATAGCAACCCTGGTAGGGGCATACATCACAGACTCTCCAGTAGAGGTGCGGCCAGTGGCCATGGTGACTCGCTTGGGGTGATGCTCAGCCGGAGGGCGCTCATCAGCCTCACGGCGCTTGGCAGCATCACTCATGGTTCCATAGATCTCAGGCTCTGATTCGTCCCAGAGCTCAGCGGCATCCCAAACATTCTCACACAGGCCAAACTCATGGTGGCACACCAATCCAGTGGCTGGATCATAGGTCGGCTCAACACGTGGAAAGCTCACAGTGCTGCCAGAGGGCAAGGCAGCAGACTTGGCCTTCGCCAGCAGCTTCTGCAACTGCTGAGATTCAGCGGCGGTCAACGACGCTGATGAGGAAGCCATCTCGAACACACGAAAACGCACCCAAAAACTAACTGCTGTACACTCACCTCTCGTGGTCTTGCTTGGCCGAAACTCTGAAATGAGAAAAACAATCAACTGATGACTGGTTCTTGGATGTGACACAAAGGCAATTGCAAAGGCAGCTGTGCGATCTTTCGGAGAAACATATCATGCTCTCTTTCCCTTACATGCTTTACCTAAGTAATTCCCCTCTTATTTATTTACTTTTACGTTATCTGATTTTTATTTTTGATTATCATCTGTTACCCCCAGGTGATCCTCGGTGGGACCTACACTCTGGCGTTTTTGTGCTCGGAGAGCGCGTTCTTCAGCTTGCTGCGCGAGGACAAATTCCTCTGGAGAAATCTGGTAAGTCCCTGCTCGCACGCAGGACCTCAACAAGTCGATTGGGTCTGCTTTGTCTTTGGTGAGTCCATCTGCGATCATGCGGTTCGTGGGGAGCCAACGGATTTGAGCATTTGTCAGTTTAATAGATTCCCTGATGATTACAATGTCAATACTTGTCCTTCTGTCGTCAACTGCTGTAGGTGATGATGGTGATATGAGATGATCATATAATGACTTGCAATCAGTGGCCAATACCGGAGGTCGCTTGGCCAGCAGGGACCTGCACTGTCGGACCTCAAAACGGCCGTCCAAAGCTTCGGTCAGCAGAAGAGACAACCATTCTACTGTGCCCGAAGCGGTTGACATCGCTTGGCTCTCACCGCCCAGTGTTGAGCTCACGGCTCGAGGCAGTTTATAATGTTTATAGCTTTTCCATGTGACAGGAGTCCCGTGTGATACTTCCCCAGTATGGATCTTCTTTTCACAAAAGTCTATGATATATCCTGCCTGGGTATGAGAGCCTACGTTTGCAAAGGCGGCATCTGAGTGACAAGCTATGCACAAATCCTCCACTGGAATTGGTTGAAACTTGATTTGAAGATCTTTGTGCTGTTTCACACGTCGAACTGCATTGTTTGCATCACGGAGATGGCGGATCTGTGGCCTTGGAAATGCTTGCTGAGAGAGACTGGTCTGTACAGCGACATCTGGTCGGGACTGCGAAGCAATCCAGTTCAAACTGCCGTTAATCGCTCGGAGAACTCGCACCTGACCATCATTTAAATAATCATCAGGCTTGGCGCTTTTGGGAATTGTTGCTGGCCTGATCTTCTCGGCATACAGTTTCTGAGACATAGAAATAGCCTTGGTGACTGAGTCTTGACTGTAAAAGGCACCACAAAATTCTCCATTGCCAATTCTCCACTTTCTGTAGGGAAACCGGTTTCTGAGTTGCTTCACAGCATGGTCGAAATAGGCACCATTTCCCCCGAATGCAGTATCATCGACATGCACTCCCATTATCCCAACCAGACCATTAGTTGTAGGATCACGAAGGAAGTACAAACAGGCATCAAAGCGTGACTGCTCCCAAACAAAACGTTGGGCTTCGGCATCGAACGTGCGATGCCACGCAGATGGTGCATCATCCTGTCCATACAAATTTCCAGTCACCTCGATGACTGCATCGCTTGGAAGGCCAGGAATGCCACCCTGTGGTGGATGAGCAAACAAAGGAGTAAATTCTTCGGGAAGTGGACCTGCCTCAAGAAATGCACCTTTGATATCTCCTAGCTGCAACTGCCAACCAAACGATGAAACAACTTGCATGACAAGCATCCTACCCATTTGACTCAAGGTGGGAGACTGCAACATGCCTGCAGCTACCTTCTTATCTAAGTCGGGATCAAGATGACCCTGCAAACACCAACGGCTTTTCACACGGTAGGAATTGGGATCAGATTCATCTATGGGTTTATCCTCCTCAGTGGCTCTCTTGGTGATGACAAACCGGCTACCAATGAACCTGTTGGCATGTTGCTCTCGAATTTTGGCTGCTTTGCGGCCATAGTGAATTTTCACAGCTTGCTTATCGAGAATGGTCTGCCATTCCACTCGCTTTGATTCATCTACCTTGGCTTGAAGTTCAGGGCTGTTCTTGGTTGGATGAATTTCCTTGCTAAGTTTCTTCTGCATATAGTTGGCAATCAAAACCTCTATTGACGAGTGGTTATCATCCCAAAGTTCCTGCAAGTGATTCACGTCCTCGACAGACAGGGTCTCGTGTTCTTCGACACGAGGCTTCTGACTGGCAGGCTGTTCGGACACATCGGCATCTTCAAGCTGTCGCTTGGCGTGCATGGATTCATCATGAGTTTCATCCACGATGGCACGTTCTACCAGCTTAGGCACAATTTCACGCATGATCTCAGCAAAATCGGCTTCCTTCATGGATGGAGGTCGATACAGTGCCGGTGGGCCAGCTTTCAATCGAACCCTTCGGAGAGGACCATAGCTAGAATCAGCGCTAGCACTTGATGATTGTTCAGCTACTTCATTCTGATCCTCTTCCGGTGGCTTATCAGGCATTTCACTGGCACTGGGTTCGGGCTGAGCTGGAACAGGCGCTTCACTGATGGTGCTGGGCACTGGTGGCTCAGCAGCATTTGAACTCTGGGCTAACGCTGATGGAGCTGGCAAACTGTCGCTCTGAGACTCAGCAGTCGGTGGCCCCAGAACTGGTTCAGCCATGGTAGGGTAATGACCGGGGACCAGATCTATGAACTGATGGCTACGGAAAGTTCCTCCCTCGATCATGTCCTTAATGCCTAGCAATTCAGCTTGAGGGGTGGTTACCACTGCACGTTCTTCCTCAGTAGCTGGCCGAAGCTGTTCGGGAGCAGCTCGGAAAATTTGGCGCCTATGTGCAATTACATAGTTCTTACCAACATTTCCAACTACAACAGCAGTGCCATACCATCGACCTCCAAGCAACACTTGACCCTGTTGATACTTTTGACATCTCCAATATGCTACTAGGTCACCGGCTTGGAACTGCTGGGCAAGACGCGGTCTTGCAGAGTAAGCTCGGCGCAGTGCATTGTCATCCTGGGTTTTGATGACCGCAAGACGAGCTGCAGATCTGATTGCCTGACTTTTGGCCATGGAGTCATCGGTCAAACTGGCAGTGGCGGGCACTACATGCAGGGGTTCGCTAAGCAAGTCTGTTGGGACATCAGGATTCCTACCAAACACATGTTGATATGGGGTATATCCATGAGACTGAATCATTGCATTCTTGACATGTGCATGAGTCACACAGGCCTCCCAGTCACTGCGGTCACTTGGCGGAAACTCTGCTAGGGTTTTTTCCAGTATGCGGCAAAACCAGCCGCCGTGTCGCTCAGTCTTTCCGAGTTGCCAGTGGGCTTCTCCAGCAATTGCATGCACATGACAACCCTGAAACTCTAGATAGGTCTGCAAAGGATCACCAAGGTTGGTTTGAGCCTGATCTAAAACCACTTCTTTTGGGGGTCCAAAAACCTTCACCCAGTGTTCTGAAATCACCTGCTTCAAAACCATGGACGTTTCACGCTCGAAAATTGGGATCATAAGCTGATAGCAACTGGACTGGTCCACGATGTTCACAGCCTTGATCTGTTGATTTGGTTTCCACCCCGGGAGATACTTCACATCTACACCTATACACTGATTGAAGGTGCTTGGTCGAGAAGCTTTGGCTGGCAGCGGAACATGTGGTCGGATTTGAGACTTGCAAAACGCACAGTCGAGCTTGGGAGCTAGGCTAATAGCTCGGTCGGATGCCTGAGCGTGCTTCAAAATTCTCACTAGGTCATGGGCTGGTGGATGTCCTAGATTGCGGTGCACTTTGTCCAACGCTTTGAGAAGCTCGGCATCCGTCTTCTCGGAAGACAAATCAGGCTTTGCGGCAAGAACTTCCTGTACATGATGGGTCGGCCATTCGACGTCTTCGACCAGACAGGCTTTCTTCATGCTGACAAACCTAGGAACCGTGTTCCATGACTGCTTCAACAAACTGCGGAGTGTATTTACCAGTGAAAGCACTTATTGATCCTACCTCGGGATGTGATCCTGCCACCGGTTGGTGACATTGGTGTTGAGGGCTCTTACTCCCTGGGCATTGCTTGGCTAAGCATTTCGTACTGGCATGGCTTACTAGCAGTTTCGTACCCTTGCGAATCAAGTGCACACTTCTGGGAATCCTAAGGCCATAGCGGCACATGTGGCATGTCAGGAAATGATGTTGGTCGCACAGTCGCTTGACCTCATCATACGACCAGATCTTGGAGCCTAATGGATGCTCAAAGATGGCTTGCCCTCCAAGTGCAATCTGTTGTTCAAACAATTTGCAACAAAACTTGACAAACATGCGGCTTTGCCGAACACGGCGCATGTACTCTTGAGGATCCATTGTGCAGGCATTTAAATGGAACCACCCCCCTTCATCGGTGCATGGAGGGCAAAGGACCAAAAGATCTGGTGGGTTTTCTCTAAGCTCACGTGCAACATCATCTCGGGTCTGTGGCTTCGTAAAGTCATAGCCAGTTTTTAGATCATAAGATCGGCAGCTACCTCCTACTCCCTGAACCAACGGTGAAAACCTTGGGGGGCAAAACACTTCAGCAACTAGGAGTGGCTTACCATCAACCTTAGTAGACGGTGTCTTTGCTGCATGGCTGACCTGAGACTCTAATTGACGCACGCAGTGCACAGGCAAGGCCTCAGTGGTGATCATCTTTTCCTGTGGCTGAAAGTGAAACTCGGTTGTAACATGAAGCACCTCTTCGGGAATGTCTTGATGATAACATTTCTTGGGCTTAGTAGTACTAATCGGCTCATCAAACAAAACATTACCAGTGGCACTATCAATAACCCTTCTATGTTTCACGGCTTGCCATGGAGGACCCTGTTTACCTGATGTAATTGCCTTAGAGATATATGAGTCATGTCTGCACCACACTTGCAGTGGATTGAGCTGTCCTGGATCAGCATCGAGGGATGACTTGGAGATAGGTGCAGGCTCGACCGCTATCTCAACGTTTGCATCACTGCAGTCGGATGGGACCTCTGCAGAGGCAGGCAGAGCACTCTGGTTCATCATGACTTCTTCAAACTCATTGGCGGCATCGGCCTTCTGAACATCGCCAATCACATGAATCACATACTGGCCGGCTTCGTTGGTATGCAAAGGGATGGCCACTTGGTCCGCAAACAGTTTCATTTCGTTTCTGCCAAAATCCACAACGGCTTGCAGGGACTGCAGAGCATTCCTGGAAATCAACAACGGTGCACGACCTTTCACAATTGCAGCCTTAATCACCCCTTGACGACCAGCTATGACCACGGGAACTCGAATCATCGATTCAGAAGTCTCTCGTTCACCGTTGCCAAATTTAAAGTGATTCAGTTCATACTGCACTTCGGGAATTGGAATGCCCCGATCTCTCCAGAGCTGCTTGAACTCCTCGAGTGTCTCACGACCTACAATGGTGCGGCCACACCCAGAATCAATGATTCCATAACCAGGTGAGCTGACAAGCAGGACCTCAGGAGACACAGGCGACATGGTCAAGGCATCTGGAAGAGGATCACCATCATCAGGGCATACTTTGGCATCAGGAAGGACTTTGGAACGTTCAGCTCGTCGTTGACGAAGCAGCATCAAGGCACTGCCGGTCTGATCAGTTGATGGGCAAATGCTCACAGCAGCAACAAAATCTTCACGGAAGGGTTCCACCAGAGCTGCACCTGTATCAGCTGACTTTGCAGAGCCAGATCCACGTCCTTTACCTTTGCCAGACCTGCATTCACGGGACCAATGTCCGACTTGGTGACACTTGTGGCAACGTGTCTTCTTTTTGAGCTTCGATCTCCACACGGTACGACTTCCGAAGATCTTGCGCAGCGCCAAAGCGGCGGGAGCGCTGCATCTGACTGAGCTCCTTGCGTTTCTCCTTCCATCCGACCGCTAGGGCCTCAGCGATCTTGTTCTTCAAACACTTCTTCAGGTTCTTCGGCCGGAGTCAGTGAGTCATGTTCTGCAAGAAAGGCTTCAACTTCCTGCAGGATGGGATCGCTATCGACCTCATCATTTTCAGCTGCATCAGCCTCGATGAGACCAGCCCCAAGAGTCTTACGCTTGCGGTGAAGAATCAGCCACCCTTTTGCCTCTTCTGGAAAGGCAACATCGCACTTCCTGCTACACCGGTCAAAACATTCCGTTGCACGGGAAATCCAGACCTTCAGAGTTTCGCCGTCATTGGCCTTGAGGCTAAACACTTCAGTTAAAACTTCAGACATCTCATCCAGCGTCTCCTTCTGAGGAAACCGGTCATCTAAAAGTTTCAGAAGCTTTGTTTCGCCACCTTCGACATGATACTCTGAGGGATCCAGATGCTCAACACATTCCAACGCCTTGCCCTGTAGGAGCGTATACACATAGGCACCTCGTGCCTTCGCAGACACTTTCCCATCCAGGGTTAGGAGTTTGTTGATAACCCATGTCTTCCATCTTCGATATTCTTTTCCGTCCTCGTTCTCACCAGAAAACATTTTTGTGCTTCCATCCGCAGAACCACTGCTTGCACCGGCCATGGCGCTCAAAGAATCCACGGATCGCCTGACCCGCGGAGCCCCTCTTTGGAGGCTCCGCTACCAATGTTAATTGGTAGCTGATTCCAAACCTTTGGACAACCCAGTGTCCAACATACGGGCTTCCTTTTCTCTCGCCTGAGCAGATAGGTGTCCCTGCGACGCACAAGAGTTGTCCCCTGACAACTGGTGAGATGGTGATTGGCGCTCATGCTGGTGGCTTTAAGATATTTATAGAGACTTAAATGTACAGTAAATCATATAGAGATAGAGAGAGAGAGAGAGAGATACTGCAGAAGAATGCAGCAGGACGAGAGTATCGCCCACCTTCAGCAGGAAACGACAATGGAGAATGTGCAGGGAAACAACAATGGAGAGAGAGGAGTCTGGTATGCTCTCCTGAGAATATACAGGGAAACAACATGTACAGGGAAACAAAGGAAGTGTACGAGAGTATCGCCCACCTTCAGCGGGAAACAACAATGGAGAGAGAGGAGTCTGGTATGCTCCAAGATGGTTAGTTTTAAGCTGGCCGGACTTGGGCAAAACTCAATGCATTCTGATGATTTTTGATGCTTTCCGTAGGATTCCCATGAAAAGATGTCGGACTTTGATGGACTTCAGGGTCTTCCAAGCCTGGGTTGGTCGTATCAGCTTGCCACTTAGGCATTGCTAGATCACTTCCAGTCACGTTTCGACATCGAGCGAGACAGAAGAGGTGTCACAAGCTTCAGGAATGTGACTGGTTGAGAGTTAAGATGTTTGAATGATTTCAGGGAAAGTCTCAATTTAGGCTGTCATACTCCCATGCACTTGACCCTCTGATCAGAGAAGCCACGAGATTGCTACAGTGTTGGCGAGTACTCGCAGGGGATGGTAGGGGCATGGCCAGCATGGCCAGCATGGCCAGCATGGCCAGCATGGCCACTGAATTCTGAGGTAATTGAATGATAATTGATGATCGTTGTCATTTTCGCAAATCCATGCAAAACCTCTTGGTTTCCACAGGGAAGGATGTTTATATATTTGCCCACGATTCTGCATTGTCGCGGTGTCGCTTTTCGATCCATATGCAGCTGAGGTGAAACTGTTCCGTGAAGCTGATCCCAGCTTCACCCAAGCCTTGGAAGTCGAGGTGAAAGAGAGGATTTTTTCTCCGAAACTGGGTAGCTGTCACATGCTGTGACATGCTGTGACAGAACAGATCAAACTGTAACAGGTTTGTGAGTCCAAAAGGGTCGGTTTGGTCAGGATCAGCTCTTTTTCCGTTTATTTTGTCATATTTTGTCAAAACAGTTTTGGCTTCAACAGGTCGGATGCAGAAAGTCATACCAAGGACCGAATATCTTCTGACACAGGGGCAAGAATGCAGACAAGCAGTCTTGCTTTGCAAGGGCACGGTGAATATTGTGGCCAATGGCGTGCAGGCCTATATGAGTTGGTTCAATCTTTGGAGGACATGACCATGTATGATCTTTATTTGTTAAAAGATGCATGCTGATCCTTGCAAACATCCAAACATTAACATAGGTGAATAGAGGTTCCATCAAATGGAGGAGGGAGAGAGGGTCAGAAAATATGATTTTGAGCACACGTAGCTGCACATCTCTCATTCCAATAAAAACAGATAGTTGCAAAGATGCACATAGATCAATCCACGATTGCCATTCTCTTTATGTTGATTCGACCACATTTACAGGGACATACAGGAACTCGGGGAAGTTGGAGTTCCCCTGTGCCCGATACGCACCGTCGCTCAGGTGGGGTTAATCGAAGTGAAAGAGATGCCAGATGCCTTGCTCTTTGGAGAGTTCACCTTGTTGCTCAAAAGCACAGACAGAAACCATCAATCTTTTTCTCGGGTAAACATGGGTAAATGATGGCAAATGGTCATCAATTTTTCTGCTAGACTCTTCAAGCTTCGCATGGACCAGAAACACTACCCTTGCTGAGAAAAGATGATTTTACCCATGACTTCACATGAGCTGCTCGCATGATTTCCGCAGATGTTGAGCATCTTCTGAATCCAGCGAGTGATTTTCTTACTCGTGCAGAACGTAGGGAATGGGGGAATGATCCAATCCGTAACGATTTTCATAATCATCCCATTCCCCCATTCCCGGCCCTAATTAGCCATTCATAATCATCCATAATTAACCATCCATAATTCATCCACAATTCATCCATAATTCATCCACAATCATCCCATCATAACCATCAATAGCCATTAATATTGGAAAGGTTCGCCCAGGTTTTTTGCCCACCAACCACCAATCTTCACCTCCAAGTGACCCGCACCTCCCAGAATCAGCGCAGCTTTTGGTTTTGAAGCTGAGAAAACAGGCTTGGAATGCATGCTATGGATCAGTTATGTCTGGATACTTGATGATACTTGTAAATATAACCATGAATAACTACTAGTAGTCATCCCATTCCACCAGTAAGTTTTTTGGGTGGCTTTAAGGTTGGGCCTTTGGCCCTTCCCCAGAGCCTCCATCGTTGCGAAGACCAACTGCCTGGTCCAGATCATCGATGCCTCCGCGCTGTCCAGGCCACCGGCCCCATGGTTGGATGGATGGTTGGATGGATGTCCAAGGGGATGATGATGACCCCATGGTGTGATAATGAGTGTTGATATGTGTTGATGTAATTGTACTAATATTTTTTGTGGCCGGACATGACAGTCATGTACATTTGATTGTGGATCATTTTGTTCGTGGGCCTGGTCACCATTTCCTTTGCAAAGTGGAAAGCAAATATTGTGTAACCCACCAAAGCAGTTTGATTGAGTACAAGCGTGTTTGCCCTGGTGGCCCTGGTGAAAAAGAATTTGAAGCCAAAAATTCATCCCACTTTTATGTCAGAACAGCCCCTGTGCTCAGGTGTTTGGACAAGTACCCAGAGGAGTCCTTCATCTTTCGGGAGCTCATTGAAGCACGCTTGAACAAAATCTATGAACAAGAAGAGGCACCATTTTTCCTACCGTAAACCGTTCGTTTGGTCACTGAACAGGCTTGTACGCAGTCAGATGTAGTTGAGCTTAAATTTTCAATGCGGTCTCAACTTCCTTTCATTAGACCCTCTCTATATTGTGACTCCGCTCCATGATTCTCAACGGCTGCATTTCATGCGGTTAGGCCTGGTACCAGAGCCCAGGGGGGCCCTTGGTTTTCGCTTAATCGTACACACTCAATAAAACCAGACACGCCGCTCGGGATACCATGCGAGGAGGTGTTTGTATGTGTTTGTTGGTAAGGTGCGAGGTCATTGCGAGGTCAGAAAAACCCACCCTGTTGGGGTAGTTGACCCATGTTGACCCATATCACTTAGTTTTTTACTTATTGAGGATCCCATGTTTCAAAAAGACGCAGAACTACTGGCAGTGGACATTGGAAGGTCGCTCGGCAGATTGCAGAAAAGGAAGCCGCTGAAGCTGCTGGGGCACATGAAGCACCGGTGCTGCGATCACCCTCGCGGTATAAGAAGCGAACCATCCCCCGCGGCATTGCTGAGGTCAAGGGCTGCTCAATGGCAAAAACTGGCAAAATCTGGCAATGGTTTTACCATGTTTTGCCAATTTGACATTGTTTTTTAAATAAATGCATGGTGTATTTTTCTGAGTTTGTCCAAATTTCCGGGAGTTGAATGGTGGGAATCTACTGCACAGGACCATGCCCCTCAAAATAGTCCCCCAAGAGAGGAGTCGCAGGACGCTGCTGGTCCGTGGTGGTTTGCAACTTTGACTGAGGCCCATGTTGTAGCTGAGAGGAACAGGACTACTGTAGCTACCAGATATCTAGCTGCATCGCATCACGTCTCAACTTCTGCATTCAACCTGCTCAGGCTTCAACTTCTCCTCAAAGTGCATCAAAGAACTTGAATCCTATTTGCACAAAAGGCCGGCATTGGTTGTTCTTGAGACTCATTGGGCTGATCCTCATGTAACAAGTTTGCAGTTAGTCGTCAGAATGAGAGCCCTGACAACCCCAAAATCAAACAGTTCCAGATTGTGTTCCCATATTTGCCCATCCTTTTGAATGCTTTTCCTGCCATTTTGAGACATTTTTGATATGTGGCCACGAGGCTCTTCATCCCACAGCAGATCATTACTCACCAAGGCACTGACCTTCAGGACGGGACTAGGCAAGGGGCGGTCCTGGTGACAGTTGTGGGTTTGTTCCTTGGCCCATAAAGTACATTCAAAATTCATTCAAATACATCAACATAATTTGAAGTACCAGAAACCGATGGTGAGAGAGAGAGAGAGAGAGAAATGTGGAACAAGACCTTTGGATATGATTGAAGATAGGAACAGATGGTAATTTGACGTAACTTGTGTGCAATCTGGCTGCCATGGCTGCAGGACGTTTACATCCTGCAGCAAGGCAGCTGTGAAGCACTAATCTTTGGATGCTTGGCCCATCTTGTCCCTGAAAGTCACACTGGTGTCACCGGCTGTTTTCCTGGCCACCAGGGTCGGGTTTGATCCATTTTATTCGCAGACACCTTCTGTCTTCCTAACGGCATTCAATCACGATGAGGCTTGCACATCCTTGACTTGTAATGATTCGTACAAAGTTAGACCGGTTCAAGGTGATGGGTCATGCGTTTGGTATGATCATGATTCATGATGTATACTGATGTGTACGAGCCGTCCATTCTGTTGCTTGCACAGGCAGCGTTACCAACAGTCTGCAATGACTTTGTTTGCCGTACATCATAGTTGGCACTCGCTGAAACTTTTGTAAGGGGTCATCATAAATCTGAATTTTGGAGCGCAGCCTAGAAAGCTTCATTGTGTTTTCATTCCTGGTCCTGTCTGTAGCATATCAACGCATTTCAACCATGGCATCCCGCTACAAGATCTACAAGAGCCAAGGAGTGGTCTTTGAAACCTTCACTGGTTCTTGCGTCATCGGTGGGTTACCATCAGTTTTGACCAAGAAGGTCTTCACCACTGTCGTAGCGAAGTCCACTTGCTTCGTTGTGCTTTGGCCCGGTGTGAAAGTGGCACATGGGATACGCATGGCATGGCATTATCACTTGACCAAGCCTTGTCAAGTAAGACTTTCTGTGTGCATTCTTATGATTCCGTCGTGTCCTGCTTTTGACCTATCTTCTTTCTTTACATGGATGTCGAGCTAGATGACTTTACTTGACACTTCATTGCTCCATGACAATTTCGGTCAACCCATCGATTCATGATGGACAGGGCTTTTCATCTTGACCCACTCATGCACACTCATGCTGGGTCATGCTTACCTAGGTGCATTCCACACACGCACATATGGTGCTATAGCGAAGAGAATAGTTACCATATGTTACCATACTTGTACTGCATTCGGTTTTGCCCATCATCTTGTATTTGCGAATAGGCATGGACAGCTTTGACAGGGGATTTGTAGGTGCTGGGAGTTGCAGGGCGGCAACCACTGAACGGCCTAGGTGAAAATCTCACAGCGCCACTTTACTGCTGTGTTCGAGAAACACCAAGACGATCGGAAGAAGCTCTTTGCAGCTGCTCAACGCGCCTTCAGCAAGATGTGTCCCTTGGCTGGAAGCGGCGCCTTCTTTGTGGCCGCCCCCTCCCAGGATCTGCTGAAATCCACTGCCCTGTGCCACTCTGCCACTCAGGTGACGAGTTTCAACAAAACACTTGGATAGCAAAGTCCCTGCAGAAACAGCTGGCGGTCATGCCCTGTTTGCACGGTTCAACTGATGGTTTCTTTGTTTCCTTGGCAAAAGCAGTTGAGCCCAGACTTCTCATTGCTGGGCAAGAGATTTTCCTCTCAAGCAACAAGGACAGGATCATTCGGGGTCCAACAGTCCAATTGATATGGATGAGTGGATCCTTGAATGTATGTACAATATTTTACAATATTGTACAATATGTATATATCAATGTCTTAACACCCATGACTACTGTATGGCTTTGACATGCTTTGACTGGTTTGAGTTCCAGTTGATCCAAGAGGGATCTAAAGGATCAGTGTTCGGATGGGATATGGTGGGATACCGAGCTCTACGGCCTCCGAGCGGTCAGGAAGAGGGTGCAGATCTTTATTTCGTCTTCGAAGGGCATTTCCATTGCTTGCAGAAGGGTGCGGTGGTGGGGACCATTTCTCCTGGCATGTTGTTTGGAATCCTGGAAGTCTTTGGCATTAGCGACCTCTCCGAAGACATGAGGATCAGGTCACTCAGTCAGAGTTGTGCAGTTTCATGATGTTTCATGAATAGCCCTTCAATACTCCAAAATGAGACCAGTTAGATGATTTCTGGCAACTACCGAAGTTGTGTTTTTTGTTTGCCTTTTTTTTTGTCGCCAGTCTGTTCTAAATAGACGTTCTTTGTTGGATAATTACCCATTTCTCTACTCTGATTTGCTTTGTCCATCTTTAATCTATCCCTAGTCATCTCTAGTCCATCTCTAACCTATCATTATTCTCAATTGTTCTCCATCTTGTAAGGTCTATCTTGTCCATATGCACCCACTTTATGTGTCCTTTTTTTCCCTCTGACCAAGCCATATCGACACCTCCAATTCATGGCATCCCCTGGAGGTCAGATGAGATTTGCAAAGTGGGCGTCCTGACCAGGGCCAAGCTCTGCGCCCTGCTCCACGATTTCCCAGAAGAGCGGGGGAAGTTCGAAGAACTGGTCCACAATTTGATGGAAGATAGTGTGAATCATCACCTTGCTGCTTGTTTGAATGCTACATATATATATATACTGTATATATAATCTCTCTCTCTCTCTCTATTATACATATATATATAGTTTTTCCGGTTTTTTATTCGATGCCAGTGATGACCCATCCTGACAAGAAACCCTTCATTTCTGAATATTTCAACATCCCCGCCCCGCTGGCAGGTGGGTTTGCCATTCTTCTCGGGCTTGAACAACCAGCAAATCCTCACCATTTGCCATCTTTTGGATCGGCGATTTCTACTTCCGGATGTGACTGTTGTGAGGGAAGGTGATGGTGGAGATTTCATGGTGGTCCTGAACTGTGGCAAGGCCAAGAGATAGCATGTTCTATGGCTATGGAGCGCGTGTAAATGGTTGTAAAGGATGTAAATGGATGGCGTGTGTTGCACAATTCTGGGACGAATTTTCGATTTTTGGTCGATTTCAGGTCCAATTCTCCTGTCCCGTGAGGCGGAGATCATCTTCAAGAGCATGGCAATAGGCACCCTCTCACCCGGAAAAGCATTCGGTGCTGCTCAGATGATGAACATCCACTCACGATACCACGCCACCTTAAAGACGAAGAGCACCTGCCACATACTGTTGATCTACTGGCACATGATGAGCGGCTTAATCATTTCAGCTGCTGACTTGGCGTGGGTAGAAGCGATGAAACAGCAAGCCAAAAAGATTCATGACGCTAGGTGGATTTGATGAGGGTGATGGATATATGAATTTGGGCAAAGCTCCGTCATGGCTTGGTTAAACAAAATGCTGTTCTTGGGTTTCATTTTGGAAGTGCATCAGCTTCACTCGACCTGCGCCCAACCTTGATGGGCAAAGGAGTCTGCATGGGTATGAATATGGTTGATGCAGAGCACGCCAAGCAGTTTCTTTTGGCCAATGCTGGACAATATTCTTGCAGATGTTTGGTTGCGGAATTGCCCCATATTTTTTCACATCTCACTTTCTGGTCTCAGCTTTGGATCGTTGATTTTTTTGACCAGGACGGCGCATGATAGTTATTGATAGTTGCATGTTTTGGGACAACTTTTCTTCAAGCTTTGACTGAGGAAAAGGAAGTCAACAACTTTTCTGCGAAGTTGCAGCGGCTGAGCAAGACCAATCGATCCACGCAAATCTTGGTGGAGAACATGGAGCCTTATCTCAAGATATCTCAAGATATCTCAAGATATCTCAAGATACCCAAACCATCTCAAACCCGTCATTTCAATTACAGTCACTATACAGTCACTCAACGGCACCATAGGTCACTGTAGGCTTTGTGATCTTTATGCTGCCGTCAAGTGCTAAATCCTATCGGTGGTTGGTCTCCTGTCCGGGACGGGCAGGAACTGTACAGCAATATCCGTGCCCTCTGAAGGTCTGAACAGAAATCATCTGGCAGTCGTATGGGTAGTAGTATTTCCTTGTATTTCCATATTTTCCATGGTTTGCATGAATTATTTGGTCATCTTTGATCCGCCATCCATTCATTGCCACTCCCTGGTGACTCCCTGGGCCTCCGTAGCCGAGGACTTTGCCTCCAGCCCTTGGACCTTGAAAGAGATCTTCCAGGAATGGCACGTCATGGCTTGTGAGGCGAGGTCATCAGTTAACGGTACTACTGGCACTAAGAATTAAAAACCGTGTGCCATTATTGACCCCCAATCACTCCCTGTGAATGGGGCTTATTGATGCTATTTGATGCTTATTGAATATTATGATTTATGAAGTCCCTAGGAGGGTTCCCATGGGTCTCCTGAGTCACTGAGCACCAGTTGCAGGGTCGAGTCTATCGCAGCTCTATGATGTCCCGCCACCTGGGGAGCCGTCCGAAGACCAAGACCCAACATTTGGGCATCGTTGGGAAGGATGATAGCTTCAAGGTGACAAATGGATGCTCAGTCAATGTTCCAGCTGGAAATCCCACCAGGTTGCCAACCATTTTTCAGGATTTGTGAAAAAAAGTGGCATTTGGTTGTGGAAAGTGTTTATGTTTCAAGGCTTCTTCTTTGCATAAAAGGTTGCACCAGACTCACCAGATGTGGTTCATGCATACCTCTGACTGGCCCCCTGAATAAGCTACAAAGTGCACCCGATTCTTCATGCTAAACGTTGGTAGTATTGCCAGGAGTCCATAGTGGACACAGACTTAGCAGCTTGAAATGTTTTGAATTATTTTGAGAAAATGTTTTTATATATAAAGTTATACAAGCAGTTTGAGTTATATCATAAGTTATGTCCGCAGACATTCAATGATACTCAAACTATCTCAAAATGCATGTAAGCTTCCCTTCAGTCAATCTAAGTATAGGCACTTCAGCTCTGGCTTGGTTTCACGGTGTTCCCATGATATCACAATGAGAAGCGCTTGTTTGAAGTTCTGATGGAAGCCCTTGGAACTATACGGAACTATGGAGTCTTTAAAGTGTGAACAAACTTCGAAGTTTCATGAGATCCTTGCTCCAGACTTGTTCCTTAGGATTCCTTAGGGTCTTCAAACAGCCCACTCAAATCCACTTATACTAGTATAAATCCAGTTGGCAGATCATAAGCCTATCATTTGAGGAACTTGGACAGCAGCTGTGCCAAAGATGGTGTTGAAACCTTTGCGCTTCCGCCGTGACATGAACTGGATCGACCTGAAGGGTGGTCGCCAAAGTCGCAGTGGCTCGAAAGCGCAGCATCGACTCGGGAATCCACGGCGCTGCCGTTTGGACATATGGAAAGGAGCCCGGGTTGTCTTATGATGTCCTATGTATGAGTATGTATGAGATTCCAAGTCAACTGTGGCAGATACAGAAGATATGAGCAGAGTCGCAACCTGTCCGAACCATCCTATGCATTTTGTCACACGATTGGAGCAGGATGGATTTGTGATTTGTGGTTGTTTGCAAAGGTAAGATTTGCGTTATAAGTTATAAGCCTCTTCGGCCGATTCTTAGCGTGAAATTTAAACACAATGAACCATGCAACCTCAGAGACTTTTTGGTTTAACCGATTTGTTTCGTATTGATTGTTGTCTTTTGTTGATTTTGTTGTGTTGTGTGACATTCATATTCCCTTCTGCTTGAAAGAGGGGAAGGCCATCACTCGAAGAACTGTGTCTCCAAACATCAACGCATAAAGAAACAAAGGTCTGCAGAATAGCGTGCGAATCAATATAAATCAATGCAACGCAGGAGCGTCTTGCTCCAAAGTCCAAAGCAAACAGCTGGCAGTTCCAAGAGATCTTGTTGGCTCAACAAGTCTGCGAGAGGGGAAGCAAACTGTTTGTGACACGCTGTTCAAAAGAGCCATTTCAAATCATTTCAGTCTAGTAGTAGGATAGATTGTCTCAATTGACCTTAAATTCATTTAAATCATATACTAGTATCTATAAACTGTTCTATTTATGCTATTAATATTGTCGAATATATTCTAACTATTTCTAACCTGCCCCGAGTCATCATGCTCGCATTTTGTTCGGCGCTGCAGGACTGGAAGAGCCTGAGTGGCTCCAGGACGTGCGCGGCGATGTTCGAGAAGTGGCGAAGCTGACCATTGGCGAGAGTGAAAAGAGTGAAACACTCTGAAATCTGTAGAAACTTTGCATTGGAAACAATGCACTTAAACCATGGAAACTGTATGGAAACATGTAGAACATACTCGAAAAATCTTGAAATGACATACCAATGATGATTGGATATGATAGATGTCCAAAGAAGAAGTGGATCAGCTAAACGTATCCGTCTACTAGGGTTTTGTCTGCACATTTTTTTTCCCCCCCTTGGAGGCAGTAAGTTTGCCCAGAACAGATGGCTCGTGTCAAAGGCACCAACGCCACAGGCAACACCTTCTTTAGTGCAGGTCTTTTGTCAAAATCCAAACGGAAAATCAAAACAATCAGCTGCAGCTTCAGTGAAACCCTCACGACGGCAGCAAGAGTTGCATGTGCTTTTTTTTTTTTGTCTTGGGTGTTCACATGTGTTCACGGTGTTCACGCAATGTGTCTGGGTAGTCTCAAGAGATCCCAGGAGCTTTGGGCCAATGGACCCCCAGTGGACCCGAAGTTTGTGCATAGCGCGACGATGCACTGCCAAAATGGCAGCGCTGGAGTGCCAAGCGGATGCGAAAAGTTGTCAAAATCGTCACATGGTGCTGGTTAAGGGGGTTAAGGGCAGACGTTGCCCCAGAGCCGAAGGTCAGCTGGATTCAGCCTCAGAAGTGATTCCATAGAGGGTACATGACACGGAAGCCCGCGCGGTTGTGTATCATGCAAGGGTAAAGAGAGATGAAGAAACTTGTTGTGCAACTGTAGTTCACTTATAATCATGCTGAAGAGCCGTCGTCGTGTGACTCTGCAATGAAAGGGCGCACAATTATACAAAATGTCATTCATTTGTTTGAATAGATCCTGAGTCTTTCCTCCAGACGGTCTCATGTCAGGCTCTTCTTCCTCCTCTATTGGTATCTTCGGCTGAAACGGGGCTGGCGCAGTTGCAGCAGTTGCGCAAAGATGCGCTGCGCTACTGGTGTCAGGTGGGGGAGTTATTCATCCTATGGAATCCAACGCCTTCCTATCCCAGGGTTGGCACTTCAGTTCTCCAGCGATGCTGGGAGGTTTCTTAGGCGATCTTAGGCGTAAAAACATGGAAAAGCTGTGTTACCTCAGAGCAAGCTCCTGGGGGTCAGCGCTGCGTGTTGCATAGTTGGATCGGGGAGTTTTAACTTGCGGTACAGCATGCAGCAAAGCCACTGGCCAGGCCCAAGAAATGGAGACATAGATGACTCGCTGTATTATGCTGTCTCCCCTAAACTTCTAAACCTGAAAATATCGTAAATTGATATCAATTGGTCAGCCGTTGGTTCCAAATTGGACTGTGAAATCAGCTTGCGAATGCTTGTAGTATCTTGAAGTTTTCATTGCGGAGATTTTAGGGTCTCCGACGGTTTCCAATGGTTTCCAGTTTCCAGCTGACGTGCCAGGTGAGCACCTCCACGCGGAAAGAAAACAGTGGTGAGGTGATGTGAGATGTTGGTTGGAGAACTGAACGGAAAATCTGGTAAGATGATGTGAGAATATTTGAGATTTTTCTTCCCAGCCTATTCTATGCATCCATAAAGTTCCCTGTGTTGCACCCATGTTAGATCATCATTTCCTGAATTTGCCAATTTGCCTGATGCTGTTGCGAGTCAGGAGCTGCTTGCCACGTACAGTGTTCACCACTTGCGGTGTGAGACGCCCTGTGGCCCATACTGGCAGCAACAGAAAATCTATGAAAATCTCACGGAAAGGGGGCCAACACTGCTCATCACCGCAGCACAGACTCGCTCCGCGAAGAATGTAGGTGCTCCAGAGCAGCCAAACAAACGGAACGTCCTGCACAACCCTCTGGGCCCCACAGCAGCACCATGTCTGCAGGGTTGAAATACAAACCGAACATTCAATCCACATTCCAGAAGCGTCAGCAATGTTGCCACGGCGCCATTGCCGTCGCCTACTGGAAAGGTGTGCGCGATTTGTGGCGACAAAGCCCGGTGGGAAGAGATAAATAACAGCACACTTACTTTTAATTTGGTCATGCTGGTGGTCTGTGAGTGATGGAAGCTGCTGAATTTGCAAGGCCCAATGTCCTGCATTCTTTCCATCATTGCCAGAGAAGCAGCGCTTAAAATTCATTCCTCAACAAATTCAACAAAGGCCATGATCACACGGCGAATCCCCTGCCATTAGACTCAGTAGATTAGATACCATCAGATCCATAAAATTATCCAAAATGTCCACATTTGAGCATGGCATAGCATTGCAATGACGCCCTGACGTGCCAGGACCTACAGCTTTGCCGCAGTTTGTGGCGCTGGTGTGGCCGGTTGTGGCCTTGGGCTACTGCTGTCCCGGCTGGATGGACAGCTGCGTGAGCGGCAACTACCTGGCGCTGGATTTCGAGTGTGCTGCGAAGAGCCTTGGACATCCTGAGGGTATCAGATATGGCCAGTGGATGCCAGCTCTTTTGACCCAGCTTGATGTTGATCATGCTTTTAGATGCTTTTAGTAGCAGAAGAGTAAGGGGGTTTATGTAATATATGTAATAAGGATCGAGATGTAAGAAATCTATAGGAATCTCCCAGTTCACAGCCCATGGTAAGATTTCCTGAGCGTTTTGTCAGATGCGTCAGGATGCGGTGACGCCAGCCCAGCGAGCACTGGCGGAAAAGTTGAGGTCCGTTGTGCCTTGATTGAATTCAGAGTTCCGAGAGTTCCGTGTGGGTGATATTATCGTGGATGGCATGCTATGCCATGCCAATGACAATATCTCCGTCTTCTTGCTAGCATTGTATGCAATACAGGGCTAATTTGTGCAAACGTTTTCTTTCATATACCATCTGGTAATGCAGCATGTTCAATGGTTTTCGACGGGACACATTTTCGTCGTCATCATTATCATGGCAATTATATGGCAATGATAAATTATGCTCATTGCGCTCACCATTCTCGATATTATTCTCAGTCTGGTTCGAACCGTTCAAACGCGTTCTTGAAATGTGTGTGTGTGTGTGAAACATCTCAATAGATGTAAAACTTGTACCTTTATTTTTTTTTCAGGGGGAGTCGCTTGGAGTCACCGCTTAACGAAGACACTCCAAGTTTGCTGTGATATGCAATCTGGACGCAGATTGCACGTACCTGCACTCGTTATAGCATCCGGCTAAGCTCAGAACCGGCAAGACGATTTGTTTTTCCACTTCATTTCTGCACTGTTGGCGCAATCTGAATTTCAACGAGGATCGCACCAGGATACTTTTGATGTTAAGCTTATGGACGGATGAGGGTGACAGTTTTGGACTTCATTTTTCATCGTTGGCGCAACTCAAGACTGTGGTTTTGGAGCTTCATGTCTATTCTTTTTATTTCCTCTTGGATACGACGATCATGGCCTTCCACTTCTGGAGTTTCCAGCTCTTTTTCCTGACAAGTGTACTTGTACTGATTTGTTTTTGCACGCCCGATGCATTCCACATCACAATTCGATAAGACAGTTCTGAGCAAGTGTGTGATTGCGTGTCTGTGTGTGTTCCTGCAGGTGGGCCAGAAGTTTGTGACGGAGAATGTCACGGACTCCCGGATTTGATGTGCAAAGTGAATCATATGTGAATCATCATGTACTACCCTACCCTACCCCATTTGCCCCCCAAATGAGATTATGATAGATTATGTAATTAACATTATACAATTTAAATTGCAGGAGTTGAGATTTGCTGAGACGCGAAGGGTATTGCACTGTGCATCCGATGTGCATCCGATCCGATGTGCATCCCTGCAGGAGATCGGCACCATGACTGGCAAAGGCCATGCCATGGTGGTGGTGCGTCCAGGAAGCCTACGGGAAACGACTCAGGTCCTCGAGGCGTGTCTGGAAGCTGGAGTTGCGATCGTCCCCCAAGGCCGGGAAAAGGAAGGCTACCATGGGCATCCATGAGCCATGGTCCATTTTTATCCATTTTTCCCACCAGGAGCAAGAGAAAAGGTAGCTAGTTAGTATGGTCAGGATTTGAATGCTTGGAATTGTTTCAGATCAGAAGATGCACTTGGACAATATGCCCATCTAGCGATCCCTGATGATGGCATCTCTGAAATAGTTTGATCATATTTATTGACCTTTTCATCTACATAGTTACATAATTACATATTGAACAACCATCAAGCACCAGTTGGCAGAACGTCTTTGGCATTCGGCGTTCCAGGTGCCAAAACCGGTCTGACTGGTGGCTCGGTGCCGCGGAGCTGTGATCGGCCCATGGTGGTAATCAGCACTCAGCGGCTGCAGAAGATCCTGCCCATCAAAGACGCCGGCGATGCCAAGCAGGTTCTGTGCTTTGCCGGTGCGGGCATTTTCAGTGTGCAAGAAACGTTGAACCTTGGAGCGGGGCCCGGGGCTATACTATATTCATATGATTCATGACCCCCTTCAATGAATCACATCAGATGCATTGTTTTGCGGCTAAGAATCACCAAGAATCATATAATGTAATTATATTAGTATATATTAGTTATGTTATATTATATTATATTATAATATATTATATTATAATATATTATATTATAATATATTATATTATAATATATTATACTATATAATATATTATATTATATTATATTATATGATATGATATTATATTATGTGTATGATTTTTTATATTATATTAAACTATAATAAATAATATTATTTAATTTCATATCATATCATATTATATTATGTTATGTTATATTATTAAATTTGTATATCATAAACTGCTTTGAAATTAACAATTGGGCTAATTCAGCATCACATCTTCAAATCCTTTCAAATCATACAGTGCACAGAAATGAGATCACGATGCGGGCAGTGTGGTGGGGCAAATCGATCAGAATCATGATTTGTACATGAGACCTAGTGACTAATGGCCTTCGCTCCATGCTGTGGGCAGCTTGTGGGTGTAGTGGGCAAATAATCACTGCCATCACGTGCAGTTTTTCAAAGTGTTTCAAAGCGGAAGGAACACCCCACAAGAGGCGAAATCTCTGAGTACTTACATACAGGCCATGTGATTAATAAGCACAGCAATCGGGTCTGGTTTCAACGGATCTATGATTTCTTATTTATTCAACATTATTCAACTGTCGACCATGAAAAGCTTCAGTCTTGAGTTCACCGCGGCATCTCAGTGCTTCCTCACCATTGGCTTTTGGAGTTTTTCTAGATCTTTCCTTCAACTCAGACGGATGAAAAGAAAACCGGTTTGAGCATGTTTGAGCATCGCATCACAACCAGTGAGATTAAAGCACCACAGGAAATCCTACAACCGGGACTCCCACAGCGTGCTGGGATCCATATTTTTGAACCCATCTGTGGCTGCTGGAGTGGCCTTTGGCAGTGGTGGCACGCAGATCCATAAAGGCCCAGCATTCACCAACCGGGCGCTCTACTGTCGAGTCAACGCACAAGGAAAGATGGAACTGGCAACTTGTCTATATGGCTATGGATCAATACCTATAGATACAGTTTATTAGGGGATGAACATCCATTTACCAGCTATTTTGATGTTCACCAGGGGTACAAGGTTTTGACACACTGCCATATAATTGTAGCGTCTTGTAGCGTCTTGTAGCGTCTTGTAGCGTCTTGTAGCACGTAGCCCATGAGCACCTTTCAAGGTTCAGCTTTTGGGGGGCCATGTTTCAAGCCTCCATGTTTTGCAATCGACAATCCTAGGGCAAGTCCGTAAATTCAGACATAAATGGAACCGGACTGGTCTTCGATTTGTTATAATCGATAATTTCGAAGAAGGATTTGCACGTCGTGAGCTCAGTGGGAGGCTTATTAGTCACCTGTAAGGACAATCAGCCAGATGGAAAAAAGGATAAAAAAGGTAGATGCTGATTTTCATATCACCAGCTGCTTATAGCTGCTTCGCATTCTGGAGAGCCGAGGTGAACACCTTGGGGCTTAGCCTTCAAGGCGATGTGCTTAGCTTCTTGGTGGCTTGGTCCAAAAAGAATATTCTGACCTCTTTCAGGGAACCAAGTTGATTTAAAAGAAGAGCAAAACATCATAGGCTTGTTTGTGCTGACGCCGCCTCTAACGAGCCCAGGCGGTTTGCTAATTTTTGCAACGTTGTCTTCTTATATGTCATATTTTGAATATTATTCTATTTGTGGTTGTCTTGTCACATGTCATATTTTGCATGTTCATGTGGGTCGGGTGGGGGGGTGGGGGGGGGGGGTGGGGGGTGGGGGGGGCTAATAACGTTTTGTCGCCTCTTCTTTTGGCGGGTGCTTTAAACTTTAAACTTCGTCAAACTTCTGCTTTCCACGCTGTTGATGCTATGCCTCAACTCTTTTGTCTTGGAATTATCTAACACGCTGTTGATGCTACGCCTGAAACTTCTCTTTTGTAAGTTTCCACACGTTTTGGACTGTCCTTTTCCAACATCTTTTTATATTTTTGCCAGCGGAGGGAAAACAGTCCTAGCAATGTTGACGTGTTTGGATATGCGGCATGTTTGCACATGGGGGGGTGGGGGGGGGAAGGTAATAACCTTCCATAATCTTGCGTAACATCGAGCACGCGTTGCATGCGTCGCCCTCAACAGTGGGGTGGGGGGGGAGGTAATATGCGCCAACACATTCCTGTAACATCTAACACGCTTTTGGTGCTACGCTCTGAACACTTTCATGTAACATCTAACATGCTCTAGGTGCTACGCTCTGAACACTTTCATGTAAATATCGAACACGCTCTTGGTGCTACGCTCTGAACACTTTCATGTGACATCGGACACGCTGTGAACACTTTCATGCAACGTCCAACACGCTCTTGGTGCTACGCCCTGAACACTTTCAATGTAACTTCTAAAAAACGCTGTGAACACTTGCGTGTTACACTTTCATGTAACATCCAACACGTTCTTGGTGCTCCGAACTTTTTCATGTAACATCTAACAGGCTGTGAACAGTTTAATGTTACATGTAACACGGTTTGAACACTTGGATGTAATGCTCTTGTGTATCATATATCTCTATAATATAAACATATACTATTATACACATTAGTGTTGTTTTACCTTTTTGAAGTATTTCCTATATATCAGTGTATCTTTTAAAGGATTATGATCAGTTGAAACAGCTTGGCACTTGGCAAAGACTTGCAAGTGAAAAACAACAAACACACAGTTTTTTTTAACCGTATGGGAACCGAAAAAACTCATTTCCACCAATCTAAAATCATCAAAACGATTGCGAAGTCATGCAACTACCAATCGAATTGCAAGTCTATACAAAATGCTCATGACACGAAACCTTGGAAGGGTTGTGAAAACAGAGACTTGGCAGCAGAAAAAAGGGTGAAAATCAGCGGGGTCATTGCGGGCGGCGTAACCTTGTTTGTGGGATCACTTGAAAGCTAGCTGTTTCCCCGTTTGCTTGTGGCCGAGTTCACAAGGTTGGTTCAAATTTCATAGGGCTGCAGGGAATAGCTTCTTAATATTTTTTTAATGTCATTAATGTCAATTGGGCGCTTGTCATGGGAGATCCCCTGAAAAGAATTGAACGATATTGACACCATCGGCCTTGGAGGATGGCGCAGAGGAATTGTCGCTTAAAGACATGGACAGCAAGTCCTCCAAAGCCGCGTCATGGCCCAAGTACCCGGAGCATCTTACCAAGTTGGACGGCAACCTGTCTCGTTACAATGCTGATCTTGCAGGTGAAGATTGCCACTGGGCAGATTTACGCTGGAAGTATTGGCTGGTGCGAAACTGATCGAACATATCAGTGTAGTACAGCGTAGTGAGCTATAGCTGCAGTATAGCGGGTTGTACCTATACAACACATTCTGCCGCTGTTTCTGGTCAAAAAACAGTTCAGAGAGAATCCAGCCTTCATATGATTTGCGCCTGTAATGCTAGGGCCGGTAGCAAGATTCGTCGAGGTTCTAGGGATTCGTGCCACCTCAGGCCATCACTTAGAGCCAGAGGTCCCACACACCTGCACTGTTTTGCATGACATTTCATCTCACTAAGACATTTGGGTGTTTTTGATTGTCCCGGTTGTGCATACTTTTTCCTTACTTTTTGCAGCTCGGCACAGCTGTTTGCAGCATTCAGGTAATCGCTCTGAAGGGAAGGTCTTCATCCTGGTATCTCGACTTTTGGCATGAGGTTTGGCTTGCGCCTCCCAAAAAGTTGATGTTCAAGTTGTTCAAGGAACCAGCTGTTGAAGTTCGGCCCTGCCAGATATATAACGGACCCCAAGTAATGTGCGATGTTGCCACAAGCCGCAGTGAGCCAGCCCAAAATTTTTGCCCACCAGCTCAAGCTGTCACAAACGCTCTGACCAAGGCTACCATACATGACACATTTCCAATGCCTCAAAAGAGCAAGATGGTTTGGGTGTCCTGCAAAGATTTTGCAACTGCCAACCTTGTGAAGCGCAAAGTGGCGCTGCTTGGTTGCAGAATGCAGCCAGGGATAGCCAGAGTGATGCTAGGTGAGTGGGCAAGGAGGGTTCACTCGTATCCAAAACCAAAATACACCAATTCACCAACATATCCAGTCTGAAAGACTTTCGCTGTACCTCGCTTTACCGTGCTTTACTCCCTTTGAGGTTCACAAGCAGCCCCAACATCACCCAACCAAGCTTTCAACACATCGAGGTTGGCCTCACCTAAGTACCTGCCGAAGCAGTTCGAGTATATTGCTCGAGATCAGTTCGATTGTATCGATCAAGCTGGACGTGGGATCATAAAACTGATTGAGATAGTGGGAATGTCCAATCTGGGAGCACTATGGAACTTCAAACTGAAGTTCCTGGGCTGGTGGAGTGAGCTCGTCGGGACTTATCCGGGTCTGCCAGACACCTGAAGGTATTTGAATTGCCTTGAGGATTTTGAGGGAAGATGACAGGCACGCACAGGTCGCAAATGGAAGAAACAATTCCCCTAACGACGCTGCTGTGTGTTCGAGGTAGGATCGTAAGTGTATATATATATATTATATTATATATATATATATTATGTATATTATATATACATATATATATACACATATATATATATACATACACATACATATGTATAATCACATACATACATACATACATACATACATACATACATACATACATACATACATACATACATGCATACATGCATACATGCATACATGCATACATGCATACATGCATACATGCATACATGCATACATGCATACATGCATACATGCATACATGAATACATGCATACATGCATACATGCATACATGCATACATGCATACATGCATACATGCATACATGCATACATGCATACATGCATACATGCATACATGCATAGACATACATGCATAGACATACATGCATAGACATACATACATAGACATGCATACATAGACATACATGCATAGACATGCATACATAGACACACATATATATATATATACACATAGAGATACATACATAGACATACATAGAACACACATAGACACACATAGACACACATAGACACACATAGACACACATAGACACACATAGACGCACATAGGCACACATAGGCACACATAGACTGGACACATAGACTAGACACATAGACACACATAGACTCACATAGACACACATAGGCACACATAGACACATAGGCACACATAGACACACATAGGCACACATAGACACACATAGGCACACATAGACACAGATAGACACACATACACACACATAGATGCACATAGGCACACATAGGCACACATAGACACACATAGGCACCAATAGACACACATAGACACACATAGGCACACATAGACTAGACACATAGGCACACATAGACTAGACACATAGACACACATAGACACACATAGGCACACATAGGCACACATAGACACACATAGACACACATAGACACACATAGACACACATAGACACACATAGACACACATAGGCACACATAGACACACATAGGCACACATAGACACACATAGGCACACATAGACACACATAGACACACATATACATAGTAGGACACGTTAGGACTGACTGATCCTGTCACTGTGCCTGGGTCCAAAGGTTCGAGTCCTTACCGCTGCCCTTCGTCAACATCATTGCAGCCACTGACTTCAAATCTTAGGGGTTTCGAATGTATGCCATTTGCATCCATTTGTGTAGACTTGCACTTCTGCTCCAGACACATGTGTGGATACTGTTGTTGTTGGGTAGCAATGTTTGCCAAACTTTCTGCATCAAGGACAAGTTCCTGTGGTATTTGAACCCGCTCATCCCCGAGTCTTTACCAAAGCCATTGATGGAGCAAGGGCGGAAGTTTGACCATCACCTCATCGTGGAGATGACAGAGTGCCCCAGAGCTGGTTTGGAGACACTACTGAGACACTACTGAGTAACACTACTGCTATAGACTATAGGTGTACCATTATGCCATACCAAACCTGGTGCAGCTGCCAGGTTTGGCAATGGGGAGTTGAAGCACTTGGAGGAGCAGCTTCAGAAGCAGCTGGACGCCCATCCGGATGATATGACCTGCTACGTGTGCCAAAATGCTGCTTTGATATGCAAAAATGAATCAAACTCATGCAAAGGTTTGATGCAGAGTTGGCCTGGGATTTGGGATATGACCTGGATATGACATGATATCAATGGATGTGATGCAATTCTTTGTCAGAAGGGCGAGAAGATGTTGCACCACACGGCCATCAAGTGCAGATGCACCGAGTTCACCAAACATAACCGAGCATCAACCCGAGTATTAAGTGCGTCAAACCTGAAAGATTTAAGCTGAACGAGGCTGCACAGCTCTGCACAGCAATACCATGCAATACCTTGTACCAGTATGTACCAGTCAATCTCACACGATCTCACACCTTTTTTCCACCCATTGTGATGATGTTTTGCTCTCCAGGGTGTGGACATGGACTCAGGCTTTTGAGCATTCCAGGGTGATGCTCTTCCGCTTCGCAGTGCAGCCCTCAATTCAAACGATGACTGTGGGCAAAGGCTGGCGACGGGGGATGCATCAAACATTAGTTTGGAGTCGAATCAGCACTGTGATGAAGTAATTATTTGATTGATTAGACTTGATTGGTGCAGTAGATGGGGATGTAGATATATATATACATATAAATATAATCAATCATATATAGTTATATAATTTATCATTTTCCCCAATGACAGCAGCATCCTGAAGCATTCTATTTGAGCAGAGATCCTGCAAACGCAGCCTGAAGGCCAACAGGGCATCATCATTGACTATGCTATGCCAAAGATTCTTGGCTTGATTCGCATGGGTTGATCATGGATTACTAACTTGTCCTCATTTGGCCAACTCCAGCCTTGCTGCCTTTAAAAGCTTGACTAACAGCTAAGACCAGTACTTGGCATACTTGTAGGTACATTGTAGGCTTGTAGGATACTCATGCCATGGAGGAATTCATTCATAAGTCGTGTGGACAGTCATGTCAAGTTCTGTTTGCAGAGCCTTCTCGAACCTGGGCGAAAGATGGTAATCCACAGATCGTTGATGATGATTTGATAATCTACAGACAGGACATGACTATTCCTTACAAATCCTTAAAACGTATAATATGCTTCAGCGTACCATGCTGAACAATTTCATCAGAGCTTGAACATTGCATCATGTTGCATCACCCCAGGAACTTCGACCGTATCTTGGAACTACCTGAGAAGGACATGGGCATTGAGATGCGTTGTTTGTGTTCCCACTTTGGATGCAACGTGTTTCATGAGAGCTTGATGATTTCCAAAGACGTCGACGTGAAGAAAGCCAAGAAACAGATCAAGAAATTCATTGAAGAGGCTGGTGGCAAACTCCCAGCTGAACACGGCCATGGCACAGAATATGAAGCACCTATCAGCACACAAGAAAGGTGGAAAAAGATGGACCCGACCAATTCCATGAACCCCGGAGTTGGTCAGAGTTCCTGTTTGAAAGGCTACTCATAGTATCTCAGAATGTCATAGCCCTGCAGGGAATTGCAGGGTATGGCTGCAAGCTAGCCTCTTTCGTGGTATATTTTGCTGTATCACATATTATCACACCAGGTTTCCAGGGACCCACGTGCATGGATCACATTACTTCCTGCATGTTGCAGGGCAGTCCCGTTGTACAAAGAGTTTCAATTCTGTTAATAGAATCAAGACCAGTAACGCATTTGCGGCTGGTCTATCGATGCTCCCCTGCGGGGACGATATGCCAGTCGGCTTCCAGCGTAGCAAAAGGCACCCAGCTGCCCAGCAACTACCACAGATGCCCACTACCCACATACCCAGAAACTGTTTTTGGTCCTGGCGTCATGTCACGCAAGTGCAACACCAACACACCCACACACCCACACCCACACCCACACCCACACCCACACGCACACGCACACGCACACGCACACGCACACACACAATATAAATCACTGCAATGTCCTGGGGGTAAATAAGTATGAAATGGTAATACAGTATGAATTATTAGAACATATTAGAACCATCATGAGCTATCTTCGCGCTTCCAAATGCCATTCAGCTCAAGGCTTCTCAGAAAACCGCCCTAGGCACGCCGTCAGTACTGCCATGGCACGCGTTACCCGAGCTTTGGCCTTGCTGGTGCCTTGGGGAATGAGGTATCAGCCAGGTATCAGGGTATCGGCCCACTGCACCAAAAGAATCCACAAGGTCCGAAACTATTTAAATATTTAACATGTTGAAACATGTTGAAACATAGAAAGTATGAGTCAAGTATGAGCAGAACGCATTACATGCCCGAAGAAACCAGGTGCTTGGCCTGTTTGCTCTGCTGGCTGCACCCAGCTTCACGGCTCTTCGGGCAGAGGAGTCATTGCGTTACACTGTTTGCATCCTTTCATGTCACCACCAAGCACAAGTGCACGAAGAGAGGAACATTTTCATTGAACATGTAGCAGGCGGTCTGACTGAAGACATTGTACATGCAGGCACGGTCGCATGATCTGACATGTAGATCTGCCTGGAAGGCAGCACCTAAGAAGAAGGAGAAGGCACCCTGGGTCGGACCAAAGAGGCTTGGCAGCCTTAAAGAAGGAACCATACTGACGGGACATGACGGGACTATATACGTTTTGATATGTCTATGAATGTCTGGGATGTCGACGAATCACCTGATGCCGTCCCTGCCGCTTAAGTATGCATTCCGTGCCACTTTGGCCCCTACTATTGGATCACCCGCCGTCACGTGCCAACGTCGTTTAGTTTGGCGACCACCTGCAGCCTACGGATGCCTAGGAAGGGATCTTGGGTGAAGATCTTGAGGCCCGAGTCATATTGGTATCAGACTCGTGGACAGGTGGTGTCCCTCGGCCGGGCTAGCGGCTGGGGATCCTGTCTGCGACACTTTGCTCTCCAGGGCAGTGGAGAATCCAACCCTATGGTCACGGTGTTGACATGTGTTGACTTAATCGGTGTAGCATGTTGCAATGTCGGAGGTTTCCAACTTAGATGAGCTCGGGTGAAATGACTACCGAAAGGTCGGCGCGCTATCAATCTCAGGAATGTGAACCAGAAGGCAGAGGTGAAGTACCCAGTCACTGTGAAGTTTGATCGCGTGAACTTTTCGCAGCCTGGACAGCACATAGTTGCCATGTCAATTGAACAGCACAATTGCTAAGTGGAACATCATGGAAAATTATCACATTCAGATCCTTTGTTTCTTTTGATGCTTAATCGTTTGGGATGGCAGTATGCCCATGGGTTTGAAGTTTCAAGCTCTGGTCGTCCAGGAGGATTTCCCGTGTGTACTTTCAAAGATGAAGGGGCTGATTTTCAGTCGAAATAGTAGATTGATTTGCAATGATTTGCACATTTTGTGCGATGTGCGCGAGAAACTCGGCTTCCAGCCAGGCATCAACATTTCAGCTTTGTTTCTGACAATTTTCTGACCTTTTGCAGCCCTTCACTATGCACTGGCATTGGCACTCAGGAACGTGAACACCAATGGATTTGCCCTTTGGGAGGCACATGGTTTGGGATGTTTGGGTTCCACAGCTGGCAATTCTGGCGAATTAAATGACCATAGCCTGAGACGTTCCTGACCATACGTAGCCCGCCACGAGATGCCTGGACATCGGTAATCGCATGAATTGGCAACGTTTGTTTCACGAGGTGACTTTGTGTTGGCATTCACTTCAGCTGCTGAGAGATTTTCCGGTGTTAGATGGGGGGCTAGTTATGTACTGGTAGCATCTCACACATTCTGACACATTCGGACACACTAACAGACACACTAACCTTAAACACGGACAGCGCTGGAGTTTCCACTATCGTGTTTCTCCCAAGCTGGTCCTGGATGGCGAGGTGATTGAAGCTCCAGCCCCTGGACCGGGTGAGGTTTGAACGGTTTGGCTTTCAGCCGAGCCAAAGTTATTCATTTCGAAGGCAGCAATGAAATGTAATGACAATGGAATGACAATGTACTGAAAGTTTATTTTTCAGAACATGCATGGTTGCCCAACTTTCGGAGAGTATCGGCAGTTTTCGCTGTTTGCTTTCGTATCTTTCATTACGCTTCGTGGTTTTTGGCTGCAACTAGTAGTAGCCTAGACGCAAGAAGCCAAGAGAAGCCGTCAGCAGATTCGTTCAGTTTTTGAAGCTGCACTGCAGCGAGCACGAAAAGGTGCCTGGAAAACTTATGTAGCCATGGCTAGGCGGCTAGGGCTGAACATACGCAGTGAAGGGGGGGTGACAAAAAGTTTGCTAGATGCCAGTGTGTCTCCCGTGGCAACCTGGCAACCAATGAATGTTCTTGCAAATCATTGCGATGATACTCATTGTGTTCGTTGTTTGCATTGCTCACCACTTTGTCTCCGACTATACTGAATTTCAAAGATATTCAATGTGTCTAGGGATGTCTGAAGAAGCATTTTGATATAGTCTATATAGTGCTGGTTGGCTGAATTAGCTGAATCACAGCGCTTTGCAGCTTCTCAGCTGTAAGTGAGCTGCAATAGCACAGTGAAAGTCAGCCTCCATCGAAAGCTGACCAGCTTCACCCCCAGCCAAAGGAAGCCAGCAGACAAGCAGTTCTTTTTAAAGCAGAATTCAACTTATATAAGTTGGCAAACATGGGAAGAACATGGAAGAACAGCTTTTTGACAAACACCTTTTGCATCCTTTTGCAACAACTAGGACATGCGTGCTGAATTGAATCTAGTGGTGGCTACGACCAAAGTCTCCAATAAACTTCAGCCAAGATAACCACCACCAGCAACATCCTCGTGGAACAGCTCTACAGATTTTTAGAGGGCCCCCTTCGAATCATTTTGAGCCCTGCCATGGACGAGGGACAAGGACCGCAACATGGTGTCTACGTGGGTAAAGCCAAGGATGTCACCTGTCCTGGGGATCATGAAGCTTGGCAGCATTTGGCGGCAGTGCTGTTGCTGTGTTATGAAATAAGATCCAGATTGATCCAAATTCAAGAGCAACATAGAGCAGCCAACTGCAACCAATGAAGTTTCGTTGTTTTCATTTCAGCGTTGCACGGCAAGTTGATGCCAAGATGTTTCAAGAGGCTTCCATGAACATCCCCGGTGTTGCTTTTTATCAGTGAAAAGTATTGAAAAGTGGTAAAGGTGAGGCCATTCTTCACTGCTGCGGAGGGTCCGCGATGGGAATCCCAGGTGACTTACGAGTTCGTAATCTACAACGCACACAGGCACATGACATTGGCTAAGAGCTTTATTGCCATGTGTGGTTGTAACATGTTGTAACAACCAACATGAGCTCCACACTAGTAGCTGAAATTCAAATGATCATGTAACGCGTGCCAATCTCCAAACCCACCTGGAGCCAATAAGACTGGCACGAGGATTTCAGAAGCCTGGCATTTGAAGAATGAAATGGTTGGTCTCCGTGCATTGGAGACCCGTACCTCTGTGAAAGGTGCAGCTTGGAGTGCGTACCAGAGAAGAATTACTTTCATGGAGGGCAACCACCTTGGAAATGCGAGGGCAATTACGAGGCCAGGCACATTGTCAAATTGTGAAATTGTGCAGGCGCTTGTCAAGAAATCGACAGGAATCCACCAGGCCCAAGTCAAACCAGGAGGACAAACCCCTGTTGTGGACCCCAGGTGGACGAAGAAACTGTTGTCATGGAAGTCACGAAGCAGGACATCACTGGCCCTCGCCGTGATACGGATGTCACTGGCTCAGAATCTTTCCTTGGCGTTTCAGATAGGATGAACAGGGAAGAGTGGGTCCCCAACTAGATTCAGCGAAAAAAGATGAAAAAAGTAGAAAAAGGAAACCCTCCCGGCATGGAGTGTCCCAGATGCGAGGAACATGGTACCGTGTATTACCGTATTGTTTGATATTGTTTGGTAGCTCCAACGAGGTGAAATTGGAGACTGGCAAGGACAAAGAGCTGTTCTACCGCAAGACACGCCTTGCTTGGGCCACTTGACGGATGAGGTCGGAGTGAGGCTTTTTCCTTTTAGCAGAGGGGGTAGCATGAGGCATTACTACGGCATGACTCACACCACTATAATCCGGTTGGTTGTTTGAAGTAATTATGATTTGACAAATAGTGAACATGAACTGCACATACTGTAAATAGCGGGTGGAAGAGCGAGACATATATGTCTCGCTCTTCCACCCGCGCTGTGCATGGGATGATAAATTAGGAATTGGGTTGAGCCATCAACTGAGCCATCAACAACCTCCGAAGTCCTCTTCCGAAAATATTGTTTGCTATGTTGTGCTCTTCAGGATGGGGTGATAGCCAGACCTGCCTGATTTGATGGACAGCTATAGTGGGAGGTGTTTTCTTTTGCCAAGTTGAAGCTCAAGCGCCAAGGGTGACAACGCAGTCAGCTTGATGAAGTCCAAATAGACATGAGTCACATGAGTGTCACAAAGCCGATGGATGCTGATGTATTTGCTGTTTTTAGTCGCAATGTGTCATCATTTTTAGGCCCAGCCCTCAGACAAGCTTTTACGCTAAGGTTGGTGCTCCGCCACCTCTTCCTTCACAGGATCCGGTGAAATTGAAGAAAGTCCAACTCCAAAAAGAAGAAGAGGAAGCAGCTCGTCGAAAGCTCGAACTGGAAGCAACCCGTGAGGACTTCCGACAACATATGGGTACCATGAAGATCCATGACGCCACAGTAAGCTAGCCTTCCAAACTCAGAGATTTCTATGATTCCTATGCCTATGCCTTCTGGACGTGCGGGGACATGGGCATTTTATAACCCCAAGATTCTTATGGCATGTCTTCCCAGTCATTGGCAAAGTCTAGCTGCCTAGCTCCACCAAATTCGCCCACAGCAAGCTGCATTGCTTCCAACATATGACAGCTTCGTTTGTTTTTCTTTTCCCTGTGGCAATAGCATTAGACAAGTTTCTGTTGGACATTTTTCATCATTTTTCTTCCTCATGTACCTGAATGAATTGATTGCCCCGTTGTAATGTTTTTTCATGCTTTATCCTTCTCCAAACTGCTGCAATTCCTTCCATTTCTCGATATTCATGGATATCTATGATATTGGTTATTGTGCAGTGACAGTGAGAGAAAGCAGCTTGGTTCTAGAAAAGATGCTTGACCGCATGATGCGCCAATGCACCTTGCATTCCACGAAGCAAATGGCTCCGTTTTTTTTTGAGTTGTGCTGCTTATGACCCGTTTTCTCGATTTCTGCCAAACTGGCAAAGTCATGATTCTGAGCAGTTCAGAATGAACGGTGTAATTTGTCTTAATTCATCATGTACTCGTATGTGAGCTGTCTCAGACAATCAGCTCAACAGAAAACTGCTTAGGGGATTCATGCGCAGGAGATGGAAAAGGAGCGTGCAAGACAAGAAGAACAGGCCCAAAAGGAAAAGGCGCTGCAGCAATGGTCTTTGGTACTTTGGGTTTTTGTTCCACCGGAAGCACGGTCAGTGTGATTTACAACCATTGTCGTTATTGCATGTTATTGCTATATTGCCGGTCTGTTCTATTGCGTTGCACGATAACATCATTACAACCTGACATCACATCATTAACATCCATATATCCGGATCACATTTTTGCTCAAAATCATTAGGATCCGCAGACATCCGTTCTTTTGGCTTCACTTGGGGCAGGAAGAGCTTGAGAAGTTGCGGGACGAGCTGCGGCGCCAAAGGCAACTGCAAGAGGACCACGGGTATCCATGGGTGGCGAAGGGTTGCCGGGATCAAAACAGAAACACCAGGGACCCCGGTGGACTGCAATAATAATTTGTTCATGTCTTTTCCAAAATTGTCGAAGCCAAATGATAGAGCACTTTTGGGGGTTTCGAGTTTGGGGCGTCCTTTGTGCAGAAAAAACGCTGGTTTCTGTGGCTTTTCGATCTTTTCGGGAGTTCAGATCATTTCTCCAAGGAGGAGGCGGCCCGACGACGCGAAGAGCTGGAGAAGCAGAAGGATGAGTTGAGGGCTATTGAGGAGGTGGCTGTGGATCTCGGTGTATGGGTGCCCTGGGTGCCCAATTTGACTTGGGAAACCAAAAAGATTGTGGCGGGTAAACCATGATCGAAGATGCCATTCTGGTTTAGGGCATCCCATGATTTTGTGACGCGGTGATGGAACCCAAAGCACGAATGAAGCTATCCGAGGCGGTGTGATTGGGCATAGAGATCATAGAGATCATGCTGGACTGCACAATCCTTGTGCGCTCGGACCAGGAGAAAGCACTTTTAGCGAAACAGCGCCAAGAAGAGTTGGAAAGCCAAGAGGCACAAGAACGTGAGGCCAAGCAAGTACAAGAGGACGCAATTTAAAGCCGACTTTACATTGACTTTACTATACTTTACTACCCCTACCAGCAGCGTATTTTTACCGCTGGATTTGCCAGCTGCAATCCTTTCACTCTTTCCAGGAGCTCCAAAAGCAGAGAGAGGCTCTCAAAGCACTAGAGCGGGAGAGGGAGGAGACTGAGTGGGGGAGCCACTCTGCTTGGGGACACAGGCAAATACAGTCCGAACAGGAGGGAAATGATATTGTGCCACTTAGGAATGAGATTGGCTTGGCTTTTAACCGCTCAAGCTCTAAGGTGCTGAATGGAGGGGGCCCTTAAGCTTTTTGGGATAATAGCTTCAGGTGTCCAATCGAACTGGTGGGGGATCGGCTGTCCAAGCCACTGCTTCTCGAGTGGACTTCCATCTCTACTTGCTGCCTTCTGCCTTGGACTCTTCACTGGACTTTTCTTTGCTGCGATCCTCGGCCTTTGGATTTGTGGCCTGCTTCCCACCCGTTCTGTCCGGGACATCCCCCTCGAGGGTTCTGACAGCTCCCTTGATCGACTGCGAGGCTATTTGCATGAGCCAGCAGTCACGGCCATCCAACGACGACGACGAAGACCTTAGTCTGGCCTTGGAGTTCCAGGGACTGCAGATTTCAGTGCGAGGGCCGCTTTGGAGAGCTTTGGAATTTGTTGAGAGGCTGTCGGAGAGGAGCTCGGGAAGGGCCTCATCAGTCACTGGCACTGAGAGTTCCGCACGACCCCAAGCTGCTGGCACCCCGAGCGCATCGAGATTCGCGACTCCATCGAGGCGTCTTTCCCTGATTGCCCAAGTCATCTTCTGCTTTTGGCTTCTTCTTTGTCTCCCACTACGTCAGGGTGGACCCCAGCTGGACGAGTGCGCAGAGCGTGGCGTGCAGGCAATTGGGCAGGAGCAACAAAGGCAGGCAGAGTTCAGAGTCCAAACAGGACTCCAACGATTGAGCTGGGCAACAGATACTACGTGGCCATTCGAGGTCCTGGACTTGAATCCTCACCACGTGGTCTTGAATCTTTTTGCAGCAGTGGGCACACTTGAGGGCAGTGACACCATCTGTCACGGCTTCCCGCAGGCTGAGGCCCAGACTTGCAGGAGCGGGAGAGGGGTCAGTCACTTTCTCTTGATCATGGAAGGTGCTATGGAGCTGATGGCACTGCATGCCGAGTTTGGGCCCGCTGGCTTTCAAGTCTTCCTTTTGGACACAGCAGGCGCCCAGTTAGCAGTAGATGGTGTGGGGAAGGCCATGGCTTTTGTCGTGATGACTCGCAGAGATGGCCTTCTTGTTGCAGTTCCCGAATTAGCCTTGGAAGACGAAGTTCTCACCAGGGGCACGCATGCCAATGCCCAAGACATGATGGGGCCTTCAACCAGAATAGACGTGGATGCTGGAGTCTTAGACGAAGATGCTTTGCTCCAGGAGCCATCAATAGTTCCCGACAAGCTGGTTGCCTGCGTCTTGGTGGACTTTTCATCAGAGGTAGTCAGATTCATGACTGCAGTGGCGGGAAAGGACGATTTGGAGGGGGTGCACACTTTTTCTTTAGAAGATCCTTGGCTTGTTCCTCTTCCAGATTCTCTGGTGGCAGCTGCTATGTTGTGGGCAGGAGGGGCCGCAGAGACTTCAGACAGATTGCAGTTCTACTCAGCAGACGAAGTGCCAGAGACGCCAAGTGCGTCAAAGCAGGCGCAGGGCCACTCCCGGTTCTGGGGGGCCCAGAGGATCTTCCGCCGCCGCGCCCAAGAAGCGCATCACAGGCTTCACTGGCAGAGAGTCTGGATGCGATCTCAGATGCGCTGCCAGCGATCACCCAGCAACTATCAGGCCTCTCTATGAGGACTGCAGCAATCGAAGCTGGTGTGGCGGAGCCTCCAAGCCGTGCATCAGCATTGAGAAAGCCACTTGGAGGATCAACTACAGCTGGCTTGTCGAGTGCCTTGAACTTGGGGGGCCTGGTCAAAGCTATGCCACCGCCAAAGACTCAGATCAAGCAGCCCGGCAAAGTCACCTTCACACAGGACGAGGCGGAGGAGATGGAAGCCGAGCTGCCAGAAGTGGCACCCGATCTTGCGAGAGCGGTGCTGGAGCAATCTCGTGCGCTGACAGCGCTTGTGAACCAGATTGCCACAAGTTCATCAGATCCTCTACAAGACTTGGGTTCAGGCCCTTCTGCACTCTCCAGCAAAGGGGCAGCAGGGCGTGCAAGACTGCAGGCCGAACTGGCTCAGCACAAGGGAGTTTTCTTTCAGAGTGTTTTGCAGTCTATGGCCAGGAGGATGCAGCCGGCACAAACAGCAGATGTAGAGATGAGTGCCCTACGAGACCGGGGTGTGACCCCGACCCAGTATCTGGAGAGATTTGGTGGGTACGGCCGCACGAGGGACCTGGGCTTCATCAATTGGCAGGTTGCGCTTTGCCTGAACCACATGCAAGAGGAGAACTTCCAAGCGGCGAAGGACGCTCTGGCGTTGCTCTTTGTTTGCCTGGAGCAGACAGCGATGGACGGCGGAAAGATGGAGGTGGGCCTGCTTTTGGCGTTGGTGGAGGATCCGCCCCAGTCACTGTTCAGTGGCCGATCCCAAGCTCTGGCGGTGAACCCTCGCCCCTTCGCCCCGACGGCGAACCAACGTTGGGTCACCACTGCCTTGCAGTACCTAAAGGAGATGGATGTGATCATCACGAGACGGGCAGAAGTGACGTCTTCCAAGAGCAGCCCGTCAGATGCGCAGGGCTCCAATGCACCAACGAGCACCCCTTCAAGCAAAAAGAAGGGAAAAGGCAAGGGCCCAAAAGCAAAGGCAGCAGCCCAGGCTGCAGTAGAGGAGGAGGTGTAGAAAAGACTGATGAGGATAGGCTCCACGAGACTGTCAGTTTTCAGACTTTTTTGGCTAGCCTTCCACGCCTTGTGCTTCGTTCCGGAACGCAGTTCTCAACTTTTTTGGCCAAGACTTTTCACACCGTCAGACATGGAGTTTGCCCATCCTCCGCAGTTTTCCCCTTGCCAACTCCTTGGATTGGCATCTTTGAGAAGCAGGGGACCCCCAAGCTGAATCGCAAGAAATGGAAGCAGCTATGCTTCAAGCGCTGCCTCCACATATGTGTCATGGCTCTGAACTATGTCCACAACAACTTGCGGCCTGTTCCTTTGGCATTGCTTGGGAGGCGACTGAACTTGGCGCAGCGAGATGTTTATGTTCTAGCTACCCACTTAGTAAAAGAAAACGCCGGTGGGGTTCATTTTTTGGAAAATCTTTTTTTTCAAGGGTTTCCCATCCGGCGGTGCTATCCGCTGCAGTTTTAACACCAGGTTCCGGGCAAGGTCAGGGCCCAAAAGACCAATCATTGGATTCAACTGGCTTCAAAAAGTAAGCAAAACAAACAAAGCCAAAATCAGGCCACAATGTTGATGCTACGGCCAGGCTACGGCATGTCTCAAAAGCGCAACCGATTGTGTAAGCTGTGTATAGGTGCAAAGCTTATTAGCATTTAGCTGCATTTAGCTGCACGAAAAGCCCTACAGATGCCCTAACGTTGCCCTAGCGTCGCCCTAACTTCACACTTGGGCAAACGGGACGGCCGGAGGTATATTAAAAACATAAAAGCTGGTTCACATTTTAGGTTTTGCCACCTTGATCCATCGCAATCTGATCCCGTTGTAGCGGATAGGTGCAAAGCTTTTTCAATTAGCTTCAAAATGGTTGATTTAAGCTTCCAAATCGTCGATTTTAGCTTCAAAATCGTCGATTCTAGCTTCACACGGTGCTAGGGCGACGTTAGGGCGACATTAGGGCGTCTGTAGGGCCTTTCCTGCAGCTAAATGCCGCATCACATGATGTGGCAATCCTCCAGGGGCCAACAACAGGGCACAACCGACCAGATTGTTTTTTCTTGTACCCAGCTTGTACTTTATTCTTTCCAGAGGCTATTCCTTTTCATTCCTGTTCATTTTTCTTTTTTGTTTTGGGACTTACAAACCTTAAGCACAATGAAATGCATAGAAGATTTCTTTCGCATTCCTATGCGTTTCATTGCTTTTAAGGTCTGTGAGTCCCAAGACATGATGGAAAAATGAAAAGGAATGAAAAGGAATAGCCTCTGGAAAGAATAAAGTACAAGCTGGGTATAAGAAAAAACAATCTGGTCGGTTGTGCCCTGTTGTTGGCCCCTGGAGGATTGCCACATCATGTGATGCGGCATTTAGCTGCAGGAAAGGCCCTACAGACGCCCTAATGTCACCCTAACGTCGCCCTAACGTCGCCCTAGCACCGTGTGAAGCTAGAATCGACGATTTTGAAGCTAAAATCGACGATTTGGAAGCTTAAATCAACCATTTTGAAGCTAATTGAAAAAGCTTTGCACCTATCCGCTACAACGGGATCAGATTGCGATGGATCAAGGTGGCAAAACCTAAAATGTGAACCAGCTTTTATGTTTTTAATATACCTCCGGCCGTCCCGTTTGCCCAAGTGTTGAGACACGGTACGCAACATGAAGTGGGAATATTGATATATGGATGGCCCCAAAGGTGCTTATTACCCACCGCAGTGCCAGGTTGAAGCCTGAGGAAGCTTTCCAGTCCCAGGTAAAACACTGCCCTGACCATGCGGCTGTGCACCCTATAAAATGGCGCGATGCACTGTTTAGGCTTGTTTAGGCATTCTTGGTCTCCAAAGCCAGGATCAGGATTGGACAGGAGTAGGCAACCCCACCTTAAAAAGGAAAATGGAAAGGTCCCCCCCCACATACCCTAAGGGGTCCCTAGTTTATGTTCGTTTGAGGTCGCTTTTGACTGCGTGTGATCAACCTGGAGAGCATCCACTACCCCCGGGAAGATCTGGTTTTGAATTCATAGCAAGATTGGTTGAGCTTGAGCGTTTTGCCAGCTCAGAAGTTGCCTTCAACCCTGACCATTACTCAGGGGCATCTGAGACTTCACCTTTGCCCTTGCGAAAGTTTGGTGTGATATCTGAGGAGCACAAGTTCCAGGTTGTGGAGAAGTTTTCACCCACCAATCCATATCGCTCCTTAGATGCTAGTCGTTTGAAGATCACAGGGTCAGGCAACTGGGATATGCAAGAGTTTTTGGAAGACACACTTTGGCTTCCTTTCCAAGACCCGGCCATTTTGGCCACGCATGAACCAGTCTCTTGGGCTGGTCCTGACATCAAGCGGGAGAAAAAGCAGGAGTACCTGAAGCTTGCAAAGATTTGGGATAGCCGTGGACTTTTGGCTGCTTTCCCTGAGAACAGCTCATTTGGGCTTCCCTGCAGGGTCTTCAATGCCCACAAGAATGAGATCAATGACAGGCAGATTGGTGACAGACGCTGGGTTAATGGAGCTGACTATCATCCCCGAGGGCCTTCAGCCTATCTTCCTTCGGGCATCAATGTGACATCACTGCATTGCCCTAGGGGCATGAAGCTTGTTGGTTGTGCAAGTGACCGGAAGGACTTCTACCACCAGGCAAGGGTCACTCGTGAGCGGGCAGTTTCCAACATAGTCCCGTTTTCTTTTGCAGCTGATGAGGCCAAGGAGATGAAACCGTGGGCCGACATGATTGGCGTAGTCAGTGCACCGACCTCTAGAGAGAGGCATGGAGACCGCCTTGGCCTACCTCCACGCTGCATCCTGGCCGAAAAAGGCATATCTGCAGTGCGTTTTGGTTTCAAGAGCCTTTTTGAGGGAGATCATTTGGGCGTCGAGTATGCCTTGTCAAGCCACACTGAACTTTTGAAACGATGGGGCCTGTTGGATGAGACCACCACGATCTACCGACACCATGTTTTTCCCAGGCCTCCTCTTTGGCAAGGTTTAGTGATAGATGATTTCTTCAGCGTCTCCACTGAGCTCAGCGCTGTGCCGAATCACCTTGCAAAGTCAGTTGGCCTCCTTGAGCAAGCTGAGAAAGCTTACAAGCATGAGGCCATCATTGGTTCTGATGAAAAGACAGTGCGTGGTGAAGAGAACTTCAAGATCATTGGAGCTGAGGTTCTTTCGTGCAAGAGGCTGCGTGATGCTGGAATAGTCTCTGTCGCTGCACCTCTTTCCAAGAGGATACCTATGAGTATGTTGTCCCTTGCCATTGCGGAGCTGCCCTGCGTTTCTAGAAGCCTTGCGTCTAGAGCTGCTGGAAACTGGATTGAGGAGGGCAGGGAAGTTGTTGGGCTTGATAGGAGAACTGCAGAGGAGCTCGTTTTGGCTGCTGTTTTTGGACTTTTTGCAGCCACTGATGTTTCAGTGCCCTACTGCTCTGAAGTTTTTGCCGCGGACTCCTCGAATGCAAAAGGGGCTTTCACAGAGAAGACTGTTGATCAGCCTCTTGCTGAAACCATTTGGCTGGGTGGCGACAAGAAGGGCACTTACACGATGCTCGACCCTCCTACGAGGGCAATCCTCAGAGGCCTTGGAGAAGACACAGACCATGAAGCAGTGCCGATGGATTTTGGTGACCCTCCGAAGGTTTTGGACTTTGCTTTTGACTTTGTTGAGATTTGCGGTGGGTCCGGCACACTCTCCAAGGCGGTTGCAGCACGAGGTCTTAGAGTATGTGCCCCAATTGATCTGGCCTCAAGTCCCCACCATGACATGGAGAGCCCAAAACTTCTCAATTGGATTTTCCAGATGATCAGCGAGAAGAGATTTAGAAGCCTGGCTTGCGAGCCACCGTGCACCACATTCTCCCCTGCGCAGCACCCAGCCTCACGTTCATATCAGCAACCATTGGGGTTTGACAGAACTGAGAGGAAGACCTACATTGGCAACCTCCTGGCCTTTAGGTGCTTTGCAATTTTGTGGTTTGCGTGGAGATTCTCAGCTCCTTCTTTGCTTGAGACCCCTCACCTCTCAAAGATGGCATGGTTGAGCTTTTGGGCTTTTCTGATGAGCATTGGATTTGAGGAGGCGATCATCGACAGCTGCAGGTTTGGGAGCATCCATAGAAAGCCCTTTCGACTTTTGGGACATGGCTTAGACATGAAGGCCATGAATGTTCGCTGCCAAGGAGGGCACAGTCACGTGCGTATCCAGGGGAAGTACACGAAGGCAAGTGCAATTTACCACCCTGAGCTTGCCGACTTCCTTGCCTCCCACTTTGTGGCAGCCTTGGACGCGCTCTCAGCCATTGACGATGATGATGGCCACCCAACATGCCTTGAAAGTGTTGTCCTCAATGATGTGCTCAACCAGGGAGGTTGGACAGTTGGAGCTTCCTGGGAGTGGAACAAGCCAGCACACATCAATGTGCTTGAGAGCAGGTCCTATGAGCTGCTCTTGAAGGAGCTTGTCTTCAGAGGAGGTGATTGCAGGTTCACAGCGCTACTTGACTCCAGAGTTGCAAAGGGAGCCCATGCAAAAGGGAGGTCATCAGCTTTGGCCTTACGACCTTCCTTGCTCAAGTCATGTGCCTTGACAGTCGCTGGGAACCTACATCCCTCTCTTGGATTTGCACCTACGAGGCTGAACACCTCTGATGCCCCAACTAGAGACAGAGACCTGCCTACTCCTGCTGTCCACTCGGTCTTGGATTTTCTCTCTGATGATGAGGTCGCTGCTCTCCATTCTCGTCAGTTCTCGAGAGCTTCTGCTGGTTGGATTCGGCTCTATCTATTAGCAGTCACCATGCTCTCCCCTGTCGAAGCCTTTGGATTTGAAGCTTCCTCTTTCTGCTCTCCACTTTTTCCCGATGGATTTTGGACTTTCCTCTCCGCTGTCTCTGACTTTGGATTTGGATTTACTGTCCTGAGCCTCCTCTCCCTCACCATCGTCTGGACTTTTGTCGGTTGTGGCACCTGGAGCTGTAATGTAGCCCCAAAAACTAACAGGGTTAACCCACTCCTTTTAGTTGCCCTTTTCGTGCTTCTCTTGCTGTGTGAAGCCATGCCTTTGCAACCTGCTGGAAGAGATGATGCCTCACGTGCTGAGAGGCGAGCCGGAGTGCAACTGCAAGCCGACAGGGTGCTTCTTCAGAGCACTAGAAACAGACGTGAAGTTTTGCTAGGGGCCTTTGATGCATGGCTAGCAGAAAATCTGCGCACAAATTTGCATGAGCTGCTTGACGCTAGAACCCTCGATGCCGAGTTTGTTTCAGAAGCTCTCGTCTCCTATGGCAAGGAGATGTACAACGCTGGCAGGAGCTACGGGAAGTTTTCTGAAACAATTAATGCTGTGGCAGGCCGACGTCCTGCGTTGCGCAGGCATTTGGCGTCGGCGTGGGACCTGGCTTTCAATTGGGTTGTTGATGAGCCGCACCAGCACCATGCGGCGTTACCCCAGTCCATTTTGATTGCAGCAGTTAGCCTTGCACTGTTGTGGGGTTGGTCCCGCGAAGCAGCAACATTAGCTCTGGCTTGGACAGGGCTTCTACGTATTGGTGAAGCTTTCGCTGCTAAGCGTGCAGATCTGATACTACCGCGTGATGCTGCTCCAGGGATACAACATGCTTTGCTGAAAATCAGGCTTCCCAAAACTAGAGGAAGAGCTGCCAGACATCAGTCTGCACGAATTGATCCGTGTGACATCGTGAGCCTTTTGACTGCTGTTTTTGGCCGCTTGGCCCCTTCTGATGCACTGTGGAATCATTCACCTCAGGCTTTGAGGAAGAGGTTCACCACACTTCAACTTGCACTTGGCCTTGGCGCTGGACCCAACAATGAGGTGCCATATACTCTTGGGAGCCTTCGCCCAGGAGGAGCCACATACTGGTTGAGTGTTACGGAAGATTCTGAATACGTGCGAAGGAAGGGTCGATGGGTTTCATCGAAGGTGCTGGAAATATATCTGCAAGAGACAGCTGTTGCAACTTTTACTTCAAGAATGACAGACAACAGCTTGAGCCGCGTCAATGATCTCTGCAGGGCATTCCCAGACATCCTAGAGAAAGTCATCTTCTTCAAAAGGAGCTGCATTCCAGAGAGCGTTTGGCCTAGGCTTTGGTGATGCTGGGTACAGTGGGAGATTGGCCAAAGAAGTTTCAGCTAAACAGAGCTGAACAGTTTCACAGAGCAACACCCCGCAGGTGTGAAACAGTGCCATTGAGTTCCTGTGCCACTTAGGAATGAGATTGGCTTGGCTTTTAACCGCTCAAGCTCCCCACCCATGGGAGCCCACCCTTTTTGCACACTACCTAGTGCCATTGAGTTCCTGAATATTATTGAACCATATTTAACCGATTTAACCATATTTATATAAGCTTCGTTTCATTGACCGCATAATAAGTTAGATGGACGGCTGCAAACACGGGAGAGATCCTGAGATCCTCATGTTTGGACATCAGGAGCTGAATGAGAAAGAAGCGAAGCAAAAACAACAGCTGCAGGAGGACTGCACCAACTGCACCATACTGTTCCAAATTTATCCAAACCGTGCTCCGTTTTCTCCCCCCATGCGCCTGGATGTGCTGGCACAAGGAGCGAAAACAAGAGGCTGCACGCTTGGCTGCTGAGGTGGGGTCATGGTCCAAGATGGTCCAAGACGTTCCAAAGCTCCGTTGCACGACTGTGGTTAGGAGGGAGCTGTTAGGAGCTATGCAATAGCAATCTATATAAGTATTAATGGTGAGCCAATTAGCTACGAAGAGTTTCCCACGCAAATGATAGTCTATTGTTGGTTCATCCATTTTATGCATTTTTACCCATCTAGTGACAATTGTGTTTGGCTAAATGATTGTATTGGGCAATATTTGAACATGTAGTAACATATTTATCAGTTTGTGATGTTTGAAGATCCATCGCCATCATCTTACCACCTGGTTGAGAGGCTGATGCTCAGAGAGAGGAGATTGAACGGCGAAGACAAGAGCTGCAAAACCTGGAGGTTTCTTTGGGTGTCTGGTGGTATCCTGAAGATGATGAAGCTTGCACCACTTGGATCTGTCAATAGTGATGACGAACAGGTTTAATACCAAGTACTTAAGTTATTGGTGAAGGTGCTCACATTTGTTCTCAAACGCTGCATTCTCGGACATTGATATCATCAAACGGTCAAACGAAAACAACAACTTGTTTTTTTGGTCCCTAGTCAGTGGCCGCATTGTATTATTCTGGCAAGTGTAGAAAATTAGAAACCTGCTGCACGTGACAAAAACTTTTGCGCCAGCTGTGACGAAAATGACGTCCAAGTTGTCAAGTGTTTCTCTCAAGGGAGGTGTTTGTCATTTGTCTTCTTGGTAGCTGTCGCCCAGCCGATCCTTTATTTATCTTTCTATATGAATTATATATTTTTATATTTATTCTATTTTGTAAATGGACCCCTTTCATCCCTTTCAACCTCCCAAGAGGACCCCTCGACACATTGTGGCGACTGGGCCGGACCATCCCCAGCTGTAGGCTGCCAGAGATGACATCTTGGCACGGAAGATGGAGGAGGTTGGTGCTGGAAGCTGCTGGGAGTTGTCCCGTGTTCCTATGCTGGGTAACTAGAATCATCTAGAATCGCAGTTGGGTTATGTTGGGTTCGCAGTTGGGTTCACAAGTCAGGTGGACGCTCTTGAAGTCTTTCTATGTCTTTCTTATGTGTTGGAGATGTTGAGAATGTGTTGATCATATGTATATGTTGATAATGCATGTCTTAGAAATGTGTTTGCATGTCATTGTGGGCTTATCGGCTTTTAGTCTCCAGTACGGGCACCTTCGGGGCCCCGGCCGACCTTCACCACCATGGCATGGCTCGCCGTTTGGTGCTCCGGGCTCGCCCTGCTCACCACGGCCCAGGCGGCCACAGATGGAGGGATTTTGGATGAGATGCTGGGTGCGGCTCCCGTGGCCACTGTTGCCCCTGTGGCAACTGTGGCACCCGTGGCGCCGGTGCATCCCACACCGAAAGTCATCGTTTCAGTCAACAAGCCACAATGTGCGGCGGATTTGACTGGGGTGCTGTATGATGCTTGCCAAATGGCTCAATATGTTACATATAGTACGGCTGATTGCAGCCAGCCAGGGCAAGTCTCAACGGCTTGTGCAGATGACATTGCGTCCTTTATCCGCCGAACCGCAGAAATGTCTGGATACCTTTCGGATTCAGTGTTCACTTGTGGAAACTTGTCCAGCATAGAGCTGGTTTCTTTATGTTTTGAACTTTGCTCTTCCACCACGAAGTTAAGTAGTAATTATTTAAGTAGTCAAGCCCATGAAACAGAAGTAGCCCATCCAAAGTCCATCCAATATATCCATCCCTACCCTCTTAAAGATGAAATTTGAGGGGGGGGAGTCGTACTGAAATTTCACTTTAAAATTCAATTTTTGCAATCATGTTTTCTCAATGATCAATATTCCTCGTCATTCCATGTCATTGGCATGCAGATTAAAATTAAGTACTATCAGACTGAAGCAGCACATGCGTAGAGGTGGCATCCCTCCAAAAATTGCGCTGCCGTCATCATACTTGCGCTTAGCTCCTCCGGAACTAAGCGCCATTATTTTCTAACCAGTGCTCAAGGCTTGTTAAGAAATGTTACTTTAAACTTTAAAAATCCATTTGAGGGGTTGGATCACTATCCCAGGGCTTCCAAGCAAAAAAGTGGAATTTGACAGGTTGGTTTTGTCCCCCCGCCCTCCCCCTCTATAGGGGTAGGGATATATATCCCATATTCATATTCCTGAATCCTTCATTTTTCCCTGATCAGCCAGGAAATGTGGATGGTTCGTGTCCGCAAACCATCTCAAATGCAATTGCCAAGACTGCCGAAGCAACTCATTACATCGCGCTGATGGAGCTCACTTGCTTCGACCGCCTGCAGTGTACCTTCATCGTCTTCCAGTTCCTGTCCGCAGGCATCAAGGCAGCCAAGAACATCGATACAGCAGTGTTCCGATGTGACATGGCCGATGGAGATGGCGATGACGGCGATGACGGCGATGATGGCGATGATGGCGGCGATGATGGTGGAGACGATGGTGGAGACGATGGTGATGGTGGTGACGGAGGCGATGCAGGCGATGGAGGTGCTTCAGACCAGGCACCTCCAGCTCTGACGCCCGAACAGGTTGCGGCTCTTTACCCAAATGGGACACCAAAACCAAGTCGACGTTTGGAGGCGGCCTTGCGGGGCGGCCCTGCACCCAAGACAGGCCGCATTAGCTTTTCTCGCTCTGTCCTTCCTCCAAGCGTGCGTGGTTTGGAATGATTTCATGCAAGATGCATCTGGTGCACAACTAGGGGCACAAAGAATCCCTTGAACCACTGCCACTCACTCTTGATGTGAGGCTTCTTGGAAGAAAAGTACAACTGAGATGGGGGGTGCCACGCTTGATATGCTAGAGACATCTAGAGACATGTTGAAGATGCGCATCTGACCCAAACTCCCCAGTCGACAATTTCAGCCACAGGAGCGTCGCTTCACATCGGAGCTACAGAAGTGGGCCGAGCAGCAGCAAGAGGCGAATGCGGCAACTGACCAAGCTGACAGCTGATTGGGATGATGAATATGTTGATGAATACCGGATTCCGTCCGAATCAGACACCTTTTCTTAGGGAATGGTTAAATAGTTGGACCATGCTGGATCAGAAAGTGGGAAACATCAACTACTAAAGATGAAAAGAGCATGGAAGATATTGGAAGATCAAGAAATAATATGGACATATTATGACATATTAACATATCTGACACATCAGGTTTCCAAAGAAAATCAACAAATTTGGATAGCATCACCCAGATTGCCAGGAGCTCCGCAAGCATCGAGAAGAGCTTCACGCGCTGGAGGTGGGGGAACTCCCTTTGTAAATCTGGCTTAAGGTTTTAAAGGTTCAACATAAAAATCTAAATTGTCAAATAGTCTATAGGTACATAATACAGCAATCTCATGATCTATCAATATCTATCATGTATATATGGTATAGCCATATATAGCCTATCATTATTTCTCATTGATATATATATATAGCATGATATAGCTATCATATGCTATCAGAGAAGTTCAAAAGTTCAATGTGTAGTCCATCCAACTGAGGCAGAGCGAGAGGAGATGCTGAAGAAAAAGTTGGAAGAGCAACAGAAGCTACGGGAGGTGTCCACGATTACCATGCCGCCCTGCCGGGGAAGGTCGTAGAAGCTCTGTTTTAAGAGTGAAGTCCTTTTCTGGTTCCGTTCAGTTCTTGGATTCTTGGAACATCAGGGGTGTGCTGTTTGCAAAATAAGTAGTCATACGTGTAAGCCCCATAGAGGAGTAGATCTTGCAACAATATGCTCTGCGCATAGCATCTCCACGGGTGTGACATGAGAGATAATTGAGACTTCATAGCGTTCTGAATTTGACTTCAATTAGAGCATCCTTTTTTATCCTCAAACTAATGTGGGAAACCGGTAGTAAACCTAAGTACTGATTGGGGATGGTTTAGCATAATGGGGATGGTTTTTAATCGTATTTGGCTTTAGTTTAGCACATGACAAACATAACCTAAGCATGGTTGATAAACCATTGTTTCTATTCTATATAGAATTAAACCATCCCTTTGATGGATATGTAATATGTATTGGTCTATTGATTGGCAAGACTACCATTGTTTCAAGTCTCCATTATTGATACGTTATAATTTATATCAATGGCCATTTCAGGTACCTAAACTGGTTGTACATTACTGTACCATGTAAAGCCTGGTGGTATATCCCCTTACGTAGCCCTTACATATGCCTTCTACATGGTAGCTACCTCCAATTTAGGTACCTGAAATGGCCACTGACTTATGAAGATGATGAAGCTAGCCATTGGTAATAAGTTATAAGTTATACATAGTTATACCATACCATTCATGAACCATCTTATACATTACTTACATTTACTTACCATATCTTATGATATCTTTTGTTTTTCTCATCATCCTTAACCGTTTGTTGGGCACTGAACACCCGGCTTGGCGCAGGTCCAAGACCAAGAAGCCCAGGAAGCGCAGCGCTTGCGCGCGCAGCGCTTGCGCGAGCAGCGCAGCCGCGAGGCCATGGAGCAGGAGGCGGAGATCCAACGAAAACGCCGGGAGCGCGTGCTGGGAGTTTGGGGTTGGGATGGTCGACTTGGAATTATAGTTGGATTATCATAGTTATAATTGATAGTACCACTATAGTTGGATTATAGTTGACTATAATGATAATCCAACTATAATCCAACTATACCATCTGGTTATGACTAACAGTTCGCCATGGAAAGATCCACCATGCTATTAATAGGTAAACCATCTATTTCTATGGGCCATTTTCCATGGCTACGTTAAATAACCAGATGGTATAGTTGGATTATAGTTGGATTATCATTATAGTTATAATAATGATAGATATAGTTGGATTATAGTGGGATGATCATGGAGTTCCATAACTACTGTGGATGGAAGAAATCCTGCATCAGTTAATAGATGGTTTATCCCATTATTTACATGTATTTACAGGGTTTCAACCATCCAAGGTGATGCAGGATTTCTTCCATCCACAATCCACAGTATCATTATTATAACTATATAAATTATAATATAATTGTAATTTGGGCTGGGATGATCATTATTTGTAACCATCATTATTGTCCATAATCCTATCTATATATATTACCATTATAATTATGGATTATAAATGATTTTATAATATATAAAACTATCCGGACTATCTATAATGATCTATGATTGTAACTATCTATAAGTAACAGTTTATATATCTCTGATCATGGATTATCATCTATATAATATATGATCATGACTATCATCAGCTATGATTGGATAGGCCTATAGTGACAAGCCATGATTGGGATGATCATGAGATTTTGACTATCATTGATGTTGGAGAAATCCATGATAATCCCAACAATAATAGATCCATGGAATGCAATGGAGAATTCGTGGGATTATCTATCATGATCATTCATTATCCATCATTCCACGATTCGATGATCTATGATTATCTGGGATTGCTGTTGGATAATAGTTGGAATAAAATGATGTGGGCACAAACGGGCTCAAGTCTGAATGGGGGCAAGCGACAGCGAACCAAGATGCCGGACGAGTAGTAATTCAAGCTGTCACAGCGTAGCTTCTGTAGATGAACAACATTAATATAGGCATATGACATATACTGAAAATTGCCCATGATGTCTACATACTTGTCTACCCGTGCCTGTCTATCTATCTATCTATCCATCCATCCATCCACCCATCCACCCATCCACCCACCTACCTACCTACCTACCTACCTACCTACCAGCAAGTGAGATTATTAGATAACAACCAACTGGTAAATAACCGGCAAATAACTGGCAAATATGGCCTATCCCACACAGCAGAGACGTTGATGGCTGCATTCCTTCAGCCCAAGGGTTGCAGACTCAGGTCATGCGCTGCAGGAGCTGGAAATGGAGCGGGAAGTTGCCATGAGGCTGGCATTCTAATCCCCACTGGCCATGTATCTCATTTGTTGAAGGATTACATAGGATTACACAGCGCATAGATGTGAAATGATGTGAAAGACTGAAAGACGTTGGTAAACGATTGAGTAAAGTTAAGCCCTGGTGGCCTTATCAGATTGTATATTGATGGGCCTATGGCCATGGCCGACTTTCAGGGCAAAGGAGGAGGAAGAGAAGCGCATTGAAGAGGAGAAGGCAGGCTATGCCCGCCTATGCATGAGGGGTTTACACGGTCTCATGACAAGTCTGACAAGTCATGAGTTGTTCGAAGAGGATGAGGCATGCTTGCCTCTTCAGAACCTGTGGTCATGCAGATATATGGTGGCACACCAGTGACATTTTTGAGCGCATAAATAGCAATTGCTTTGAAACCGTCAATGATCAAGTGACGCATTTCACCAGTTGATGCTGTCCCAACCGGGAACGCTCCAATCCAGAATTACAGAGCAGACCAACTGCATTTGGATATGTCTAGTAGTTTCTTTGTGTTCCAGGTCTTAACTTTAGGAAACAAGCGCCGTGAAACACCGGTTATGGCTGTCAGTTGGGGTCAGTTGGGGTATGTTCAGGTGTTCTTATCATTCCAAAGTTGGTCATTACATGCACCAGAAATTCACCAAAACTTATGCGTGTTTTGGGTAGAATCTACACACACACACCACACACACACACACACACACCCACACCCACACCCACACCCACACCCACACCCACACCCGCGCGCACACACACACACGCGCGCGCAGATACATTGGTATGTATCATGTGAATAATATTGCTGCCGTAATGACGCAATGATCATCATAATCGTCATTGTGGTAACCCCAGTTTTGGTGGTTTAACCACCTTTTACCACCTTTTACCATGCTCATCTGATTGCCAGCGCATCACCGAGCATTCAGTTCGAGTGCCAAGGCCAGACGCGAGGCTGAAGAGAAGGCTCGAGAACGGTTGGCTGAGGCCATCCAGGCAGAGGGGGCGGATGGGGACCAGCTGCTTGAGAAATGTCGTTTTGTTTACTGTAATGTTTGTTTTTCCATATTTTTCATCGGATTTTGCCCTGAGTTCAGATTTTTGAGGTGTGAATGGGATCAACTGTTGATCTATTTGGGGCGATTTCAGAGATGAAATCTATTGAAATCTTGTATTATTTGTATTGCTGGGCTATAGCTCTGCGTGCTTGGTCTTGAAGAATTGAAGATATTGAAGTCACACTTGAACAAGATGAACAAGTCTTGGCAGGAGCAACAGCAAGAGATAGAACAACGAAAGCAAGAGTTGAAGGCGCTGTATGGCTTTTGAAGTACAGGGGTGTCTCTGTGTGTGGGTGCTTCATTCTCATGGTTACGATGGTTAATTCGGCCAAGAGGCACTGCAAAATGGCATATAGTTTGCATTTGCGTTGCCTGTCAGGCCTTGCAGAGTGCACATGATGAGGTTGTGGGTGCCTCAGATGAAGGAAAACCATAGAGACTCTTTGAGACCATCTTCGCGCTCTTGTTACATCCTAGCCACCTCTTTCATTCCCTGCTGAAACAGAACAATTCGGAGCTACCGAGGCTCAACGGTCCCAAGTTTTCCAAGAGGAGCAGCGGAAGGAGGTGTGTTGATCCTCCCGGCTGGGAAAATGAAATTATTGTTGTTCCATGTTGTTCCACTAAGTTCCATTAAAATTCTGCCCTTAAGACATCGATCTGACACAAACGGGCCGGCTTCAAACAGCTCCCATGGTGCAAATCTGGACGCAAGGCGGCACGCGCAGAGGAAGAGAGGTGACGCTACCACTTCACTTGTGATTGTCGTACGTTCCATTCAGGGAACTCTTGCGATCAGGTTTTAACACATATAATATAATTATTAACTTGACTTAACCTATTTTTTTCATGTTTTTTTTGATTATTTTGATTCGACTTGTTCGTGACACTGGCTGCCATAGCACTGTGCCGTCCCCAAGCTTTGGTGCTGCAGGGCTCGCGTCGCAGAGGAAGCTCAAAAGCAAGAGGCGGGAGTGGAGGGAGCGGATCCGAATCCGATATATTACATAGTATATGTTGCATTAAGTTGCATGGAAATCATGTGAGTGGAAGGTCCCATCCCGTTGATTCGATATGTTCCGATAGGAATTTCAACATCTTCGACCCATCATGTTGGCCGAAACACTGATGAACCCGCAAGGAGCAGCTAGCCCAGAAGCGAGCCGAGCTGCAGGGACCTCAATGGCAATTTGCAAATAACCAAATCAAACTTGTTGCTGCTGTAGGTTGGGAATACTTGGATACTTTGGGGGCAATGTTGGAGAAGTCAGAGATCTGGGTGCAGTATGTTTGGATTGTTCTGGATTTGTTGGCTTCAAAAAATCTCAACCAGATTAACCAGATCAAGATGATCAAAGGCTCGCATGGGCTGAAGACCTGCCCAAATTGATGCTTCAGGAAGACGCTGGAAGAGCACCGGGCAGCAGCGCTGCAAAATTTAGAGGAGGAGGAGAGGATCAGAGAAGAGAAGGCAAGGCACGGTGGTTCCTTGCAGAGTTCCTCGCCCAGCATTTCTACACTCTTGGGCTCTTAGGACAGATTCACAAGGTGGTTGGGCATGTTCAGTCAATGACGGTGAGTCAAAACACAAAGCACCGCAACGGTGTTTGTGAACACGCGAGGAAAGTCTTTCTTTTCTCCAGCCACAGGTTTTTAATAATTTTATATGGATACAATATATATATATATACATGTATATGTATGTATATGTACTACAAATGATGCCCCTATTACATTATAAGATAAGATAATATAACATATTATAGCGGTTCTAGCATTCAACAGTTTTGGATGTGGCTGAACAAAGTTTTCCGCCCAGAAACCCGCCCTGCCGCCAGGATCGCTTGGCAAAGGAGGAAGCTGCAAGACGTGAGGAGGACACGGTCGGGCTGCAGATGCTGATTGATCAATGGGTCACTGGGTGGGGCCACATTGGACCTTTATACCCACATATATAATCAAGGAATATCAAGGATATATAATATTTATTAATATCTTATATACAGCATATCTCTTTTTTGTATGTGTGTATATAATTGTATTTTTAGAATATACACGAAGACATTTATTAGCATATGCATGCACATTCGGAATTTGAATCTGAAAACATCTGAGTCTAATTTATATGCTTCCGTCTCCTACACAGCATCACTTACACAATTGTACCCCAACAGGGTGCAACCAACAGAGACATGCAGCACATCGCCACACAATTTGCGGTGGAGTTTGCCATACGCATTGTACTTGGCCACAGGAAGCCCAGAAGAGGCATCAGGAACTTGAACGCCGTAAGACGGAGATCAAGCAACTGGAGGTGGCAGGGCGGTTTGATGTCAACTTTTGAGAAGGAAAGATATATGCTGCGTGCGTGTATATATATAATTATATATATATACATAGATATATAATTCACATAACACACACACACACATCCAATCGGACCTGCCTGCGGGTGTCCTG